ACAAATAACTGACGATGAAGAGTTGAAGTCAACACTACCCAATACAGTTTGATAGTCTGCAAAGGATAGCGCTGGTGGTAAATAGAAGCCATGGACAGTAAGCGAGTTACCAATCACGATACTGAGCTTGTTGTGTTGTGTGGTTGTTGGATCAGTGCTACGGTGAACATAGTGAGGAAAATGAGGTCGAATTAGAAATGTCAAACCACCATTGCCTTTGGACGCATCACCTGAGATGGTAGCATATTGATGATGTTGAGCCCATTGAGTGAATAGATCGCCTTTGAGCAAGAAGGTTTCCGTGAGTAGTAAAATGTCGATGTGATGTGTTTCTATATAGTGTATCACTAAATCCAAGGATGTAGAGATACCAGAAACATTAAGCATTGCAAGGTTAAGAGTAGGTTGTGAGTCTACAATCATTGATTCGTATCCATGGGGCTGGAGCCAGCGTTACTAGCAGCAGTCAGAGGTGACGGATTTGAACCAGGTTGAGAAATGCTGGCATCGGTATTGTTGGTGGAGGTAGTAAGAGAGGCAAACAAGCTGGAGGCATCAAAGCCTTTGAGAACAGAGCGAGCAGTGTTGGCAGCACCGATTTTGCGAACGCAATCAGGCTTCAGCTTGATGAACTCATCAATAATGACAGGCGGGACAAAGTGATTATCAGCACTGTCAAGGGCATTGAAGAACTTGAGGATGATCAGACCCATACGGGATTCACGAAGTTGAGTAGCAGCTTGGAGCATGCGGTTGTAGTAGATGGCCTTAGCTTTATCATCCAGTTGTTGAGCATTAAAAGTCTTCAAAAGATGGGGATCACCCAGATTTTTACCAGAGATAGGATTGAAATCAGTGATGGGATAAAGTTCGTCCTTTTCACAGATCTTAAGAATTTCAGTAGCATAGTGGGAGTGTACCAGAAGAGAGACAACATGCTTGGCAGGACGTTGGATGGCATATACACGTTTGAGGTTGATTTTGAGCAACTCTAAACGAGTGCGAAGATCGGCGTGCTTGGTTTTGTGGCTACAAGGAAGGTAGACACAAGTATAACCAGGAGGAGGCAGAGCTGAAGTGGCGGTATTAGAGGAGGAAGACATTTGCATATCATCACCATCAGTTGAGTCAGTAGCAGTAGGAGTAGAAAATAGACGTAAAGCCCATTTCTTGGCTTCAGCAGCATCAGAGGGGACTTTGGCTTTAGAAGAAGACTTCTTGGAAGTTTTCTTGTTAGAACCAGAGCTCTTCTTGGAGTTGGCAGTAGTGGTGGCAGAGTTGGCAGTAGGTTTGGCAGTAGGTTTGGCATTGGCAGATCCCTTTTTGGTACCTGAATTCAAGGTTGGGAAATCCTTTTCCGATGCATAACGAGATGCAGCAGATCCAGATTTGGTACGTGTGAAGCTGACATTTGGAGTAAGATTCAGACGAGTGGCTGAGGCAGCAGAGGTATTATTGGTAGCAGCAGTGAGGGTGGATCGTTCCAGTAAACGGGTGAGAATCAGATTCTGTTCTTGGAGCTTGACTACCAGATCAATCAACTCTGATTGCTTCAAGTTATTGTAATAATCACGGCCGGCAATGTCTTGCTGCATTGAATCGCGGCGGCGCTTATTGGAGGTGGAGGTGGATGCATTGGTAGAAGCTGAGGCAGATCCAGAGGTGGTGATCATAGTGGAGGTCCAATCGGAGGATGGTGCCTCGATGGATTGTGCTGCACCGGTAGAACTCGGTGGAGCAGGGTTTAGATTCGGCGGGATCGGCGAACCTGGCATTCGGAAAAGCGAAAGATTAAGATGGTTGGGGTGATTAAGCGGCTAAACAGGCGGCTGAACGGCAAGAGGTTTTTCCGAAAAAGTATAAATACTGCTGATGTCTATACGCGTAGAGTCGATAGTATCTCCTCCTCAATGGTCCAACGGCTAGGATTTATCGCTTTCACCGATACGGCCGGGGTTCGACTCCCCGTTGGGGAATTTTTTTACTTACTGAAGTAAGTATAGTGCATGTAGTGAAGTATAATTTCTCTTGTTAAATGCTTCTTCGTTTTATTTTGCATGTTTTGAATAATGTCGTAACTATTTACGCTGTCGTTAATAGAGATATGGTTATTGAGTAGACCTTGGCAAATGTATACAAAAGAATAGAATTGAGATAAAAGATGATCTTTATTGTTTTGCAAACTGATTTGATATTTATACTAAATTAAAAGGTTACACACAAAAAACTATGTGTACCTGACAACACCTTTTGTTACACAAGTTAATTAGTGTTACAAATCAACTTTGGTTTTGTAACTGAATCTCTCTTTTTGCTGTAAATTGCCTACACTATCGAATAAACTACGCGTCACTGCTTACTGTTAAGCACAAAGAATAAAAGGATTATTATTTGTAGCTTATAAAAAATGTTCGATATTATAAAAAAAAAACAAGAAAAGATTTATTTGAATAAGATCAGACACAAAAACTAAAGATTTATTGATGAAGACAAGAGTTGTTCTATTTATACTAAGTTCTGAATGCCAAATTAGCAATTTACCTCGTACAACGCTTATCACATCTGGTGAACCTCAGTATTTAGATAGCTGAGATGCACTTCAATTATCATAGCTTGTCCATGTTGTTGCACAACACAGACATATCTACCCATCAAGAATACCTTAGTCTTTATAGACAGTTATAGCCCTTCTGGCACAACACAACAAATTTGAGGCATGCTCGAATAAACAGCCTTTGTAGTAAATAGGACACTCGAACCTCTGAGTTTGTCTCATTTCATTTTTTCAGGTGTCTCAAGGCAACTTTTATTTTTGTGCCAAACAAATTTGAGAATTGTCCCCTCTGTTTTTTAATTCTGTCTCTTACGTTTTCGCAAAGTGTCCCAATCATTTTGGGAAAAAGTGTATAGAGAATTGAAAAAGAAACAGAAGCTACTATGCTTGAAGCTCTCGTTTACTTAGTAAAATCCAGAGGTATGGCCCTTTGAAAATCGGTCATCTGAACCATTTTCCGTCATTACTCATCTACATTACCATCAATAACCCCACATTAAACACACCCTAATCAAAAAAGTACCCTCTACAGCTTTCACTACACATACATCTCACATGTATATAATAATTTAAAAAGTTTTATTGGTAGCATATACTCATAACCATTTTTTAAAATCTCCATTTTCTCAACAACCACTCTACGCAAATTTGGTTTGCACCATCGTACTCTAGCCAAAAGCGGAGTACCAAATCAAACAAAACTCCGCTATCTTAATTTAAATTTTTTGCAATGCCGTTTACTAATTTGGAATGTCATATTCAGTAGAAGGCTACATTGAGGTGCCCTAACAACGTCTAGTGATTTATCGAAGATTGCTTGTTATGGTATATTTGACCATCATTTAGACAAGGATTAGCAAGCCTTACGGTATCAAAATTTGATAGCTTGATGCTACTAGGACAAAGAAAAGTACATGAATGCATCGTTTTCTAGGAGCATATATGATAAAAGAATGATTCTTTGGTAGATCTGATTTCTATTATTGTATTTTGACATAACTACATTTTCCCAGTGCATCTTGGTTACTACCTTTAGTTCCTTCATTAAGAATCTGTCACTTATAAGCTATCTCTAGAGTCGAGATTAAGTCCAAGCAATCTTATTATTAACTTTGGAAAAAGAGATAACTCCATCGCAGTCTATGCGATCGACATGGCCCACAAGAGAATACAATATAATAACAGGCAATTGTACATCAGTCTCTACAATTCAAATAGTTGTTCAATGACATCTTTTTCTATTGCACCTTTTAATTCCTTATCTCCTGTAAAAGCCGAAAATTGCAATATCATGCACAAGTCGATGAGCAAAACAAGAGTGCTGAAGAAGAATTATCAATTGACGGAACAGAGGAAGCAGAAGCAATGAAACCTGACGCCTTTCTTTTCTCGAATGGGCTGCTCAGAATGCATCAATGATACAGCTGCAGTAATTGGGTTTTATTAAAATCAATTTGTTTAAAATACCCGCACGTGTTCTGATTTGCAGTTTACGTAAGAAATAAAATGCTCAAGTTGAAGGTTCTGGCACAATACAACTATGTTGTTGCGTCAGGGATGCCACCCGGTGCCTACAAGCTTTGGTAGGGTGTAGAGATCCAAGTCAAAGGCACTGGTTTCTAATTTTTAATTTGATAAAACAAAAAGTAGTGGTAATAATGGCTGCATGCCTCCATAACATTGCGGATTCATCAATTGTTTTACGATACAATGAACGCTGTGTGAGTGGCATGCATATTCAATTACAACAGCTATGATTTATCAGAATCCAGAGTCAAAGCAGACACAGTTGTAAGGAAAAGATGCCGTATGATTTGGCTTTTTATGTCTGCTGTATTTATGGCGAACCATATTGATCAAGTAAATGAAATTGAAAGTATCGGTGTGAAAATAGCCACAAAAATGCAATACGCATGAGCTATGATCTTTCATTTTGTTGGATTTTAGCATTCAAATTTGAATCATATATCTCAATTACATCTTATGTCTTTTGTAAGCCAACTGTACAAGTTACTTATTTGGTATGAATAGTTAACTCAAACAGATTTTTCGGGATGTACACAGCACAGTCTCATCGTGGGGAGTGGTTGCAAATTCGTAATGCAAATGAATGGATTCATACTTGATCAGTTCAAAATAACAGACACGGTTAATATAGAAGGGAACAATTTGAGAGCACTGACGCTTTGCAAGATATTTAAATGCAGAGTCTTAATTGAAATGGGGGTTCCTCATCGATTATGCTGATTCAAAAAGCAAATAGCACAACCATGCACTGGAAATTGAAGCATTGCCATCAGATTTACAATTACACCTGAAAATCAAAAAGCGCTGATTGGGAAGAGCCGAAATTCAACCAGCAAGCGAGCATTAAAAAGTATATCGCGTTTATAAAAAAAGACTGTAGCATCTTTGTCCATTTTACATCAATCCAGCAGTATATACCATGGCAGCACTCGAAAAGAAACGAAACATGTTTAGCTTTGGTGGTGATGACGATGAAGATGATGATGATAGATTCATTAGTTCTGTGCAGCCATTACCGAGCAACACTGTTGAACGTTCTGCTTTCACAGCAGCCGACTTTGACCCAGATACCTTTCTCTCTAGCCGTAGACATTTGGGCCTCGAGCGTATGAAAGCAGAGCTCAACACTCACTTGAAACAGCTGAAGACTGAACTAGTAGAGCTGATCAACCGAGATTATCAAGACTTTATCAATCTCTCTACCAACTTGAAAGGCGTGGATAAGGACATTGAGGAACTGAAAGCACCATTAGCAGACATGGAAATCCAAGTCAAGGTATGCAAATAGAGTGGGATTTATGGAATGGCACATCTACTGATGCTCTACGTGCAATAGGGTGTGCGTGATTATTTCCAAGGTGTGATTGATTCATTAGAGTTACAACTTCAAAGCCGAGCACAGCTTAGGGATAAAAAAGTATGTAAATAACCTTGTCCACTTCAGTATACACACTCACGCATTCAGCATCGTAGTCTGTCCTCAAACTATTACTCAATATCCATGATTCAGTAACCAAAGTCGAGGATCTATTAGGCATCAATTCAGATCTAGTCAAGCATTCCTTTGAGAGCGCAGAGCACGATCATGTTGTCGTCGTGGATGACAAGTGAGTATTTCACTGGAGAGCATTCGATTGGTATTAACGCAATGTTAGTCTTGGTAAACAGATTGAACGTGTAGCAATTGAATACAATCAAATGCAACATCTCGTTCGTCGTGGTAAAAACCTGGCATTTGTCACTGAAAATGAATGGAGGATCACTCGCATCAAGGATACAATGGAACAAAAGTTATCCAAAGCACTGTCAGCAGCATTATCACAAATCAGACTTGGAGAAGTGACCAAGGCCACCAAACAATCGTTAACAGAATGTCTGCGCACCTATGCATTGATTGATCAAACACAGATTGCGGAAAGGATCATTCGAGAAGAGTTTATCAAGCCTTTTTCAAACAAGTGCATTACACAGAAAGCAGTAGAGGGAGCAAAAAATTACGGTGGATCACCTTCTTCGGCAACAGCGTCAGAGCATCCATTGGCAGTGATGTACAACAAGATCCTGCAATTTACATCGACTGATTTGAAGCCTATCTTGGATATCACCCAAAAGACATTGAAGGGATCCAATTACGAGATATTAGTGAACTCCTTGTGGCTGGAGATTGTGGAGAGGATCAATAGGGAATGCAAGAGCATATTTGCTGCTGGACAAACAGATGTATTTCACAAGGTATAGTGTGCGTAATTGCGTTGAATTGCGATAGCAAGCTGATAAATGGTGTGTAGAACTACTTGGCTACAGTGTCATTCATCTCTGAGTTGGAGGGATTATGCAGTTCCAAGCGATCCTTACTCTTTCTTCGAAACCATCCGACATATGCAGAGTTTATGAAGAAATGGCAGTTACTGGTTTATTTTCAGTTGCGATTCCGCGAAATCATCAAGGATGTGGAGCAAGTATTGAACGATCCCAAATCCAGTATTGTTGTGGAAGCAAATCAAGAGATCAGCCTGTATGGAGGAAGAGTGATTCTAAAGGCCATCAACCAGTGTTGGTCAGATCAGATATTTTTGTACGGATTGTCGCATCGATTTTGGAAGTTGACATTACAGCTGATCAAACGATACAGTGGATGGGCCCTTGAAGTGATCAACGTGAGGGATATCAAGAGAATTGTTACAAGCAACTATGCTAAACCTTGTTTTTTTTTTAGGCCAATTATGCTAATGATGCCAAGATTCTGACTCTTCTAGCGCATGATATCATCCACTTTACCAAGATTGTCAAAAATCAGACATTAGAAACAATGTTGCCCAAATTACCTACCAATATCCAAGATGGCCCACTCTTAAAAGGTAAGATGTGATGAGCGCGGCTCTCTTGCTTGACTGACATTCTATTTCCAGACAGCATGAATGCAGCCTTAGATCAGTTACAACAATCGACTGTACCCACTATAAATGAGACCATCACCAACAACATTAGCGCTAATTGCTTAGAGACACTAAAATCCATCAAAAGTGTGACAAATCAATATCGCCATAGTGACAAGCCCAAGCCAACCGAGCCATCCTATTTTATACCCAACATTTTCAAGCCGTTTCACACATTTGTTGAACAAAATCAAGCCAGTGTGTGCGATGAACTTGTGGACGCGTGGACAACACTGGTTGCAAGAGCAGTGGTCTCACAGTACACAACTGCATTGGACGATATATTATCGAGTTTGACAAAAACAGAGAAAGGCAAGGTCAAAAATAGCACGCAGTTATCCGATGAAGATAAAATTCGCTTACAGTTCCTACTGGATGTTGAACAAATTGGAAAGGAGGTAACACACAATTAATTTACGCTTCATGAGCTATTTATACTTAGCATGCTTTTTTTTTTTTTGTTGTGCATAGTTGGACAAGCTAAAGATCGTCCACAAGGATACAGTCAACTATCCCACACTGCTAGCATTGGTAGAGCCATTTTCATCCATGAAATAATAATATAAAATGTTTATTCTCTAAGTAAATCAAGTGATTTTCTGCAAAACAGGGCTTTTTGTATCTTTCTTTGTAAACCACAGGTACATTTCACCGATAGCTTGAGAAGCTTCCAAATAGTCGTCAATGAGACGAGCAGGAAGTCGGATGAACTCGGTGACAACATTTTCCTTGAGCTCGAGTTCCTTTTCGAATTCGTCGTGATCAAGAGGCAAATCATCAAACTTCCAAGCATTGACGCGTTGAACCACCTTGTTCTTGGATGGATTTCCCTCACTCAAATCGATGCCATGATCAATCATAAACTTGACAGTCTTCTCCCAACCTTCAGCAGGCAACAGGTTGATATCCAAACCCCACTCATCCACAGCACGATGCAGTACTTCCTTTGCCTCTTTCATGGTCTTTGCACGCACATCCTTGAGATCCATATGATTGGCACCAGGCACTGTAACATCCCAACGACTAGGAGGACCAAACTCGAGCACAGTGTTCTCGACAAGTTGATTTTCAAACAGTTTAGCAGCGGATCTTAAAGCAGGGAGTTCGAAACCCTCAACGTCGATCTTTAGAAAGTGGATAGGTTGACGGAACAACAGAGATTCAGAAATCTTGGCAGATGCATTATCACTTGCAGCTTCAATCTCCTTGGCATATTCAACACCCAAATCCTCAGGTTCTAGGATGGATCTGTCGTCCTTACGGTCTGTATTGATCTTGAGTTGCTTCTCCATAGCAGCAGACTGAGGGAAAAGGCGATTGTATGCGGGCAGTGTGTCCAGGCGGATGGTTTGAGTGGTGATCATGGCATTGGGATTGTCGTAAGAAAGGCCACCAATGCCACCGTCGTTGATTTCAACCTTTTCCATGGCGAGTTTCTTGAATTGGTCCAATACAGCAAATGGAAGCACACGAAGGCGTTGAGAGAGTTGGTTTAGTCTGCCGGCCATATTAATAACACCTATTTATAGAAGGTGAATAATTGTGCTTGAGGAAGATAGGAAATGCACTGCTACTTACTTCGCAAATGTGTTTGAGGTTCAAAAGCAATCGTGTGAGCACCACTAGCACCAGCAACGAGCGAGAAAAGACCATGATTTGAGCCTAGACATGTGAATTAGTACATGTGGTTGCCATGGATACCTGTTGACCCTTACCAGCATCCACCATGACGAGTGGGGCCGTTCTCTCGGGGTCGCGGCGATGCACACGCAGAATCCACTTCATGAGAGTGTAGATTCTGAACTCGCGGTGATAGTGGTTATTGACATCAGGGTAGTTTGTATTGGAGACAACAAGGACATCAGGTTTTGTGTTAATCTAAGTGCGTATATTAGCGTTCATGTGTATCACCTTCCCACCAGTAAATGAATAGTCAACTACTTACAACACCAAATTGCCATAAGTCTCCTGATTGAGCGTATTTCAAACCCTCTGGTGTTAAACGGTAAGTTGTTTTATCTGCAGTAGGTGCAATTGTATCGAGATCCTGACTGGATTTGGCGTGGGTATCTTATGGGGATGTGTGAGGTCCGTGCTGTATGCTAAACACATGTAGATAGCTTACCTGGATAGTGAGTGTCTGGCTCATCGAGGGGCTGAGGGTTGATGCCCACATGTTCAGTCAACTTGGCTTCCGCGATAGGACTGATGCCTATGTTGGGTTGAGCAGGTGGAGGTGGTGGTGGTGGTGGTGGAGGAGGAGGTGGTGGTGGATGACTATCAGCACCTGTGTTTGGATTGAAGGGAGGCGGCTCAAATGAATCTAAATTGTCCTTTGCCTGGCATTGCACTTGTCAATGATATCATGCCAACACCTGGAACGCACACAACGTGCTTACCTCTTCACTGATACTACAAAATCTTGGATTTGTGCATGGATATTGCTTCCAAAAGAAGAATATATTGAGTACGATAAAGCTGAGGATGAGGACAATGGTCCAGGCTCTCCAGCTTCTCATTTTTAGGTGAATTGGTAAAAAAAAAAAAAAGAAAAGAAAAAAAGAAGGAAAAGAAGAGCAAGCTAGTTGATAAGACTATAAATACATGAAAATCATGTATTTTAGTAGGTGGGGGTTTTAAATTTCCTCCTACCCAAAGTGTGTTTCACCAGAAATCCCAGTTTTACTTCATTAGTTACACCTCTGCCACAGTTGTCCATCCCTGGCGTCTGTGGTTCCTTGGGGACCATCTACGTGCTGTGTTAGTAAAAAGCGTCGGTGGATAGTAAATAGGACTTACAGTTCAAGCAGCTTGGATTCTTGCACTGATTTCGGCAGCAGTGTCTCAATGACATGATACACGTATGAGGGCTTTGGCTCTGTTAATTGACCTGCTTTCATGGGCTTTACAAAGTCAAACAGGCAGTCTGCGTTGCGTTGGTGTCTAATTTCAATCTTGTGCTGCTCCTTCTTGAATATTAGCAAGTTTAGTTTGCTTTTGCAAAAGTAATTGGATTCGCCCTTGTAGATGGTGTTGTTGATGTTCTTTTTGATCCAGCAGTAGTTTTCAACGTATCTAAATCCCCATTGCGTTGCAATCTTGACTATTCTATGGAGCCACTCTTTTTCCAACCATATAAACAGAAATCCAGTTTCTATTACATTAGGCACATTTAGCTTGGCCTGCAAAACAAAAAAAGTTTAGTTAATGCACGGTTTGTACGTTTCTCACACACACACAAGCACTCACAAAGTCCTCTATATTGATCTTGCCTGGTGTAGGTGGTTCTCCTGCCATGAGAAGCGGCGGGTCCATGTAAATGGCCTGAAATTGACTTCCATACTGTCTCAAATCCTGATCAACAAGACGGTGCACTTCATGATAGGCGTAATCTGTGGGCAGTGTGGTTTCGGAGAGAGGCTTGATGGAGTGAGCCCAGGATGCTTTAATGGGCCTAGGTGGTATCTTGACGTAGGTAGGTAGCGAAGGGTCTATATCGTACGTCTGTCTCTTTGCTGTAGCAATTCTTCCTGCCTCATCCTTTGTTTGCGCTGCCAACATCTTGTGTTTGTTCAAAACAGCCTGTCGATCAAGGCGTTTCTTTTTCGATGGAGTAGAGCGTCTATAATGTCTGTCTCTGTATTGCTCGTCTTTGTCGTCTTGTTGCCCATCTAGATCAAAGTCATCTCCCACGTAATAGTAATCACTAGAGGCTAAATGTCAACTCCATGCATTAGATGACTATATATACAGCAGACACTCACTCTTCTTCTATAAATTCATTCGTATTGTTATATCGATATTCTGCTTGTAATAGATCCAGCGCGTCCATATCCACGATGAAATCAGGATCCAGAGAAACGCTTTTCACTGTGAATGCAGATGTGCGACGAAACACCTCCTCTAGTTGCTCTTGCGTTAGCGGATCTTCTATAAGGGTATCTTGATTATGGCCATCTTGTTCTAGTTGATCTTGCAACGTGTCGTTGGTTTGTTTAGGAGGAGAGGTGAATTCTTGCTGTATGCGCTCCAGTTCCTCGAATTTCTTCATGATAGCCTCGACTGATTCATTATCCTCCACGTAGCCAACATAATGAGCATTACTATAGAATACATTGAGCCTCCTGTGGTTGGATTTGCTTTGCTGCTTTTTACCTGGCTCTTGCGTTTCTAGAAGCAACCTGCCTTCTCTTTCTTTTTGGACGTTCACTCATCCACAACACTCTTTTGACTATCTGTGGCAATCCAAAAAAGAAAAAAAGCTTATTCTAGCAAGACGCCAAATTCTAGGCGGAAGTAAATGTTGGCATGTTGGGGTGTCCGGGTGCTTTGCTATGTGTGTGTGTGCGTGTGTGTGCGTGTGTGTGTGTGTGTGTGGCTCATGTTTGTAGGATAATATACCATCAGAAGCAGCACAATGGCTATGAGCCAAGTTAAAGGTCAATCGTTACTGCAAAGTTTACTAGAGTCACTGTATACTCTCTACACCAAAAGAGATATTCTTGCTAAACATTTTCAAACCGAGTTGGCATTGGAAAATAACACCGTTTGGCTGAAAAGCCTGCCCTTGATTATCAACAATGATGCACCCACACTAGACAAAATCCCATTGTTCATTTACAGAATATTCACCAAGGTATATGCCAGATCTACTGACCAACTGTCTGTGAACTTTAGTTTGACGGGATTATGCCGTATGCTAGGTCAGCTGGGGGGGGGGGGTTTGAGGCAGACAGCCTCGAATCGTTGGCACGCGAATATTCTTTGCTTTGCAGCTGCACTACCCATCGCCAATGGAGCACCATAGTAAATCAAACAATGAAAACAGGCAGTTTCAAAGCACCCAAATACTTGGCATCTGAAGGGTTCATAGCCGAGTTCGACATTCCATTTATAATGAGAGATGACGCATAAAGAGATGTAGCAGAAATTTATTGATTTGATAATAAGAATTGTATATGTATATGAATGATTATAAATAAAGAAGCCTGTTTTCTATTTACATGGCACTCTCTGGAGCAGCAGGCGCTTTGAGATTAGCAGCTTCCTTTTGAACAACAGACATAGGAGCCTCTTCTTGAACAACAGACATAGGAGCCTCCTCTTGAACAACAGACATAGGAGCCTCCTCTTGAGCAACTTCCTCCTTCTTCTGTTCAGCAGCAATGTAAGACTCAGCAGCCTCCATCTTTTTCTTCTCTCCAGCAGCTAATTTCTCAGGGGTATACTCCATCACCATTCTTTCCCATTCCTTCTTCTCTTCAGCAAGTTGATTCACACCTTCGGCATCAGTGTAAAACATATAGTAGGCATTGAACGGCTTAGTAACAAGCATGCCCTTTTGAGTACAGTCATCAGCAGGAGGCACAACGCCATCAATAGAACCGAGACGCACAATGTACTTTGCATGAGACAAATAACCATCCGTGGAAGACTTGGAAACGGCAGCAAGATGATCATCCAAATGAACGCTGTCACCGCGCTCCTCTCGGCCTTCTTCTTTAGTGGTAGTTACAAGAGGTCTTCCAGTTCCAAGCCATGATCCATCCTTGTAGTAGTAAATAACAGGTGTAGTATCAATGGGGTTCGCTCTATAAATTGCAGAATTGAATATGAATGGGTAGCTCTTTTGCAGACAGACACAAACTTACTCTTGGTGCTCAGGATTCAATGGAGCAGCAGACATTTGGCCGACTTCTTTACCAGCAACATCAAATGGAGCTTGTTCACCATTGGTAGGATAGAGAAAGGCTTGTGTTTGAACATTGTACCAGTGTAGGAAGCCCTTCAATTCAGGATTACATTGATACACACGTCTGCCCTCGGCGTACCAGACATCATACAAAGTAGCATTAGCGGGAGGAGCAATACGCTCCTTGACATCTGAGCTGGTAGGTGCAGCATTCAACAATGAGGGTAAGAAATCAGCAAGAGTGAACGGGACAGCGACAGAGAGGATAGCAGCTGTAATAAAGAACTTCATTGTAACGATAGATTTCAAGTTGTGCGTGTATATACAGGCAAGAAGGAGAAGCCTAACGCCTTCATTTGATTTTATATACTTTTCTTTCTTGAATTATGTAAACATTAAACATATTTCAGGCATTTTAAAACCGCTTGTTTGTATATACACACGTAAACAATAGAATGCCCAAGAACACTGCCATTAGCGGATGAATTAAGCATTTCTAACGACGCCAGTTCGGGAATGCGATTTGTTTTTATTTGAATTTCTCGATGTCCGCCATCGAACCGTATTAACATGAATTAAAAGCATACCTCACTTGCTAGGCACCACGCTATAGAGTGGGTTTTAACAGTTTCTAAGTTCTGGCTCGAGGTATGGCACGCCGATAATATCAAACGCATCTTTTTCCGAATGAACAACAAATCTTTTCTTCTTCCCGTTCTGTTCAAAGTGAATGGCTTGGCTATTGAGTGACATATGCTTCTCCTATACACACAGTGTTTGTTCTTGTTCTGTTGGTGTCATTGGCTGCTGAGGTTGCTATTTACCTTTTTTGCATAATCTCGAATGGCTCGTTCAAATTGCCGTGATCCAGTCCAGCCCAAGATAGCAGTAGCCAGCTCATCCGGATTCACCACACAGATCAAATCCACTTGTCGATGAATGCCTGTAGATGGTTGCAGAAAGGCACAAAAGCACTAATAGATTGTATTTTGAGTATACAGTCAAGATTTTCTCAAACTAAAACAAGATTACCTTTTCAAAATGATCAAAATGTTGTCTACCGCCTACCGATGGTCTTTCTGCATGGTTTAGTTGCTTGATTTCTGTGGAATGCCATAGTTTGTGCTTGAGGTAGTTCTTTTCAATGAGCCGTTGTGTCAATTTGTTCAAGAAGCCTATCATATTTTCTGCTTTCTTGGAAGAAATGATGAGATCCACATCTCCATTCTTGGTCTTTCCTCGTCTATACAGTCAAATGTTAAGAAAGTGCATAAGCATACATAGTGTCATCCTTACCGATAACCACCCACAGGTACAACAAAGCATTCACTATCAATCGAGACGACTTCCTTTGTGACAATATCAACAATCTCTTTGACATCCTCTTGACTCATCCTTAAATAAGCGATTGTGAGATATACAAGTGAATTTGACCGCTACATCACCTACATTTGATCAAAGTCAGGTAACAACTCGATACCCAATTTGATGGTTGCAGTCAGCTTTGCCTTATCGAGCACCTCTTGCAGCGTTTTGTATCCCATATCCCACCAAAGTCTAGCAGTTGTGACACCCACACCAAACACTTTGTTGAATAAACTGAGTGTCCTAAACTCTTCGTCGTATCTTAGCTGATCTGCTTCTTCTATGGTGCCTGTATGTAGAAACACTTTGATCTTTTCGGCCATTTTCGATCCAACGCCTGATACATTTTGTGTTGATAAGTATGCGGCCAAGTCAAAATGCTATCTTAGGTACCAATAATTTTCTCTGCTTCTTTTGATGATTGAATTTCTCGAGGGTATGCCTGTTGACTAGATCAATGCCAATGCTTTCAAACCTCATCACATTGAGTCCATACCTTGATCGCTGAAATTGCGTGACGATAGCTCAGAGATCTCTTTAGCTCATTATCCATTTGTCTCTTTCTTTCTAATAGTAAAAGAAGCGAAACCAGCTTCTTGTTGTGTTTAGGCTCGTATGGTGTTGGCCGAAGACACTCGTACTTGGTATTGATAAAGCCAGGTGCAAGGTCGACATTTTCTAGTACTTCATGTCACTCATCCATGTATTTACCGAGATCTACTGATATATATATATATATATATATATACCTCCTTCTCCTCTTATGTTACTATAATTGTGACAAATGAAATTAGTTCTAATGCTTCACCATCCAAGCACGCATTGACTACCTGTCAGACTCATCGCTAAACTGAAGATCTTCTGGTGGCAAGTCCTTGAATCTCCTATTCAATATTTCCGCATTTGATCCGGATGAGATGGAGGTGGTGGCTGTGGATGGAGTTGGTGAAGACAATGACGGTACAAGAGCATCATGTTCTGAATCAGAGGAACGTAATTTCTTTCTATCAGTGATGATGGTGTATGACTCTAATGGTAGTGATTGCTGATTTTTATCGCTGCAGTTACGTATCGCAGAAAAATGAGCCTGCATGAATGAATTTAATACAATCAAATGATTTACCAGTCTCGAATCCATTGTATATCAATCACAGGCACCTAATTTTGGGTGAATTAGAGAAGCTATGGCAACAAGACAACCGCAGACTACCTGATGATTCTCTACATTTCTACTGATTCTTGCGGAGGACTTTAGTACGGTAAAAATGTGTGTTGATTCACCTTGTTTAGTACACTTTTTGCCGCCTAGAGCAATTTATCAACATGATTGATACAAGTTTTATTTATGCATTGATCTCATGCTCTCGCTTACCATTTTTCTCTATTAAATGAGTGTATGCTCCAACCTCATATTCGCTCAGCTTGACTGGAATGATATAGGCTTTGATGTTTTGGAATATTTTTGACATGCAAAAAAGTGTTGTGGAGAAGAAAGAACGAAAATGATGTGGAGTTCCAGTGGAACCCTTTTTCACCACGCACAGCTGCCCTTCAATGCCAGCTTTCCAAAAAAAAAAAAAAAAAAAAAAGATATCATGCTGATGGACAGGTTGAATACGGCTTTAGTTCGACTGAAATGAACAGGTTTTTGAGTAAATCAACTAGAGAACAAAAGCTAAAATGGCGCTCTATAGTTTCCATAACCTTTCTTTTTCATTTCCCTCTTTCTTTTCTGTTCAAACGTTATATACTGTATTTCTACACTACATTTGAAGGCTACTAGACATCAAAAAATGTCCCAAAATCATAGAGAACCACCTGGTGGAGCACAAACAGCGTACTCGCATGGTAGGAATCTCGTTCGAAAGACCTAGTGTATATATACTAACAGTTTGATTATCACCTTTAGAGAGAAGCATGGCGAAATCTGTTGAACCTACAGACCAGGCACATTTGTACCACGCATCTGATGAATTGGATCAAAGAAACCTGGCTCCACAAGGCAGCATCAGCCAAGCTATCACTGCCACGAATCAAGCAACAGGCATAGACTGTAAAGCTGATCCAGAATTCAGTCTAGATCCCATTCAGCGTGCATCCTCACAAAACACCATTCGAAACCACTCGTTTTCAAAGAGTAATATCAATCAAAGATTGGCTCAAGACGATAATGATACACTATCCAGCTCAATGCAATCAACTGAGGTCAACAAATCAATCAATGATTGCAAAAATTGCATCATTCGTAACAGAGACCGTAACCCATTTGATAGAATTTCTTTTTGTAGCAAATGCCAATGCAAATGGACCAACTTCTTACCCAACCGTCTTAATACGGACAGCGACAATGGCAGTGTAACTCACATGCTGCAGGATCGGCACATACGGTTGACTCGCACTATGGTTCAGGAGTTGGTTGATGACTTTGGTTTTGGACCCAATGTACATGGCTACCGCCGTCATCGTCTCATCAAGCTAGCCTTCCCACTGGACAAGGTCAAGAAAGAGTGCATTGGGGTTTTGTGTCGACTATATCAAGGAAAAGTAAAAGTGTGGATTCCTGAACTTCAAATGATTGAATGGCTCCCTGTTGGCACTCGAAGAATTAAACTGATGGATTCTGAAGAAGAAAACGATGCGGAAAGCGTTCTCAGAGGTTCCATTCCTACTATTGATGATATAGAGCTACTCGCTGATGGACAAGATCTACAGGCGCGAAGAAGCTCTCATAGAAAAAGAACCAGATCGAATTCATCAACTCCAAAGAAGCCTCCAAACGCTCAGCACAAGCAAGAAGAATCGACCAAAGCAAACACAGCAGACGGCCGCTTGGATACTGCACCGCCTATAATCAACAGAGCGTACTTGACTACAGGCGCTTTCGCTACCAGAAAGGCTGTACACCAGCTCAAAGATGACTATGGCTTCATTCCGAACCCCTTTGGTTATGCTAAGAATCAAGCTGTTCAAATATTAGACACCAATTATGGCAAGAGCAAGTCTTGGTACAATGGAACATTGGTGGAAATGCGGCCAGGCTACGTCAAGGTTCACTACAACCAATGGTCAGAGATGTATGATGAGTGGCTCGTGGTTGGCAGTCGAAGAATAAGGATAGCTAATGGTGCCGGTGCTGCTGTGGACGACATGTTATGCTCTGATAAGCAGTTGATGGTAATAGCTGAGGATCCTGATGCCCAGCGTGATGTAAAGAGAAAAAGGCGACCATTGAAGTTGCAGCAAAAAAGACAGGAAAGCGCAACTCGTGGATCTGAACAAAGCAGCCCAAGACCCATCACATCAAGACGAATTGCTCAGTTAAAGGCAGCAGAAGCTGAGAAGTTTGTGCCCAATGTCTATGGCTATTATCACATGCAACATGTAAATGTCCTGTATCATGACAAGAGATACTACGAAGCACGAATTGTTGGTATACAAAAGAACAAAGTCAAGGTACACTACTGTGGCTGGACTGACGACTTTGATGAGCTGATCCCCAATGGCAGCCAGCGGCTACAAGTAGTCGACGCTGTGGAATGCGTTGAGCCTGAACGAGACAAGCACATGTCACTCGTCAAACACAATGAGGAAGCCACATCCTTCAGTGTTCCCCGAGCGATGGAAGCCCAAGAAGCCATTAAACTGGATTCCAACGAGCAATTAACTAATGAGGAAGAAGGTAAGCCATACGTCTATTGATACTAGCTGTCTAGTTTCTTACCCTTGAATGTAGAAATTATCATAGTAGACGATGCAATGGTGAAAGACGTAATAATTAAAGCAAACGCATCTAAAGTGAACTGTAACCACTGCAAAACCACCATCCAAGACTTGAGATACTACTGCACGTACTGTGAGGCTTCTTCCTCGACTGGCAATGGTACTAACACTGAGAGCTTTCAGCTTTGCGTTGTCTGCTTTGGCCACGGATTTCCAGACTGGCATCCACATCCTCGTTCTGGCTTTGCAATTCAAACTATTGCTGATAGCCCAAAGCAACTTCAAGACAGTCATTTGTTGTCATCATCCATGTGGGAAGAGGATATCATGGAGGTACAAGACGAGTGCATGGATGAAGCCGCTGTTTCTCTAGGAACAAGTAAAATATTCACTGGTGTGGATGATATCGCGATGCAAGACAAGCATGGCTACCTGTTTCTTCAAAAGTGGAGCAACAGAAAGATCTGCGGCTTTTGCAACGATGATGATGACAACTCGCAAGAGCTCGGTTCATTTGTGGGCCCATTTGTGTCCATTACGACAAAGTTGGGGCAAGAAAAGAAGCGTACTTTCTGGGTTCATGATGCGTGTGCTAGGTATTCTCCAGAGGTCAGATTTTCTGTCGTAGACGGTAAATGGTACAATGTCACTCGTGCTCTCAAACGAGGCCGAAGCATGGTAGGTTGATGTTTGCATTGTCAAAAAAAAAAAAGAAAAAAATCCCCTGGCTGATGCTTATACTACCTTTTCAGCGTTGTTTTGCTTGCAAAGAAAAGGGTGCTACTATCGGCTGCTTTGACTCACGATGCTCCAAGAGCTTTCATCTGTCTTGCACCAACAAACCGGTCAACAATTTTAGGAATGGAGTCATTTTTTGGTGCCATATCCACGAAGCAGCTCATGGAAAGAAAGGTACGATGGATTAGAATGGTAGGGGCTGTATTTAAGATGACTAAACCATACTAGATGCTTATATCAATGTCTTTCATTGTGATGGTTGCATTAAAAAGTTTTCCAACGATGAAACATGGTTTACCTGTGGACAGTGCTCTTTAGACAATTACTTTTCCTCATTTGACCTGTGCAAGGAGGTAAATATGCACTTGTAGCATACAAAGCTTTTCAAATTGTCTCATTACATGTTGTATAGTGTTATACTAAAGACGATGTGATTAGAAAGCACCAGCATGACAGATCTGCTTACAACGAAACATGTAATAAAATGAGGGCTTTCATTCAATCAATCACTAATTTGCAATCATACTATGCAGCTTATTCACAGATGGAACGAGCAGAAGCACTCGAGAAAACCAAGAAAGAAGATGGCAAGTACAATGGTACGCATGATGAGGTGGCCTACCGACTAATTGAATTTGTATTTACACAGTTAAAAAGACACCGCTATTTTCCCGGCGTTCTCGGAAGCTTCAAAGCGGATCGACACCTACCTCTTGCTGTTACTGCGGTACATTGGAAGCGGACACTTGGCGAAAGGGATACGATGGAGGCATCCTCATGTGCGACACATGCTTTGGCATGATTTACGACAAGGAGCGGCCTACAGAAGGCACTAGCGAAGGATCAGTTGCCATTGAAAACTATGTTGCCTCTATAGAGGATTACTCTCACAAGCCTTATTTCACTCGAGACACAGTATCAATGAACAAATCTTTGGTTGGATCTCGGCTGACAAGCTATGGACCTCAATCAAACCAGCTCTTTTCACTCGCGTTTGATTCAACTTATTTTGATATTCCTGGAAGAGCACCTCGTTGGGCTACTCACTCTGGAACTGACTATCATGGTAAGTTGCATAGTATACGTTAAGAACTCAACATGTATTCCATGTACTTTATTACTTTAATGTAGGAACATGGCTACCACAGACGGTGCGCAGGTAAGTTGAGTATGTCTTTGCATTTGCTGTTGTTAGCTCATTGTATTCTATAGGGCCCTGCTGAAATACACAAAGAGAGATGAGCGAATACTGTCCAATTTCTTAGGCAGAGGTAATTGCTGCTCCCAGCATGTGTTGCATCAATTTTCTCATCATCTTTTGCAATCAGGAACCGATGCGATTGAATGCTTCTTATTACAGAGAAAGTAAGTGATGGCTATATCCGTATATTATATTGTGTTCTAATTCTTTTAATATGCAGATGCTGTGGCGTTGACATCAATCCGGTAAATTATTGAGATTATGCGAGCCTATAGACTTTGACTGATTGCAAATCCACGTTGCTAGGTTGCCGTTGCGTTGTCCCAGCGTAACTGTTGTTTTGAAGTTCCAGCAGAATTGACATTTGCTGAATACAGGCCCATCATTGCACTAGCAGACGCTCGCCAGTTGAATGGAACTTTGTTTGGCAATGAATCATATCACCATATATTGTCACATCCGCCCTACAAAGACTGCGTGGCGTACTCTACACATTTGGAGGGGGATCTTTCTCGGTAAAAAGCACATTTAATAATGATCAATGAGATATACGTATCAGCTTAAACCACTTGTTTTTGACCTTGCAGTTTTACTCGACTGGAAGACTTCAAGACAGAATATACGCGAGTTGTCCAAGAGAGCTATAGGTGGGCGATGAAAAAAGCCATTGCAAATAGTATACACCTGACTGATAGAAGTATAGATTGCTCAAGATGGATCGAAGATTGACCTTGGGCATTGGAGACAATAGAGAGCATTGCTTTTATGTACCGGTTGGATTTCATCTAATGCGATTGTATATTGATCAAGGATTTGAACTAGAGGAGTTGGTAAGCCAATAGTTGAAAGAAACCTCAAAGAACAACCTAACCATTTTCCATTTTTAAAGATTGTTAAAAGACAGAGATACTGCTCTGCCTACGGTCTTGGCACGTATTTATGCGTTCAATTCGATTTTTTGATATTCACGCATGAGTTTATTGCTACGTTTAGAAAGGTACCTCAGCAACAGGTGGACAAAATGCCTTTGATGCAAGAGGGTAAGCAAACAATTCCAAACTCTATTGCTACATGTGCTAATCAATGCTACAATTAGGTCCCAATACGGCCAATAAACCACCCTTTACTACTACTTTATATGGCATTCCTCATTCTGCTATCGCGAGGAACAGCAGAGTCATGGGCACAGTGTGGACATTCAAACTATCACACCAATATACATTTCAACTATTGTGTATCAGTCGAATGATTGAAAGATTTGGTCAAGACGACTGCAATTGGCTGCATGTTGAATTGACAATCGACTTGACAACACAGGAACATCATCAACAACAGCAGAAATCAAGGCCTCATGCTGACAAACTGCCAACCTCTTGTACGTCTAGTGCTCTAGAAGGTAAGATAGGTTTTACTGACACAAATGCAAAGCAATTGTTCCACGCATCTCATTTATTATATAGTCGATGAAATCTCGGAATATGAACAGGAAAGGCAAAGAAAGATCCAAGAAAACAAGGAAGCACTACTCAAACTGGTAAAGAATTCCTATTTTCTTACGTTGCATCTGTAATAATTGTATAAAAAGGGCCTCATTTCTGATCTAAGTCAAGATTCCGTGGTCAATGACGGCATTTACTGTGATGCCATGTTAAGCAAGAGGCCATACCCTCATGCTAATCTGGTAGTCATGGTAACAGGCCATATCGAGAACTTGCTTCCAAATCAAATCGACCTGTATCGTAAATCAATTATACAGCTTGCTCAAGATGCTACGCACCAATTGGCGATAAAAGGTATTCTGGTCGTTGGAACAAAAGATGTTCGAGATCAAATCAGCGGAAAACTATGGCCTGTTTCGATGTTGGTCTTAGAAGACGTAGAGAGGATCAGCAATGGACTACTGAAGCTGAAAGAGATGGTGATTACCGTACCCGAAGGATATGCCAAGGACAAAGACGCATTTGCAGCTGAGGTACACGGGGAAAAAGAGCAATCAGAGCATTTGCCAATTGTTCATGCAATATATTTTGTTTTCCAAAAACAATAAACCGAACTGTCATCCTTTTATTGTTGACATATGAGCTACAACATTACCATCATATGCAAGCCGAAATTGGTTAAATCTCCGATGTTCACTCTGTTCTGATTTGTTGATTTCTGACATTTTCAAACACGATTCGACCTATTTTGTGAGATTCGACTATAAAAATTGTAATGATCACCCTACGCTTCCTAATACATTCTTGAAGTACTTTTCAAGGCGCATCCAATGGTACCAAGTAAGATAGATAATTTGAATAAACTTATTGAATGATTTATGAAAATATGAAAAGAGGTTTCTGGCCAAAAAGTCGAAATTTTACATATCAAAAGTCGCACAAAGATGATTTCAAAGGTTGCTTTGGATCGATAGAAACATTTTGATTCAAGATATACCATAGTAAAAGTCTCCATTTTCAAGGTGAAAAACGCGATCGTTTGATTTTCGATGAAAACCATGAGGGGTACCTCATGCTTTTTGGTCGATTTTTGGCCATGTTTTTTGGGTCCCCAAAAAGTTGAGCAAATGTGTCAGGAAGTTACTGCTACTCGAGCACAATTGTTTGGCGTTATTCTGGTGGCTCAGAAAGGTCTACATGTCAAGATATGAAGGCTTGAAAGCTATCAAGTTTGCTTATATTTTTGCTCTATAGCTTTTATTTACATGGCATGAATCACACCTCTGGTAGCTGTACTTTTTTGGAAGGGAAGTTCTGTAGCCTGTGCAACTTGTAATTCAAGTAGGAGGCATATTGATTTTGGAAAGGCTAATTTATGCAAGCTTTGATGCGTTATGTTGTTGGTAAGCTCATTATTAATAAATAATAAAAATGAGAAACCGAATTTGCTGCTTGAACGCTATGGTTTTACATCTTTGCTTCGCTACGGTAAACCCCTCTTAAGGTTACTGCCACCAAGTATTCAAGCGAAGCCATGATAATAAGAAGGGAACTTGGACCAGAATTGGCATCGTTCTTCATAGGTTTGTGTTGTTTCATAATTGAACGTCATCACACAGTTAAAGGCACATATAACAAGAGTTAACTCTGCTCGACAATCTCAATACTACATCAGAAACCTATTGCATCCAGCCACAGTAAGTTGAGTCTTGGTAATGGCGAGAAACACATCATTCGACATGCGAATCTGCCTTTTTCAGAAAGCAGAACTTGCTTTGGAAGGGACTTTTCAATCAAGAACAAGAGGCTCTGCTGTACGACGCATACAAAAATCTGATCAATTAACGCACTGTGATTCATCATCTAAATACAGCATAGCTGCTCTTTCTCTTTTTTTCTTTTCTTTTCTTTTCTCTTTTCTTGTTTCTCCAATATCAATCATAACAAAATTATATAAAATGGCAAGGAATAGCAATCAAAGCCTTCACTGCCGATGGTATACAGACTAAACAGCTTTTTTTTTTTCTTTTTTTTTTTTTTTTTTTTTTTTTGACGTAGAGTGATCAACTGACACCCGAACAAATTCAAGAGTATCGTGAAGCTTTCCAACTTTTCGATAAAAACGGTGATGGAAGCGTGAGTGCCGCTGAACTCGGTGTGGTGTTGCGTTCATTCGGTATGAATCCAACGGACGTAGAATTACATGATATGGTTTGTATTTGAAAGGGAAGAATGGAAGGTATCCAAGCGTAACGAGATAGTATGTTACCATAGGTGAGCGATGTAGACGCTGATGGCAACGGAAATATCGACTTTGAAGAGTTTTTGAGTTTGGTCAAGGACCTGAAATCTGGAGGAAAAGACACTGACGACTTACGGGAAGCATTCAAGTAACGTATAAGAAAGAGAGGGCATAAGGTGTATGGATGATAAACTCCTCATATTGTAAACAGAGTGTTTGATGCAGATGGAAATGGAGTGATTGACCGTAGTGAATTGAGAAAAGTCATGTCATCTTTGAACGAGAATTTGACTGAAGAGGAATTGGATGCCATGATTAAAGAAGCTGATGCTAATGGAGATGGCCAGATTAGTTTTGATGAATTTAAAGCGATGATGGGCGGCGGCAAGTAAACTTTCCGGAACCATCTTGTGTATAAAAAAAAAATCATCTCTCTTTTCCATCCCCTAATAAAACATAGTACAAAATGTCTGGCAAAGTGGCTCTTCCAAAGGCAATGACCATTGCTGGCAGTGATAGCGGAGGGTAGTTTGAGAACAGTATACCATTGCCATGTTACTAACTCGTCGTCATAGTGGGGCTGGTATCCAAGCTGATATCAAGACGCTCACTTCTCTTCACGTTTATGCTACTTCGGTGATAACCTCTGTTACCTCTCAAAACACTCTATGCGTGGATGGTATTCATGATATCCCAGCTGAATTCGTAGCAAAGCAAATTACCGCTGTCTTGAGCGACATTGGCTCGGATGCTATCAAAATTGGCATGCTCTCATCAGCTGAAATCATCAACGCTGTTGCAGCTACCTTGAAGCAGTTTCCCGAGCAATCTCGCCACGTTGTAGTGGATCCAGTCATGATCTCGACCAGTGGATCCCGTCTCTTGGCTGCTGATGCCATTCAAGCTTTAGTTCAAGAGTTGCTACCCATCACCTATGTTTTGACGCCAAATGTCCCAGAGGCAGAGATCCTGTTGGACCTGAAACCCGGTTCCATCAAATCTGTGAAGGATATGCGTGAAGCAGCTCAACGATTAACCAATTTCGGCCCCAAATACATCTTGTTGAAGGGTGGACATTTGCCTTTGAAAACAGCCAAGGGTAAGGATCAGGTCGTTGATGTTATTTATAGCGCTACCAATGGTACCTGGTATGAGATTGCAAACGACTATGTGGATACCAAGAATACGCATGGTACTGGTTGCACACTTTCAGCCGCTTTAGCCGGTGAACTAGCAAAGGGTGTCTCGGGTAAGACGGAAGTGTAAAAAAAAAAAAAAAAAAAAAAAATAGGAGATTCAGTAATCTGATCAAATCTTTTGTACTCGCAGTTGAGACGGCCTGTGAAAATGCTGTTGAATATGTCAAGATAGCCATAGCACAAACACTAGGTGGTATTGGCGCTGGCAATGGCCCTATCAATCATTTTCATCCTTTAAAATGGTCTCCTTATGAAGGGTATAGAAAATTAAATGTGATTTGATTCGATGGCAAATGAACTGACAATTGAAATCTAGAAAACCTTTGATTGTAGCTATCAAAGAAATGCTTCCCGAGGATCTTTGGACTGATTTCATTGATCATCCTTTTGTCCGTGGCATTGCAGACGGTACTCTTCCAGTGGAATCCTTCACTTACTACCTCAAGCAAGACTATCTTTACCTGCAACACTATGCTCGCGCTGCCTCTCTTGCTGCGTATAAATGTAAGTAATCGCATCTTTTTTATTTGAAATGGTCTTAATGTACTTTGTTTCTAGCCGGCACCATGGAGGATATTGCAGCAAATGCTGCTATCGTTGTTCATATTGCCAAAGAGTCTCAGCTTCATTTAGATTACTGCAGTAGATGGGGGATCACAAAGGAAGATGTACTCAACACACCTGAAAGCGTCTTCAACTCTGCCTACACCCGTTATGTTCTGGACAAAGGCACATCCGGTGATATATTGGATTTAAAAGCTGCCATGGCACCCTGTTTAATCGGCTATGGTGAGATTGGTGTCAAATTGTACAATGACCCTGATACCAAGAGAGGTAATAATGCTGATTGAAGTGTGGATCCATGTTACTTACAATGCTATAGAGGGCAACCCTTACTGGGACTGGATCTGCCAATATGCAGCCGATGATTATCAACAAGCCGTTATTGCAGGCATTGGTAAGACATGACGAAAAATATCATACCATTGTTACACTTTTACTGACCATTCTCTATTCTATCGATAACAGCTGAGATAGAAGAGTTGGGTAAGCATTTCATTTCATCCTCTGCTTCTCGCTTCCAAGAAGTGTGCAAAACTTTTGAGCAGGCAACTCGTTTGGAAGTGATGTTCTGGGAAATGGGCCAAAAGCTTTGTTAGGTTGTATTTTTAGCATTCATAGAACTGTAACAATAATAAAACCTCACATCATTTATCTACTATCAAAGTTATCTCTGAGTCAAATGAGCGCTTTTTTTTTTTTTTTTTTTTTTTGGTAATGTTTGACCCAGAAGTTTTCAATGAAAGCCGTACCCAAAAATCATATTAACATTCTAATTCAAGCATTTGGTAACCTTGACCTATAAGAGGGTTTGACCATAGCAAAACAAAGGCACAACACCATGGCAACCAAGCATTTAATCCAATGTTTGATGGTATTGGCCGTAATGAGGGCCTTACCGTAGCGAAGCAAAGATGTAAAACCAAAATGTTCAAGCAGCAAATTCGGTTTCTCATTCCCATCCTTATCAAGTTTACCAACAGCATAACGCAACAAAATTTGCATGAATTAGTTTTACCAAAATCAATATACTTTCTATTCAAATTAGAAATTGCACAGACTGTAGAACTACTGTTCCAGAAGATTTCAGCCAACAAAGATGTAATTCATGCTGTGTAAATACAAGCTATAAAGCAAAACATAACCCGAATTTGACAGCTTTAAGCCTTCATATCTTGACATGTAGACCTTTCTGAGCCACCAGAATAACGCCAAACAATTGTGCTCGAGTAGCAGTAACTTCCTGACACATTTGCTCAACTTTTTGGGGACCCAAAAAACATGGCCAAAAATCGACCAAAAAGCATGAGGTACCCCTCATGGTTTTCATCGAAAAAAATCATGGCTTTCTCCGCTAAAGATCACAAAATAGCAGAAAAAGGTGGGATTTCCAGTAATGGAGGTTCCACGCTGGATTCTAGCCATAATCCAGGCAACAACATTTTTACCTATGCATCACTTTTTCAAGATATCAAGAGTCAGAAGCGAACAACCTTCAACATTGCTCCAGCTATCGACAACAACGCCTCCACAACTGGAAGACCTTTGGACTACAACTCAACATTCGTAGAAGCTAAAGATGACTACTCTCTCGTCATTGATTGTTCTCAATTTGCTGGGATGGTATTCAGAGAGAAGCCCTTGCTCACTTGTCTTCGAGATCACTATTCCAAAGGATTGGGAATTAGAACACGTATGGTTGGTAAGAACCATAAGGTCATTGAAATCAGCTTTCCAAGCCAGGAAGATTGCGAGGAGGCTCTGAACAAGGAACTCGTCTTACAAGGGAAGATAATTAAGGTGAACAAGACTTTGGACAAAAATGCCAACGTCCTCAGAGTAGGTGTCTCTGAGCTTCCTTACAAAACTGAAGAAGTTTTGAAGCCTTTGATGGTGGAGACCTTCCAAAAATATGGGGACATTCTCAATCTTGGTCTTAGCTATACCAAAGATGGTAATTGGTTTACTGGTCGCGGTTTTGTCACTCTAAATAGGGACAAATTAAAAAGTTACGCAGCTGAACTTACCCCTCAGATCCAGTTTGGGAATTTCAAGGAGAAGCTACATTTGGTTTGGAGTAACATGAACCCAATTTGTCAAGACTGTCACACTGATGATCATATCAAAGCTGATTGTCCTCGAACAAAGAGGAAAGCATGTTTCCGATGCGGAAGCTTGGAACATCTCATCGCCGGGTGCCCATTAGCCTCATGGAATAGAGTGAAGAAAACTAATGATCACAACAAACAAGGTCAACATCGCCAGCAAGAAAATGTTGCCCAACCTAAACCTATAGGTAGAAAGGTTGACCTTTTAGATCTAATGAATGTGGACCCTCCTAAGTACCTCAACCACAAGAAGGGGAAAAGGAAGGCTACATCCCTTTCGTCGAAATCCACAAGCGATGATGAGGCACTTTCCAAGGGGGAAGTATCTTCAGCTGACGAGCCAGAGTCTGATTCCGACGCTGAAAATGTCCAAGAACATTCAACCAACTTGAACGACAGCAAGGATATGCAAATGGAAGAGGAAGGTGACTCCCATGATGGTGAATCTCAGGGTGATGAATCTCAGGTTGCTGAATCCGAGGGTCGGGAATCTCAGGCAGGTAGCCTCTCACAAGAGGATGCTCCCAAGGGACATCTCGAGGAGGAGGAGGACAATAATTCCTTTGGTGATGAGGAGTATGTCAAGTCTACTAGCGAGGAAGATAGCGATGGGGAATCTCCTAAGGTTGTTCAGGACAATGTAAGTAGATATAACTTGCGACACTCTGGGCACAAGAACAGTGTAGATGAACCTACTGAGGAACATCCCAAGCGATCTATCGATGAACTGGCTTCTACCCCTCCAGTAGAGGACAGCGAAGGTCCTAGCAAAAAGCAGATTAAACAGCAAGAGACTAACACCAGAGACGAAATGGTCTTGGATGGATCATCAACCACAAACACATTATAATTAATTAATGAGTAACACCAACCAAACTAGAAACATTAACATTAGGATAGGTTCCCTCAATTGCAGGAACCTCAACAAACAATATAACACCAATACAACAAATAGGTTCATCACCTACCTTAAGCAACAAAAGTTAAATATATTACTATGCCAGGAAACAAATATTCCTCACCATTCCTTTGAAAACATTACAACAAATTTTAAATATCAATTCCAGTACCACCAAGCAATTTGGACTGGACAATGTGGAGTCATCAACTTCAATCCATCACTGAATCTACAACAAATCAAAATACTAGAAGACGGAAGAGTTATTCTGACCAAGCTATCACTGGTTAACAATAACATGCCTCCAATTTACATTTTAAATATCTATGCTCACTCTGATGACTACAGGGCGAGAAATCACTTGTTCGACCAAATCATCAGTCTCCTCAACTCCATGCCTGAGATTATCCCTTCTCTCATCATAGCCGGTGACATGAACTGCTGCTTCGACTCCACAAGCCAACGCTATAATCGCCAAACTGGAAAGCCCAAAAGTTTCATTGAATTTTTGAACACTCACTTTTCAGATTGCTTGAACCAACCAAATTTACCGCATGATTACACTTTTAGACGTGGATCGTCTCTTTCCACTCTCGACTATATGTTTGCAGGCCGCGATGCTTTCTTCAAAATGAGTGATGGTGATATCACATTTCTCTCTCAAGAATGGACAGACCATGCCTTGTTAACCAAGACATACACTACCGGCATGACTAACTGTGGTAAAGGTGTTTGGCGGGCCAACCCCTTTCTTGCGAAGAACCCTATCTACGTCAACAAATTAAACACTGCTATCTCTAACTACGTTGAAACCAAATTAGATCCTAACCTATCTGCTCAAGAAAAATGGGACTTGATTAAGAAGAAAACTAAGCAAGTTACTCTAAACTTCAGCCGCACTCACTGTTCATGGAGGAAAGCTAAAATCAAGAAGTTACAGAGCGAGAGGAACAATTTGCTACGTAGGTACCGGGATGATTCCGTCTGTCTTAATCTTTTGCTTTCTCCTGTCGAAAAGGAGCTATCCCAACTCCAACAAGAGATAGTTGACGTCCAACGACTGAGAGCAGGACAGAGATGGCACGAGAAGAGTGAAAAGTCTCCAGGTTACATCAAGCAAACATTAGCGGAAAAGGCATCCAAGCGAACAATCTCTAGCCTAAAGCATCCTACTTCCGGGGAACAATGCTTGGAAACTAGTACTAAACTTGACGCTGCCAAAGTCTTTTATCAAGACCTATACACCGAGGAAGAAATTGATCTCAATTGTGTGGAAAGAATGCTACAATATATCGACAAAACAATTCCAGCTGAGGACTCACAGGACATCATTGAAGACATACCTTACGAAGATATCATTCAAGGATCTCGAAGAACGCCAAATGGTAGTAGTCCGGGCCTGGATGGTATATGTTACGAAATTTTGCACCTTCTAGTAATCAACCCGAGCTGTGAAGCGATTATTCTGCAAGTGTTCAACGATGCTTTATCACTAGGCAAATTCCCAAAATCCTGGCAGGAATCATGTATTGTGCTGCTACCAAAGAAAGGGGATATGACTGACCTTGGCAACTACCGTCCAATAACCCTAATAGCCTCTGATTGCAAAGTGTTTACCAGACTACTTAACTCACGAGTCATAGAGGTAGCAAGTGACCTTATAGGCCCCCACCAAAGTGGTTTCCTGAGAGGTAGATACATTGGAGACCATGGGATGTCGTTGAAAGTGATTGTAGACAATGCACGTGAAGCAAGATGGAACAATTCTGGAGAATTTGTCGAATATGCTGGGATTATGCTGGACAACGCCAAAGCGTATGATAGGGTACATCCCCAGTATCTATCCAAGGTCCTAGTGAAGTTTGGTTTCCCAAAACAGTTTGTCCAATGCATCTGCAAGTTATTCTTCGACAACTCCATTTACGTGAATGTCAATGGCTTTTTAACAGATCCTATCGAGCAAAGACGCGGCATCAGACAAGGAGACAGTATATCACCAATGCTGTTCAACTTGGCTATTGAACCATTTCTGCTATCTGTGACCAAAAGTACAACTATCTCGGGGTATAGTCTCCAGCACGTCAAGCCTATAAGCAAGAGAACAAACAGTTGGGTGGCTCCTCCTCCATTGAAAGTACTCGCATATGCGGATGATGTCCTGACTTTCGTCAAGTCTCGGGCAGAACTTCTTGATCTGGAAGAAAGATTGAGAACTTACAACAAGGCCTCGAACTCCAAGATCAACTACGACAAGTCCGTGGCCTTCCCTCTTCATGGTGGAAGAATGACAAGCCAAACTGGTGGCCTAATTCAAGATCATGCAACAAACAATCTCAAAATCAAATGGTATGATTCTACGTCTACAGGATTTATAAAATACCTAGGTTATCCAATTTGGTTCTGCAATCAACAAAGAGACGTATACATCGCTAAACTGCTGGGTGATATCACTACTGCTGTTGAAAGGTTTGCAGCACGACAAGTCTCACTGTACGGCAGAGCGAATATTGCCAACACTATGATATTGTCCAAACTATGGCATGTCATTCGGATCGTTTCCCTGCCCAAAGACACAGTCAAGAAGATAACCTCAATCATTTATCAGTTTGTAATGTCTGGCTTGTATCCACCTCTAAAGGGCAACTCTCTCTTCCTACCAAGGTATCAAGGCGGTTTAGGACTGATTGATATAATGGCGCAACAAAAGGTTCTGCAATTCAGATACCTGAACGCTTTGCTGACAGAAAACAGCAACAACATACCTGGTCTCACGTATAGGCTACTAGTGGATTATTTGAAGATGTCGCACGACTCACCATCGCACATAATCCCTATACTGTTCCAAACGGCTAGATACAAAAACCAGTTAAGAGGCTTCCACCCTTATCACATGATGTTCGAGGCAATAGATACTTATATGAAGCATTCCCCATTCTCACTCGCTTGGTCTGTCAAACCAAATGTCATGACACTCTTGTCATTGCCAGTGCTGGAAATTCTTGATTTTGTCAATGAGGAAGTAGCCATGGGATACACAAGCAGAGACTCGATCAGGGAGAGTAAAGTTCATGACTTCTTCCACGTCAACCAGGAAACAAGTACTCTGCAGATAAAGCCAAGAAGTGAATGCAAGCGACCAAACATTAGGAATCAGATAGAAAGAGGTCTTCTCTGTGGGAACATCAGATTGGAATCTTTCGCGGATACAAGAAACATGGAGGCTCATCTAGACCTACAGCCTTTCGTTGCTATGCTTAACTACCAAGACCGCCCAATGCTTCAAATGTCAAACAAATACTTGAGATCAATTATGCTGGACATACACAACCTTGATGTTGGACGAAAGTTCAATCATACCATCAGCAAAGTCTAGTGGAAACACTTCTATCATCAAAACATGCATCACTCTGTGAGAAATGTCTGGTATAGAATGATACACAAGCAATGCCCGAGCAAATCAGCTCTTTTCGTTCGACGCCTGAGGAACGTCGAAGATGACAAATGTACCCTCTGCAATGATACTGAAGATGCCAAACATCTCATGGTTAGCTGCCCCCACAAAAACGACATTTGGTCCAACATCTTTGAACAATTCCTGGGATACCCCAAGGTTGCTAATCCACAACAAGTATACCAATCTATAGTTAACTTAAACCTGAAGCAATATTTCATCTACAACCTCGATATCAAGATTACAATCTTCGACCTGTTTGCTGCCACCATTCGTATGATATGGAGATTCCACCTCCTACAAACATTCGAAGGAGTGCCATTTGATACCAACAATGTCACCAACAAGATCAGTGCTGAAGTGATGAGATTGTCAGATCTCAAGCATCAATATTAGTAGTAGCTTTAATAGATTTTATATATGGCAAGTCACTTTGTTACATACACTTGTCCATCATTTGATGTTCTTATTATAATGTATATTTACTAATAAATAAGCAACATCCATACAAAAAAAAAAAAATTTTCATCGAAAATCAAACGATCGCGTTTTTCACCTTGAAAATGAAGACTTTTACTATGGTATATCTTGAATCAAAATGTTTCTATCGATCCAAAGCGACCTCTGAAATCATCTTTGTGGGACTTTGATATGTAAAATTTCGACTTTTTGGCCAGAAACCTCTTTTCATATTTTCATAAATCATTCAATACGTTTATTCAAATCATCTATCTTACTTGGTACCATTGGATGCGCCTTGAAAAGTACTTCAAGAATGTATTAGGAAGCGTAGGGTGATCATTACAATTTATATAGTCGAATATTATAAAGTAAATCAATCAAGTCGAAAAAAGACAATATCTGTCCAATCTTGAATAGAAAAAAATAAATTGAGCTTCAATTGGTTTTAGCAGCAGGTAGCGCTGCTGCTGGCTGACCCAAATGTCTTTCTGATAATGACAATGATGATTGCGATGCTGATTGCGATGCTGATCCAATGGAGATCATGGAGTTAAAAAGCAATGCTGGGATATAAACAGTTGATGCTGCTTGCAAACTGACCATGTTGGGCAACCTTATGCTATAAAGGCAGTTAGGATGAATACATTTTACGTAAAGGCCCACTCGAATCATGCATTTCGGATTCAATAACACATCCCATGTATTCACGTAATCGCATCTGTCATCAACTAAATTACCAACCAAAGTGCATGGTTAGAGATATGCCACTCCACATTACCACTGCTGTGAACAGTTGGCCAATTGCTTGAGAATTGTAAACGGGCTAGTGCCATAGGACGTAGTTGATCCAATCCAAAGTGTTGTATCCAAAGATACAGTATTAACAAATTAAGATAGATTTCAAAAAGAAAGACTATAAAAAGTAACCAGATACAAAAACTAAAGATTTATTAATTGATTCAAACACATCCTATTTATAAGAGATCATTACTGATGAATCATCAATCTATCTTGTTGTTTCAACTGAGTCAATACATCGTATTATGTTTATCTAATATCAGTCAATTGAAGGATCCGATTCGTTCGATCAGCCATGATGACACGATCTGTAGCCATCATTATCCTTCACTATCAGAGACCATCATAATCGATTATATGATTCACTTCTGTGTCGAACCTAATGTCCTAACGTTGACAGTGAGAAACAATGTAAATCATGATCCGACTCTTGCTGAGTTACTGAATGTCCGCAACCGCTACAGACTCAACAATTTCAAAGGTTGCTTTGGATCGATAGAAACATTTTGATTCAAGATATACCATAGTAAAAGTCTTCATTTTCAAGGTGAAAAACGCGATCGTTTGATTTTCGATGAAAACCATGAGGGGTACCTCATGCTTTTTGGTCGATTTTTGGCCATGTTTTTTGGGTCCCCAAAAAGTTGAGCAAATGTGTCAGGAAGTTACTGCTACTCGAGCACAATTGTTTGGCGTTATTCTGGTGGCTCAGAAAGGTCTACATGTCAAGATATGAAGGCTTAAAGCTGTCAAATTCGGGTTATGTTTTGCTTTATAGCTTGTATTTACACAGCATGAATTACATCTTTGTTGGCTGAAATCTTCTGGAACAGTAGTTCTACAGTCTGTGCAATTTCTAATTTGAATAGAAAGTATATTGATTTTGGTAAAACTAATTCATGCAAATTTTGTTGCGTTATGCTGTTGGTAAACTTGATAAGGATGGGAATGAGAAACCGAATTTGCTGCTTGAACATTTTGGTTTTACATCTTTGCTTCGCTACGGTAAGGCCCTCATTACGGCCAATACCATCAAACATTGGATTAAATGCTTGGTTGCCATGGTGTTGTGCCTTTGTTTTGCTATGGTCAAACCCTCTTATAGGTCAAGGTTACCAAATGCTTGAATTAGAATGTTAATATGATTTTTGGGTACGGCTTTCATTGAAAACTTCTGGGTCAAACATTACCAAAAAAAAAAAAAAAAAAAAAAAGCGCTCATTTGACTCAGAGATAACTTTGATAGTAGATAAATGATGTGAGGTTTTATTATTGTTACAGTTCTATGAATGCTAAAAATACAACCTAACAAAGCTTTTGGCCCATTTCCCAGAACATCACTTCCAAACGAGTTGCCTGCTCAAAAGTTTTGCACACTTCTTGGAAGCGAGAAGCAGAGGATGAAATGAAATGCTTACCCAACTCTTCTATCTCAGCTGTTATCGATAGAATAGAGAATGGTCAGTAAAAGTGTAACAATGGTATGATATTTTTCGTCATGTCTTACCAATGCCTGCAATAACGGCTTGTTGATAATCATCGGCTGCATATTGGCAGATCCAGTCCCAGTAAGGGTTGCCCTCTATAGCATTGTAAGTAACATGGATCCACACTTCAATCAGCATTATTACCTCTCTTGGTATCAGGGTCATTGTACAATTTGACACCAATCTCACCATAGCCGATTAAACAGGGTGCCATGGCAGCTTTTAAATCCAATATATCACCGGATGTGCCTTTGTCCAGAACATAACGGGTGTAGGCAGAGTTGAAGACGCTTTCAGGTGTGTTGAGTACATCTTCCTTTGTGATCCCCCATCTACTGCAGTAATCTAAATGAAGCTGAGACTCTTTGGCAATATGAACAACGATAGCAGCATTTGCTGCAATATCCTCCATGGTGCCGGCTAGAAACAAAGTACATTAAGACCATTTCAAATAAAAAAGATGCGATTACTTACATTTATACGCAGCAAGAGAGGCAGCGCGAGCATAGTGTTGCAGGTAAAGATAGTCTTGCTTGAGGTAGTAAGTGAAGGATTCCACTGGAAGAGTACCGTCTGCAATGCCACGGACAAAAGGATGATCAATGAAATCAGTCCAAAGATCCTCGGGAAGCATTTCTTTGATAGCTACAATCAAAGGTTTTCTAGATTTCAATTGTCAGTTCATTTGCCATCGAATCAAATCACATTTAATTTTCTATACCCTTCATAAGGAGACCATTTTAAAGGATGAAAATGATTGATAGGGCCATTGCCAGCGCCAATACCACCTAGTGTTTGTGCTATGGCTATCTTGACATATTCAACAGCATTTTCACAGGCCGTCTCAACTGCGAGTACAAAAGATTTGATCAGATTACTGAATCTCCTATTTTTTTTTTTTTTTTTTTTTTTTACACTTCCGTCTTACCCGAGACACCCTTTGCTAGTTCACCGGCTAAAGCGGCTGAAAGTGTGCAACCAGTACCATGCGTATTCTTGGTATCCACATAGTCGTTTGCAATCTCATACCAGGTACCATTGGTAGCGCTATAAATAACATCAACGACCTGATCCTTACCCTTGGCTGTTTTCAAAGGCAAATGTCCACCCTTCAACAAGATGTATTTGGGGCCGAAATTGGTTAATCGTTGAGCTGCTTCACGCATATCCTTCACAGATTTGATGGAACCGGGTTTCAGGTCCAACAGGATCTCTGCCTCTGGGACATTTGGCGTCAAAACATAGGTGATGGGTAGCAACTCTTGAACTAAAGCTTGAATGGCATCAGCAGCCAAGAGACGGGATCCACTGGTCGAGATCATGACTGGATCCACTACAACGTGGCGAGATTGCTCGGGAAACTGCTTCAAGGTAGCTGCAACAGCGTTGATGATTTCAGCTGATGAGAGCATGCCAATTTTGATAGCATCCGAGCCAATGTCGCTCAAGACAGCGGTAATTTGCTTTGCTACGAATTCAGCTGGGATATCATGAATACCATCCACGCATAGAGTGTTTTGAGAGGTAACAGAGGTTATCACCGAAGTAGCATAAACGTGAAGAGAAGTGAGCGTCTTGATATCAGCTTGGATACCAGCCCCACTATGACGACGAGTTAGTAACATGGCAATGGTATACTGTTCTCAAACTACCCTCCGCTATCACTGCCAGCAATGGTCATTGCCTTTGGAAGAGCCACTTTGCCAGACATTTTGTACTATGTTTTATTAGGGGATGGAAAAGAGAGATGATTTTTTTTTTATACACAAGATGGTTCCGGAAAGTTTACTTGCCGCCGCCCATCATCGCTTTAAATTCATCAAAACTAATCTGGCCATCTCCATTAGCATCAGCTTCTTTAATCATGGCATCCAATTCCTCTTCAGTCAAATTCTCGTTCAAAGATGACATGACTTTTCTCAATTCACTACGGTCAATCACTCCATTTCCATCTGCATCAAACACTCTGTTTACAATATGAGGAGTTTATCATCCATACACCTTATGCCCTCTCTTTCTTATACGTTACTTGAATGCTTCCCGTAAGTCGTCAGTGTCTTTTCCTCCAGATTTCAGGTCCTTGACCAAACTCAAAAACTCTTCAAAGTCGATATTTCCGTTGCCATCAGCGTCTACATCGCTCACCTATGGTAACATACTATCTCGTTACGCTTGGATACCTTCCATTCTTCCCTTTCAAATACAAACCATATCATGTAATTCTACGTCCGTTGGATTCATACCGAATGAACGCAACACCACACCGAGTTCAGCGGCACTCACGCTTCCATCACCGTTTTTATCGAAAAGTTGGAAAGCTTCACGATACTCTTGAATTTGTTCGGGTGTCAGTTGATCACTCTACGTCAAAAAAAAAAAAAAAAAAAAAAAAAGAAAAAAAAAAAGCTGTTTAGTCTGTATACCATCGGCAGTGAAGGCTTTGATTGCTATTCCTTGCCATTTTATATAATTTTGTTATGATTGATATTGGAGAAACAAGAAAAGAGAAAAGAAAAGAAAAGAAAAAAAGAGAAAGAGCAGCTATGCTGTATTTAGATGATGAATCACAGTGCGTTAATTGATCAGATTTTTGTATGCGTCGTACAGCAGAGCCTCTTGTTCTTGATTGAAAAGTCCCTTCCAAAGCAAGTTCTGCTTTCTGAAAAAGGCAGATTCGCATGTCGAATGATGTGTTTCTCGCCATTACCAAGACTCAACTTACTGTGGCTGGATGCAATAGGTTTCTGATGTAGTATTGAGATTGTCGAGCAGAGTTAACTCTTGTTATATGTGCCTTTAACTGTGTGATGACGTTCAATTATGAAACAACACAAACCTATGAAGAACGATGCCAATTCTGGTCCAAGTTCCCTTCTTATTATCATGGCTTCGCTTGAATACTTGGTGGCAGTAACCTTAAGAGGGGTTTACCGTAGCGAAGCAAAGATGTAAAACCATAGCGTTCAAGCAGCAAATTCGGTTTCTCATTTTTATTATTTATTAATAATGAGCTTACCAACAACATAACGCATCAAAGCTTGCATAAATTAGCCTTTCCAAAATCAATATGCCTCCTACTTGAATTACAAGTTGCACAGGCTACAGAACTTCCCTTCCAAAAAAGTACAGCTACCAGAGGTGTGATTCATGCCATGTAAATAAAAGCTATAGAGCAAAAATATAAGCAAACTTGATAGCTTTCAAGCCTTCATATCTTGACATGTAGACCTTTCTGAGCCACCAGAATAACGCCAAACAATTGTGCTCGAGTAGCAGTAACTTCCTGACACATTTGCTCAACTTTTTGGGGACCCAAAAAACATGGCCAAAAATCGACCAAAAAGCATGAGGTACCCCTCATGGTTTTCATCGAAAATCAAACGATCGCGTTTTTCACCTTGAAAATGGAGACTTTTACTATGGTATATCTTGAATCAAAATGTTTCTATCGATCCAAAGCAACCTTTGAAATCATCTTTGTGCGACTTTTGATATGTAAAATTTCGACTTTTTGGCCAGAAACCTCTTTTCATATTTTCATAAATCATTCAATAAGTTTATTCAAATCATCTATCTTACTTGGTACCATTGGATGCGCCTTGAAAAGTACTTCAAGAATGTATTAGGAAGCGTAGGGTGATCATCACAATTTATATAGTCGAATCTCACAAAATAAACTAAAGAAGTCGAAAAAAGGGGGTTTTGCCCGAGCACAAGAATGAAGAAGTCGAAAAAATTTTAATAAGTGTCAGAGGTCCGAAGACATGACAGAAGTCGAAAAAAGCCCAATCTTGAACAGAAAACAATAAGCTGAGTATGAATTAATTTCGGCGGCGGCTTGCAGCTGACTGACCCAAATGTCTTTCTGTTCATGACAATGATGATTGCGATGCTGATTAAATGGGGATCATAGACTTGAAAGGGATATGACTTAACCTAAATGCTTTCTTTTGCTTTTGTTGAGAGTTTTTTTTTGTAATGATTCGCATTACATATGTTTCAATCCACATGATTGAAACATTAGTATAGTATATAAATAGCCTTCCTTTTGACAGGTATTAAACGTTAGTGAAAATATCTGTCATTACTTCTTTCTATACTTTTATTACAATAAATTCGCTATTTAATCCTAATACTACTTGCCCATTAATATTTACAAACATTATATAGTAAGTATTGCTCAAGGTTAAGGACCTACAAATAGTAACATCAACCTGCATTACTAGTACATCTGTCTTCCCTGCTACAAGATCATTGTACTCTCATTACATTTTTTCCCTATAATGGCGTCTTTTGCAATGATAATTTCTCAAAAGAGTCGTTGTAGATCTTAAACAAGCCATCTCAGGAACAGCATTAGCAAATGGTATGGCAATTCTATTACTAGAGAATGCCATACGAACTAGGAATGTGGTTTACAAATGCTGCATAAAGCTTGAACCCTCTATCCCATCGTCTCAATAATAGCTTTCGTTTGATATCAATATACAAGCAAAGAGGGCGCAGATGGGATATATCTTCCCATTCCTGACTCTGATACAACTATTGTTTACTTGTTTAACATCTACTTGATATACCAATTTTTATTGCCGTTGATTTGAAATTTCTCCGTGGAGAGCCCGCAGGGCAACATTGATTGCTTTACTTGATAGATGTAGCATCACCCTGACCCAATTTTATGATAAATGTATATTCCAAAGCTCAATCAGGCGTAGAGAGTAGCTAGTACTTGGTAGATATTAAGCTCGCACAAGGTACGCTGAGGTAATTGAAGCGATTGAAGATCCATCAATGAGATCTCGGCTGATTGTTCAAGTCGCATTGATGAAGCATAGCCGGTCCCAGACATTGGTCTGCGAAGCCACAAGAATTTTGCATCCTTTTTTTTTTTCCTTGAATCAAAGATTTTCAATTTGTAATTGACATTTCTCGACATTTGACATCACTAAATGGTTACTACAGCTGTTGAAAATAAGAAGCGTAAGCGCTCTCACGCTGATAAAAGAGCCAACAAAAAGAAGCAGGAAATTGAAAAGGGAGAGGCCAAGCCAGTCGAAGAAAAGGTCGAAGAGGAGAAACCTGCTGAAGGTAAATACATGCCTCTTATCCTCAAGATTCAATTCATTTACCTTTTTTCATTTGATAATAGTTACTGAAGAAGTCATCAATTTCGATTTCGAGAGCCTCGATTGCAGCGAGAATACCAAAAAGGCCATCAAAGACATGGGCTTCACTCGTATGACTGAAGTGCAAGCCAAGACCATTCCACCCCTCTTGGAAGGCAGAGATGTTTTGGGAGCTGCCAAGACTGGATCTGGTAAGACAGTTGCTTTTATGATTCCAGCCATCGAGTTATTGCTTCGCAAGAACTTTAAGCCTAGAAACGGTACCGGTGTCATCATTGTTTCTCCTACTCGTGAATTAGCTATCCAAATCTACGGTGTGGCAGAGGAATTATGTAAATATCACCAACTGACGCACGGCCTTGTCATTGGTGGTGCCAACAGAAAAGCAGAAACCGAGAAATTGGTCAAAGGCGTCAATTTATTAGTCGCTACACCTGGCCGACTTTTGGATCATTTACAAAACTCTCAAGGATTTGTCTACAAGAACTTGCAGACACTCGTGATTGATGAAGCAGATCGTATTTTGGATATTGGTTTCGAGGAAGAGATGAAGCAGATTGTAAAGATTTTGCCCAAGGAACGTCAAAGTATGCTGTTCTCTGCCACACAAACCACCAAAGTATCTGATTTGGCTCGTATCTCACTCAAGGCTGGACCTCTTTATATCAACGTCGATGAAAAGAAGGAAGCTTCAACAGCAGATGGATTGGAACAAGGTTTTGTTGTTGTCGAGGCTGATAAGCGATTCTTGCTGCTGTTCACCTTTCTTCGCAAAAACCAAAAGAAGAAGGTCATTGTCTTCTTCTCCAACTGCAATGCCGTCAAATACTATGCCGAACTCTTGAATTACATCGATGTGCCAGTAATGGAATTGCACGGTCGTCAAAAGCAGCAAAAGCGTACATCTACCTTTTTCGAATTCTCTCAAGCTGAACGTGGTATTTTGCTGTGTACAGATGTTGCTGCCAGAGGCTTAGATATTCCCGCTGTCGATTGGATTGTTCAATACGACCCCCCAGATGACACTCGCGATTACATTCACCGTGTTGGAAGAACTGCTCGTGCTGGCGGTAAGGGAAAGAGTTTATTGTTCTTACTGCCAAGTGAAACTGGTTTCTTGAAGTTCTTGAAAGAAGCCAAGGTGCCTTTGAACGAATATCAATTCCCCAACAACAAAATTACCAACGTACAAAGTCAGGTAAGTTTAATCTGATCATTCTGGTATTACTGGAAAAACTCACACTCCACACAATAGCTTGAAAAATTGATCGAAAAGAACTACTATCTTAATCAATCTGCTCGTGATGCGTTTAGATCTTACTTGCAAGCTTATGCCACATATCATTTAAAACACATTTTCGATGTCGATAGCCTTGATCTCACAAAGGTTGCCAAATCATTTGGTTTCAAGGTTCCTCCCAAGGTCAATTTGGCTATCTCCAGCTCTAAATAATTTGCATTTCGTTTTTCCCTCTTTGTCATAAATAAATATTACACACACTAGATCAATAATTGACATGCTGATGCCTCAGATATAGTATAGGGTGATTGTTGATAATTGCGTTGGCTTGGATCTTGCTCTACGGGCTTGATTTACCCGGGACATTGTATAAATCCTCAAATCTTTGTATAGGTGACATCTTGATCCAATGTTTCAACATGCTTATGCGGCTGTGGTTCTTGTACCGCTCGTAGATGTAAAGCGCCAAGTGATCTGCAGCCATGTCCTGCATCTTGTTCTTTCTAATGACCGTGCCTTTCCTATCCGTGATTGAATTTTGACTCAAATTTAGACTGATTGATCCATGCTACACTTCAAATCAGCTACTCGCATTGGATCCCTGAGGATTAGTAATACGGCCTAGAGCAGCAGGTGATTGGCGAGCCTCTTGGAGGATTCGTTTTTTGCGGGGAGACAGAAAGTACAATTCGTTCAGACAGCCCTGTAAAAAATTCCTTTTTCTCTTTCCTATTTTACAGCTACTTTTATACATCAATGGCATCCAAATTCCTATTCTCCAAACTCTCCAAGCCCTTGTTGGGCAGTAACAGAAACATGATGGTAAGCCAAACCCTACTGCAAATGCTACAAGATTCTCGAGACATAAAGTAACATGTTTTGCCATTTATAGTATCGTCGTAATCTTGCTACTGCAACCAACTTGCTTCCAACATTGCGCAAGACCATCCTACCTAATGGCTTCACTGTCGCTACCGAAGAGAATCCAGCTTCTCAAACAGCTACAGTGGGTGTGTGGATCGATGCAGGTTCTCGTGCTGAAAACGAAAAGAACAATGGTGCTGCTCATTTCTTGGAGCACATGGCATTCAAGGTAAAGAAAAAAAAAAAAAGCAGCATGGACACAGTACATTGGCATTGTAATTAACAGCCTCTTTCTTAGGGCACTAAATCCAGAAGTCAACGAGATTTAGAGCTGCAAATTGAAAACATGGGAGGACATTTGAACGCATACACATCTCGCGAACAGACCGTCTACTACGCCAAAGCATTCAAATACGATGTACCTCAAGCAGTAGAGATCTTGTCCGACATTCTTCAACATTCAACACTGGATCCCGGAGCCATTGAGCGAGAGCGCGATGTGATTCTTAGAGAACAAGAAGAGGTGGAAAAGCAGATGGAGGAAGTCGTTTTTGATCACTTACACGCAGCCGCCTTCAAGGACGAGCCTTTGGGATTGACCATTTTGGGCCCTAAAGAAAACATTCAATCACTGACAAGAGACGATCTTTCCAACTATATCAAAACCAACTACACTGGCGAGCGCATGATCTTGGTTGGCTCCGGCGGCATTGACCATGATGCTCTTGTCCAACTAGCCGAAACTCACTTTGGCCGCTTGCCCAACAAATTAGACGCTTCCACCAGCAAAAGTGCCATGAAGAAGGCAGTATTTACAGGTGCCGACTTTAGAGTGAGAGATCCCAATGCTCAGCTTGCTCACATTGCCGTTGCTGTGGAGGGAGCCAGTTGGACATCACCCGACTACTTTCCTCTGCTTGTCATGCAATCTATTATTGGATCCTGGGATCGCTCTTTGGGAGCCACTGGCCACCTGGATTCTCGCTTATCATCTGTACTCCACAACAAACAACTCGCCAACTCGTTCATGTCATTCAACACGTCGTACAAGGACACTGGGCTGTGGGGCATCTATTTGATCACAGAGAACAAGGACCGCATTGACGAGCTGCTCAAATCCACCAAGAACGAGTGGAGTCGTTTATCCAGCTCAGTGACGGATGAGGAAGTTCAACGTGCTAAACAACAATTGAAAGCAGGTCTCTTATTGAGTTTAGATGGAAGCACACCTATTGCAGAGGACATTGGTCGTCAGCTGCTAACTTCAGGAGACCGCATGTCACCAAAAGAAGTCGAGGAATTAGTGGCCAAGGTTACAGTAGATGATGTGCGACGAGTAGCTCAAGATTACTTGCAGCGTGATGCAGCTGTTGTTGGTATTGGTGCTGTTGATAATATGCCAGATTTCAATCGTATTTAAATAGCTTAAATAAACTTCCACGTGTAGACGCTTCTCTTTGCCATGCGTTTAATTAAGCCCATGTCATTGGCTCCTGTCTTGATTTCCCACTTTTGGGCTGACAGTGCCACAACGGTAGGAAGCTAGCAATGTAAGCTCGCAGAAGAGACAAGTGCTGCCATGTCACTGATATCATTGGCGCTTGCAATAGAACAAAGATGTATACAATAGATCTCTCTTTTTTTCTCTTCTTGATAACGAGCATAATATGCCTTTTCTCTCTCTCTCTCTCTCTCTCTCTCTTTCTTTCTTTAACAGATGATAAATAATCAGCATTTACAACCAAGATCTCCATCTTATCCATCTTTGTCACCACACAACATGAGATCTGCCTCAATCAGCAATAGCAGCAACATGATGAAAGCGAGATCAGAATCTATTTCAGCCATTTCAACGCTCTCTTCCTTATCTTCTTCTTCTTCTTCAGCATCCAGAGGATCCACACCTCACCACAATTACAGCATGTACGCCGACCAGCCTCGCATCCCTAATACAAGCGACTATGATGGCAGGTATCCCGCTTCCCCTCCTCTACCACCAGCAGCCCCGCCTCAAACTACGCCTTCTCATTCATCCGATTACTTGTCATCACCTACGACTCGCTTCTATCATCCAAATCACTCTACCGCGTCGCCCATCTCCAGACATGCACAGGGCTTTGATTTCAGAAACAGCTATGCCACTGAAGAAGAGCAACAAGAAGCCATCGCCATGATGCGGCCTTCCTTATCAGCAAAGGCAAACGCTTCCTCAATGAGCGTAGTCAGAGAGCAACCTCTGTCTCTTCCTCTGCCACCAACACCTACACCTACACAGCAGCAGCAGCAACAACCGCAGCAATTAACACCTGCAAAGACATATCCCATGTTTCCACCTACAGAGGAAATGAAGCTCAAAGCCAACAAAGCACTTTTAGAATCAGAAACGTCCTTTCGAGTGCTCTATGCAGGCGATGCTGTATACAAACCAGACAAGAAGATACTCAGCAAATCCAAGCGGGGCCATTTCGTACTGACCAACAACCAACTGCTCTTGTACAAATCATCGCAAAAGGCACGCAGCGAAATCAACTTTTTCGAGTTTTCAGGCACGCAAAGCAGCCACAGCATCAGCAGCAATAGCAGTATCACGCAAGGCGCTGCTTCCAAGATGATTGATAAAGACCGTGTATTTCTTGATTTATCCAGTGTTTATGCTGTGCAGCTGGTAGCTACCTCGCTGTATACGTTTCGCATTGAATACTTTCATCCGCAATCTGGACAAGCCCTGTCGCATACACTGACAGCTGATAACGAGCGAGAGGCCAGGCAATGGGTTCAAACACTGCGAAAGGCTGTCTGCGTACACCATCCTCGCATTGACAGCATATCAGGCACAGAAAAATACGCCGTGCTGGATCGCATGGCCAAGCAGAGCGATACGTTCAGTAACTCGGATCAAGTCAAGATGTACAAGGTGGTGTTTAAAGAAAAGAGGTACAAGATTGCAGGTGGAGACCAGCCCAAAGAAGTGTTCTTGCCTGTGATTATGGCGATTGGCAAGTTCAGCTTTTACTTTCTGCCTATTTCTGTGCTGGACGACGAGTATCTCAAGACGGTGGAGCGAGATCGGTTTGGTGTGCTGTCTATTCACTCCATTCGTTATGACAATGCAGATGATACAGTGGTGATTGATGTCAAGCAGGTGGGAAAGAGCAACCGACAACTGGCCTTTGCCTCTACGTTTTGCGAGGAGATTATCCAGTATCTGTATCGCTCCATCGAATCAATTATCCCAGGAATGGCATCATCGCTGTATGACAAGATGCCAAATCACATCAAGTATGCGCAGGTGGTGCCTTACGTGGTGCCACTGGACCCTGAGGATGAGATGACGGGACATGACGATGAACAAGTGCATCGATTCAACTCTACTTTGCGTGCCTACACGGCTGCTATGAACATGAACAAGTCTCGCTTCAATTTCACGATCACGGGCCCTTTGAAAGCCAAGTCCTTTACTTTGCTGCCACCTCATGAAGTAGGCGGCACACCTCCAAAGTATGAAAAGTACGAACTGCTGGCCATTCTTCGTACAATTCAATCCAATGTAAGTCCCTTTAGTTGTCGAGTTAGTATATGCCATAACTAATGTTACCGGTAGAATATCTTTGTGGAGGTTTGCTTGGCTCACTGTCCTCTGGACGAATTGGAGACATGGACTGCACAACCCAATCATGGCTGGACATTTGTAAAGAACCATCCTCTCAACGACAAGAATCTGCTCTCCAACGAGATTTACAACATTCTGACAAGCCTCAAACTGTTGCGCAAACTGGATCTCACTGACTGCTCCATTGGCAAGTCATCGCCTGCGGAAGACCCCATGCGAAGACACTCTGCTATTGCCACCATTGGCACCGTGATGCGATCTGGTAAAACACAGCTGAGCAGAATCAGCGTCGGCAAGAACAAGCTGACTGAAGCTGATTTGAGCAAACTGATGAACGGCATCAAGGAGCACAAAAAGTCGATCAAGGAGTTGTATCTCAACGACTGTGGCCTGGAGAAGGACATGATTGAAATGGTGCTTCGTACCCTGTTTGAAAAGAACCCGGATCAAATCATCAGTTTAGATTTGTCTTCCAAGCTGAGCAACGGCATGGCCATTGATCCTGCTTTAGTGGAAAAGATGGTGATCCACTTTAAGCGACTAGAAATCCTACGCATGAGAGGACACAATCTACTCGGTGCCAACTACACATTTTTGCTGGAATCCAGTCGTCTGCGAGAACTGGATTTAGGCGGGTCAAAGATGAACAGTGATATCGTTGCTCGACTCTGCAAGTGGATCCAGACACCCTCTTTCAACTGCATCGAGTCGCTGCACCTAGCTGATTGTAACCTGAACGGCAAGAATGTGTACGACATTTTGGTGAGCATCAGCCAGTCTGGCAATCGATCCATGCATCTGAACTTGGCACAGAATCCCATCATGAAGGAGGTCATGCATCTGCCCAAGCTACACTCTGCTATACTGCAAGGAGAAGGCCCCAAGTCCATCTCGTTTGCCCGCATTGAATGGGATGACTCTACGCTGCGTGAATTCATCGACTGCCTCAGAGACAACCAGACCATCACTCATCTTAACCTCTCTGATATCACTATGCGCGACACGGATGAGATATCAGAGGACACTGTCCGCATGCTTACCTCTTTGTTTGAGCGCAATACGTGTCTGACTGAACTGGAGCTCAACTTTGACCACAACAAGGTCGCCCGTTCGCCCCTGTCGGCTTTCCAGCCAAGATCGTTGATCTGCAATGCCATTGTGCAAGCTCTGCCTGGTCTCCGCCACAACGCGTCGCTTCAGTATCTGGACATTTCCAACCTGTACATTGAAGATGCCGGTGCCTTTGCCCTCGCTCGTGTGCTCAAGACAAACAAGCGCCTGCAATCCATTATTCTCGAGGACAACAATGTAAGTTTTTATGCGTGTGCGACTTCAATCCATACTCACTGCCTTGCTAGATTTCCATTGACGGCTACAGAAGCTTAACCAAAGTCATTGAAGAAAGCGCCACACAGGTCATCAACATTCCCATTCCTCGCAAAGATTTGCGTTCTCAATTGAGCTACCTGGTATTCCGCATTGAAGAACTCATCATCTCTGAAAACGAAGCCCAATTCTTTTTGATCCATACCACGGCAAGCGACAAGAAAAAGTCCAAGAAGCATGAATTGGAAATGATTGCTCAGGAACGAAAGAAATGCGAGATGGCTCTGCAAAACTTTGAAAGCGTGATCCATGCTCTGATGGTGGCCGTGCGCAAGAACATGAGAGAAGTCGAGGAGCAAAACTACCGTAATATGGAGTTCCAGATGCAAGCTCAGACAGCTGCTCAAGAACTCGCCATTGCGCAAGTGCGTCTGCAAGGCGCCCGATCTCCGAGTGGGATGAGTGGCACCAATTTGAGCGCTGTAGGCGTTGTGTCTCGGGCAAGAAATGCAAGCAGCAGTAATGCAAGCACCACCAGTAGTACCAATAGCAGCGTGTATGGATCGTTGTCAAGAAGTGCTAGTAGAAACACCTATCAAGGAAACAGTAGAAGATCCGTGTTTGGCTCTGATTACTCGCTCAACAGCGGCATGGTATCCCCCACTCCATTTACCGCGCATGGCAACTACAATGACACTAGAATGTACAGAAGCCCCAGTAACAACATTCACGAAGAACCTCATATGCTGGGTAAACCTCATTCCTACGATGGCAACATGATGGTGCAATCTCCCGTGACACCGGCCTTGGAATACAGCGATCCTTATTATAAATATCATGGCTCTGACTATGCTGAATCATTGTCTACCAGTGGTAATTTCAATCCCTATTCTCTTCAACACCATTCACAACAACAACAACAACAACAACAGCAACAGGGACAGCAGTCCATGATGGCATTGGATAATACAAGCTATGCTGGCATAGATGATCCTGGGTTCATTAGTGATTTTGGCTATGTGGATGATTTTGAACAAGGCATGATGATTGATCCTCACTACCTGGTCCATCATCGCAACTCTGGAGCCTCTTCTTCCAACAACTGTCGTGAGTCTATCTGGAATGAGGAGCAAATTGCTCAGCGACTTCAACGTGGGCTCTATTTACCACCGGATGAGAGAGATTAGCCCTGCGGTGAATCTGACGCTTGTATACATACAATTACACTCCTTTATATCTAATATCTATGCCCATTTCTTTCTTTCTTTCTTTTGCCTTTGACGTTCCCTTTTATTATGTACTATCTGCTTATTACTATTCAATAAATATACTATTTCTATGAAACGCATACGTTGGAATGATTTGCGGACGATTAATGTGATACAAGCTATATAAGTATAGCCAGTCTAAGGCACATTAAGACAAGCAGAACAAAGAGTATTGGAATGTGTAACATCTGGTTAAGGATTGACGCTGTTGCACGAATTCATAAATCAAAGGTACTGACAATGCCTTTAATGCACAAAATTATACTAGCATAACAATCGCTCCATATTGATTGTGTTGCTGCAAATCAGCACTAAAATAAGATGGTATTGCTTAGTGTCATTGTGAGTAAAAACAGGCTTTTCTCTTTCTCTTGTTTCCTCTTTATTTTGCACGCCATGTCTTCCTCCATGCCAATGACTACTACTACTACTACTACTACTACTACTACTACTACTACTACTACTACACAAAACGATACAGCAGACATGAGCTCATCGTCTGATGCAACGGACGAAGCCAGCTATTCCAATGCCTCTCAAGTACAGACAATGACAGAGACGCCAGTGTCCAAATCTACAACAACAGCAGAGGCAACATCAGAGCCACCCCTAACCACAGCCACAGACATAGAGGCAACTGCTACTGCAACTACGGAAGATCAAATTGACCCAACCATCCAAGTGCATACGACAGCAGAAGCTCCCATGACGCTTGAAGCCACACGGACTACACAGGACACTCAGACATACACCGAAGCACCTGCTCCTTATAACAATAGCAATGATCCACCAGATAGCCAGCGTAAAACAGATACACAGCAGAGCATGGCATCGAATCCAACATTGACACTGACCGAAACATCAATTGCCTCTCTTTCTCCTACTCTTGTTGTTATCACTAGAACATCTGGTGTTAATACCGTTCTATCGACACCCACCTGTATACCAGGCAGTACAGCAACAACGAGTAACGTGTGTAGTAGCAGTTCATCAGCATCATCTCAAGAAGCAAACGCTGCTAAAATAACAGTAGCTCAAATAGCAGGCATTGTGGTAGGCGTGTTGGGTTTGTTTAGTTTCTTGGCAGCATGCATTCTGATCAAGAAACGCAAGCACAGGAAGACAAGCAATAACAGAAGGATTTCTCCCTTTTTCTATATGAACGACCAACATCCAGATCCAGAAAAGAACCTACAGTTCGATACGAGCTCAGCAGCCTTGTGTCAATCATATAAAAACGAGCAACCTCAAGCTGCCACCAACAGCAGTGTCAGTGATATGAGTGAAAGTGTGTGCGGTGATAACGTATTCTACAGCAACAGTACAGACTATCATCGCAGTAGCGTCACCATGCATCAGCAGGGCATAAATGAAACGTTGACAGTAATCACGAATCCTGGTAAATCGTGCCATGCTGCTGGGTATGCCTCCTCACCTTTGAGAATGGATGCCAGTGTTGCTGATGTAAGTCCATTGATCTAGATGTGTGTGGATGTGTTGCTCATGTTGCATATCTATAGACGCCTACCACATTGTATCCTCATATGAAACGTAGTGATAGCAGTGATTTCAGCAAGCAGACTTCCAGCTACAACCCCTTTTCCAATCGACAACAAAACGACAAGAGGACATCCATAGACATTGATACAGATAACTATACGTTATCAGCCATGCAACTATTTCAATCCACCTCCAACAGAAACACTGCTACAACCACTACGACATCCAGATCCATGTCTCTCATGAGCTCCTTTGTCAGTGCTTCTCAACAGCAATACAGACCCTCGTTGCATAGTTCCATGTGTTTAGGCAGCCATAGAAGTAGTAGCGGTAACAATAGCAGCAGCGATGATTCCAATACCATTCCATCTTTACCGATGGCTCAGCAGCCTCCACCGAGGTTTTCACGCCATCATCGACAAGAGAGCTCACTTGACCCACATTTCTACCAACAATACCAACAACAGCAACATCAACCTCACTCAATGTCACTTTGGGATGACCATTTGAATTAATTTAAATACATGAATATCAATAAAGACTAGCAAGGAGGCGATATATTTCAAACTCTACACTATGAAAAATGCGTGAAGGATCTCCTGCATTTTGGCTTTTGTGTCATGCGCTATCTCAATCCAATCTCTCTCTTTCTCTTTCCCATTCTTTTCAATTCTAGATAGCATGATAAAGCCTACTATTACGGTGCAAGATTTACAGGATACAGACAAGACAAACCGCATCATTAACAGGTCATTCGAGCAGGTACTCGACTTGGTCAAGGAGTCAAAGCAATGGCCCGTCATTCACACGCACGGAGAAATCACAACTCGTAAAAACAAGGGCCATCAAGGCCATGCTTACATTCAACGCTCCAGTATACATGGTGCAGATCAGGTCACATATGATCAATTACGTTCCTTGCTGTATCTCAACCACAGTGTAAACGAGACCAAATATGTAAAACAACTGACAGATGCCGTTTTATTGCAACATGTACATGATGGAGCAGACCTGTTTTGGCTCGGTTTTAAAACACCCGTACCAAGCGCCAATCGAGAATTTGTAGAGCTAGTGGCTACTCGAGAAACCGATGCTCGATCCTTCATGGTAACAAGCCAGCCTGTTGCCTACAATCCAGTCAAACAGGGCTATGTTCGTGGTGCTTATGAAGCCTGGGAACTGGTCTCTGAAATAGAAAATGAACAAGGAGACAAGCAAGTCGAATGGATCTGTATTCAGCGTTCATCAGCAGGTGGTTTAATACCTCGTTTTATGTCTGACTGGGTGGCAGCAAAAGATTTTCATCATGATGTGGAAGGAATTATTAAGTATATTCAGAGCAATGAGGAGGGTAATCCATACATAAAATAGTAGTAGTGGGTAGTAAAGAAAAAAGGTAACGTAAGAAACAAGACGGAAGGCTATTATGCATCCCTGTGCTGTTGCTGTTGCTGTTGTTGTTGTTGGTAGTAAGAGGATGGTATATTGCTCAGATTCAAGTTGTTGTTGTTGTTGTTGGCGGTGGTGGTGGTGGTGGTGGTGGTTGTGTTGTTGGTACTATTGCTAGGCAAATCCCCCCATCGCATTCTATACATGTCCAACATGCTTTCAAGCTCTTGCACTCGTTGCTGATACTGATTGACTTTATCATGTAGCAGTCTGATGTGATCCACTGATTTGCGTAGTATTGTGCCCTTGTTGTTTTTGCTTGCATCTCTCTCGGGTAACAGCGTAGATAACTCAAATATACGCTCATTGATATTGTCTCTTCTTCTACGCTCGACGGCATTATGTGATTCTCGTCTTCTTCTCTTTTTATCAAACAGCTGTTGCATACTAGATGGAGGGATGATATAAATTGTTACTTGTTTTCTCCTATTTATCACGTGTGTTTCTTTGCGTTCTGATTGAAATGCATGAATATTACTTACTGTCTCTGTTGCAATTCCTCATCAATGTGCTCTATGGATGGAGAAGTCATATTGGGCCTGGCATTGGCATTGAAAGCGTCTGCCCCTGTGCTGTTGTTTGTATTATTGTTGTTGCTATAGTACATGTCTTTTGGATTGTTGGCCATTTGTTTGTAGGTAGGTGTTGGCGTTGTATCATAATTCATGTTTCCAGCTACAGACACAGAATCAGTCAAATCCAATCCATAAACAATAAATAAAACAGTACCTGCGTCTGTCTGTGCGATATACAGTAAGGAGTAATGATAATAAAGAGTGAGAAAAAAAGAAAAAAAAAGAGAGTGAGAGAGAAAGAAATTGGTATTTTATTATTTATATAGGATTTCGAATGACGTTGTTGCTATTGTGATACATTTGATATTGCACCACGGGTGTACTCATAATATCTAAACTGTACCAGCCCCTCTTCCTCCTCTCTCTCACTGTCTTGCATTCGTCTGATCGACAGCCCTAAAGACTTCATCTTGGCTTCAAAGTGGTGCACTTCCTCCCAATGTGTCTCTCGCAATGGAATCATGAAATAGAAATCGTTCTTCATCAGCTTCTCAACAGCAATCGGAAGGTACTCGGCATGTTCCATCTCGTACAGCAAATCGCTGGCAATGACAATGTCAAACTGTTGATTATGCCATTCACTAGCTTCGTCTTTGGCAACTTGGATAAAGTCGAGTTTGGATACTTGGGCTCGAGATTTGTTCAATTGAACATTATACGCCACGTTTTCAAGTACACGGGGATGATAATCTGTCACATGAATCTCACTGGCGCCCAAGTGATCACATATCAAGCCTACCATGCCTGTGCCTGTGCCTAATTCAAGCACACGGCAATCTGGAAGGTTGGGTATGATATTTTGTTGCAGCAATTTCCTATAGCAATGTACATTCAGCATCTGATTTGGTTACAAATAGTGTTGCTATTTACTTGGCCATCATTGGTGCTGCTCCCCATGTCTTGAACCCAAGGTCATTACCTACATAACATGGCTCATGAAGAGGCACAAGGAGTTCTTGTCGAACACCGTTAGAGTTCAGGTACGGAATGTGCCACGTGCGAGTAATTGAGCCTGCAGCTGATCCACATGATTGGTTAAGATCTGATAGCAGAAAATTTTATACAATTCAATAATGTACCTCCTCTACCAGACATGTGTGCCAGCAATCGAGAGGCTCTTTCCATCCTTTCCTCGTCCTTGTCATCTTCAAACAAGATTTCTGCAGAGATCAGCTTCAACAAGATGGCACTGGAGTATCCCTTGGCTCGAATGATATCATTGGGGTGAACAATGTACTGTTCATACTCGTCTTCCTCAATGTCATCATGATCGATATCACCCAAGCTCATGAACCGATCAGCAGAAAGCCGAATCAAATCATCCAATACATCCAGCAAGTTGTCAATGTAGTCTCTAAGTGTCTTGCCTTTGCTTTTATAGCATGATGCCTTGGCTAAATTGGAGAGATTTTCAATTTTGACGAGTAGATCATCGGACTTTTCAATGTTGATGGTAGTTGCCATGTTACCCTTGATCCCAAATGTTGATGTGGCTTTGTTGACAAAGCAACTAATTCACAAAAAAAAAAGGATGAAAGAATATGAAAAAAGGGGTAGAAGAGAGAGATAAAAAAGATTTTCATTTGATTGTATAGGAAAGGAGGAGACATTCTCTGAGAGAGACGGCGATTCAATGAACTTCTTTATCATTGATTGGTGTTTGATGGTTCCAGAGCATCGTCAAAACCGTCGATCTACCTAAATGCCTTCTTGGGATGATAGGTAGATACACTGACCAACCTCCAATGGGCTCAGAAAGGACACTATAGTATTTTTGCTTGTCCTAACTTTCATTGAGATTCAAACCAGTAGCATGAAGCATTGGATGCCATCAGATAAGCTTGAAAGCACGAAAGAAATCAAGGGTTTGGTATTCTGTAAAGATACTCACCAAACGCTTTTAACACTATGCTCTTTCCTAGCATTTGAATTATGCGATCTGTGTTTATATTTTGTGAGCGTATCGCTCAATCTGACCAACATTTGAGAAGCAAATACAAGAAATAAAATCAGATCAAATGTAATGTGATGTGTCTGAAATATACCGAAATTTCACAGAGTTACGCCTGTATAACTCTGCCGCAATATCATCAAAATGCCATTACTCTGTTCACCATATCAAAGGCTACTAACAATCAGAAAGGCTTGTACATTGGGTTTGTATATCTTCAAATGATCGTACGATGATGATTGCGCTCCACCTGGACCTCTCGCTTAGCCGAGAATCATGCCATAACAAGTAGTGATGGGTGCCTCAAGACACGAGGCATTCTTCTGCAAAACTCAGTTTCTAGACAGTGCTGCCATTGTATGACAACCCACTCTATACATGATGCTATGGCATGTTCCCCTTGATTGTATTGAGCTGCTGTTTTTACAGTGACGTGCACCTTGATGAAATCTGTGTGGAGTATCTCATATGCTTCTTTCTCTACTTTCTTTTTCCCTCCTTTTCATTCTTGTATAGGCCGAAGTTTCTAATGTCTACTCCAGTGTCCAGTAATCCAAAGAAGGCTATTGATCCCGCCCATCCTACAAACGAACCTTTCACTTCACCTGATGAATCATCCAATGTCAACAACTGCGTTTGTTGCGGCGTCTTTTTGGTTCCTCTAGCAGCTCTTGGTGGTTTCATTGATCAAATCATGAGAAAGACATCTAGAATATTTCACAGCAGCGACGATAATGATACCAAGAACAACAGCAACAAGGCATAAACAATCACTACCACCACTATTACTAAAAACTACATTAATAAACCTTCCCTTTATCAACATGATGACATGTAAAAAAAAAAAAGAAAAAGACAAAAAAATTTATACATTTTGAATGATTACTATATACTACTACTATCAATACAAATCGTTTTGTGCAGAATCAACACAGAATCCCTGATCATGCAAGATTTTACTTCTAATCTTTTCAACCTTCTCCTTTGCCTCAATCTCTTCACGCTGTGCAACCAAAATCTCTTCGACAGGCACCTGCCTTAAGTTGATTTGCTCTTCCTTATCCAGATCCTACACATCGATGAGCATGAGTCTATTTCTTTCCAACATGCTGATCTCATCATTTCGTCTTACAATTTCGCCAAGCAATACAACATTTTCACCACGGATTAAAAAGATACCTCTTGGAATATCACCATAACAGTTGCCCACGTAAATTCTTTCAATTGTATCTTGCAAGACGAGGTTTGCTGCATATGCCCACCTCATGTTAATGAATCCATTCCAATCGCCTCTCGATATAAACAAACTAACCAAACTGATCAAAAGATCGCAATGTGCCAATTAATTTGCGACCATCTCTTAAAACGACCATCAATTTCTCTATAAGAAAAGTTAAAGCTCCATACGCGCGTACGACACATGTCCATACTTACTGTCGATACTATCAATAAGACCAGTTGATGTGGTGAAGAAGGGTCCACTCGAGATTTCCATATTCAAATGAAATCAAAATTGTGTTTGTGTGTGGGTGCGTAGATGATGATTGGAAAAAGAGAAAAAAGAAAGCCAAATAGCAACCTATCTGTTTGCCATGTTTGTAGCCAATCTTGTGACTCCCGTCTGGCACTGTACTGCAAACCAATATTGATGTTGGTACGGATGTTGGTTGCATTGGAGTGCAACATGGAATGATTTCTGCCTTATTTTCCAAATACGCAACTTCAAAAGGTTGGCTCTCTGGCGTAACCTGTTAAAGAGGATGAGGAAATCTACTGGTCTTTTCAGATGTAAAAATCTTGAACATTTTAGAAGCAGCACAATGCATTTGGGATTGCCCCAACAGGCTTGATACGGACTACCTATTGACTCTATATTTTTGGCAGTATAGGCGTATTTTGATTCAGCTTCAAGTCTAGCTTGTCATTGCTTTACATTGTTTATTTGTATATATGGAGATGTTGTCTTGCCAATATTAGGCAGCCGTTTATTAAAGTCGCTTATTTACCATTTAATACACTCCAATGCTATGAAAAAAACGTCGTCAGAGGCATATAAAACTTAAAGCATTGACCACTGGACAAGGCTCAAAAACCTTTGTTCGCATTTACAAGCATCTACATGAGACCCTAAGTGAAGAAGAAAAATGACAAGCCTGAAATCTTATCAACGAGGATGCCCACATTCGACTCAACCCTCGAACGAGATTGGAGCTGATCGTTGATAAATATAGGCATACTCAGAATCTGCCGACTGTCAGAGGTTGCAGCTATCATTCCAAAAGAATGTGCTGATACAAGTTTTAAGATATTCTCATCACATACCGAAATAGCTTTTCCAGCCAGTGTCAATGGTCTCTTTTTAAACAAATCAATGAACCGCATACTGCCTATATGCCATGTTGAAATACTGTATGATTAAAAAGTTGCAATCACCTATATTTTGGTGGTGGACCAGGCTGGCTGGGTGTTGTCAGAGATAAAATTCCCAACAAAAGAAGAAGAAAGTATTCAGGCTAAGCGACAGTTTTTTCGACTTCATGATCCCCATTTAAGCAACATCCCAATCATCATTTCCATTATCAGAAAAGCATTTTGGTCAGCCAACAGCAACTGCACCACCTCCAAAATTAACTCAAGTGCAGAGCAAATGTTTGGTCAAGATTGGCCATATTTTGCCTTTTTCGACTTCTTTAATCTACTTTTTCATATTCGATTGTATAAACTGTGATGATCATGCCCTGCTTATTAATGGGTTTTTAGAGCACTTTTCAAGGCGCATCCAATGGTGCTAATCATAACAAGTATTTTAAACAATTTAGTGTACAATATCAGAAAACATGAAATGTGGTTTTCGGTCAAAATGTGGAGATTTTGTATACCAAGGTTCCGCAACAGTGGCTTCAGGGCTTGCCCTGGATCGATAGAAACATTTTGATTTAATATATGCTATAGTAAAAGTCTTCGTTTTGGGAGTCAAAAACGCGATCGTTTGATTTTCGACAAACAGCATGAGGGGTATCTCATGCTTTTCCGTCGAATTTTGATGATCCCAAAAGAACTAAGCAAAGGTGTCAGCAATTAGCTGCTAGATGAGAGCAACTAGCTGGTGCCACTCTGGCGGTCTAAAACGGCTTTGAACACGAGATATCCGCGTCCAAACTCCATCAATTTTGGCTGTGTTTTCTACATTTGTGGACAGAAAGATACAGTTATGATACGATACATGGACATAAATGCATCTTATGTATCCGTGTTGATGTAAAGCGTGGTTGGCCATCTAGATATTCGGGTAACAGCTACGATTGTTTAGCTTTAGTGGGTTTGAATCACGTACACCACTGTGTTACAACTTACTGCTAGCTCTCTTTAGAGATTTTGGGCAACAAATCACACACCCAACAATTGCGATGTGTAAACTACCAATATGATATTGAAAATGTGTCTTTTTCTATAGAAACTCGACTTAGAATCGAGCGAATAGTTTGATTAGATGATTAGAGTACGATAGTCAGCCTTGTGCCTGGATGAAGTATTTATTCCGTTAGAGGAGGATATACAATATTCAGAATACGGCAGTAAGGTCCTCTGCTATATTATGTACTCTTGCTTCGTCTTGCATTGCCATCTATACAGAGAAAAATAGAGTACATTAGTCATTGCTCGTTGGCATGGGTAGAGAACTTACATAATTGATTGACATAAAATGATTTACTTTTGTTGCAATTGCTGGTTCTTCATTACTTGCTTCCATTCTGAAGTCCTGTATTTCATTAATAAGCAATATTAATGAGATGAGCACGTAACAAAAGTGAAGCCCCTTGCCATTTTCCTTGGCTTCGTTGTCTAACGTCTCCACATGGCGCGAGAAGAGACTCTTAACCTTCAAACTCTTGATTCTACTTCATGTTTTTTTTAAAGGAAATACTGTTTACTCGCACCAATTCAGAAATACAAATTCATCATTTACAGATTCTGAATGCTATAAAAAGCTTTTCTGATGTTTCCATTTTTCTTGCACTTTCGAAAAACAGAACAAAAGCAGGCGAATCTAATATCGCACAAAAATGCCGATCAAAGACTTTATGACATTTATCCCGTACAAGTTGATAGACTGGGTGATACTGCTGATCTAAACCGCTATTTTTGTGTTTAAAAGAGAAAAAGTTATAATAATCCTTGAAGCATAAAACGTTTTATTATAGTTTTCAATAGTTAACTGACTATTGAATGGTAATGGGATGGCCAGAATACTGTTGTAACATCAATGTAAACAACACTGCTAACCTAAAGTAGTACCAATACAACCTCCCCGCATAATAAATTTAAAACAATTTCCTCATCATATTAAACTGTTGTGCAATGGATGCCAGATTGAATAGTTGCATCGTATTATCTTACTATTAAATGAAGTAGGCATTCAATGGTATCTATTTGGCTACCCTTTTATTATAATTTTAAATGAGAAATCAATAGGAGATTAACTAGCTAGGATCCTTTGGTGCTTCAACCTCTCAGCCAATCAAATCGCTTGAAAACTCCGCTGACCTAAAAAAAATTTTGCGAGGGTTTCCCCCTGTTTTGATGTGAGGCAAAATTTTAAGCGCCGCTATATAGCAATATAGCTGTTACTATCATCAAATTTCCCTCGGGTGCTAGAGCATGCCTTACTTACACCACCTAGCTTTAAATTCAGGCATTGAGACCCTCAATCATCACTAAAGTAAGTAGCGATAACCAAGTGGAGGCGGCCTATCTACCTCCTGGTGTCGGATAATGTCTTGTTGAGCTTCAGGGATAGGCACATCCACACAACGTAAAAAAACAGGTATGCTTCAAAGAAACATAATAAAAGAAAAAAAAAAGGAAAGGAAGGAAACAACATCATGCTACAATACTATAGGAGTATAGTAGTATATGTAAGCAAAGAAAAAAAAAGGATACTCACGCGCAATGAGTCAAAGAAAAGCATAACAAATACAAAATCAAAGATGTTTATAACAGCTCATCGTTGTTGCAACAGAAATACATACATGAGCAACGTGTATGGTAATAATCTGATGTAAAGCAACACAAACATGCACAGTTGCAGAAGCAACAGCAGTAGTATGAGTGTGTAATACAACATAACAACTAATATTGTTTCATATGAAGCAACAGAGGCAACACAAACAACAACCCACGGCCATATAACAAAGTATTACAGCGGTAATACAAGAATATAACAGTGCATGATGCTTGTTGTTCATATATACGAAGCAACAACATTACAGTTATTTGTTGAGCTGATCATATCACAGCCAACAAAAGAAAGAAAAAGAAAACGCAACAACGCAAACATTATGAATGCATTATCACGAAAAAGGAAGTAATAATACAAACGTTCAAAGAAGTTTTATATTATTGCGACCAGATGAAAAAAGATACTTACCACTTACCGCCACAACCCAATATAATAGACCAGAAAGCCAGCATACAGCAGACACCAGACCAAAGGATACACAAACACCAGGGAAAGACCGCAGAAGCAACAATAGACCATCAAAGCGAGCACCATCAAATACGCAGCAAAAGACTAGAAATGGGTCCCAAAATAGAACAATTCACAGTATAGCTACAGTACAAAACGCGTTAACATTGTATCCTACGTCTACTGAGCTGCTGTCAATCATACTTGCTTTAGTTCCATCAACAAAGATAGCCTTGTTTTATCAGTAAAAGGTTTGCAAAATAATTAAAAAAAAAGGGGGGGGGGAAAAACGCTAGTAATATAAAAAAGGGAAGAATGCTAATAAAAGATTGAGGTTGAAAACCGTCACTAGTCTCCATATAATATGGAGTAAGCACTGGAGACTTGACAGCTTGCTTACAGGACAGCAAAGCAAGATTGGGGTTAGCGGTTTCTACCGCAAGGTTTGCCAACACCTTGTTTATCGATCGGTCAACTGTAATTAAGAGGTTGTATTTAACAAAGATAGCAAATTTTGCGTTCCAATTTAGCCACACACTGCAAAAACGGTATTTCAAAATATCCATAGCCCAGCCTTTATATTGCGCAAAATAAGGATCCATATGTAATGAAATAGCCAACCAAACGCAACTTGATTGTAAACCGAAATTCACCAAATAGCACTCATTCAAATTCATGCTATTTGGATCTACTAGTAAAGCGCTGAAATGTACATCAACAACCATTTAAACATACTAAAGTAAAGATAAATGCTTATATCGCACATCGTGTGAATGAATCACTCCTGATCACAGTGTATTCAATCACACCCATGATGGTCGTAATAAGGGATGTTATCTTTATCCAAATAAAATCAAATCAATAACAAGCATATTCAAATATGACAACTATGCCCTGCTGCCATAGTTGCACAATATCCCAGATAAAGGATTCCATACTTCAATAACAAACATCACGCTTTAAACCATCAAGGTTACATTAAATCATGCTATGACGATAGCTCACCCAAGCCCATCAAGGTTACTCAAATCCACCCTTATGGCCAGTGCTCTTGCATTGATTACCACTTTAAATCAAGTATCAACAACATTTGTCAGATATCGCAATAGCAGAACCTATTGCTCTCTATCATCACTAATCCTACAAGCTAGTTGCAAATGTATAAATACTCTTCTTTTTTTTTACTCAATTCCAGGATTTTCAGTTCATTTTATACACAAATAAAATACAGTTGATTTCTATTATTGTATTTTACTATTGCTTTATTTTTTTTGTGAAATCTATTCAAACCTGATTTCACTGCATGTACATCTAGGTCTTCCAGGTGAAAGAATTAAAATCTCATCAAATTTAAATATGTTGTAGAGTAATGATATTGGAGCAACTTCTAAGGGGAAAACTAGTATTGAAAATGCTTACTTTTTGAGTTAATCGACATCAGAGATGTTATTTTTAAGCGGGCGGAAATACATATCTTAAATTGAAAATCTTATTATTATCGAACAAAGCAAGCTACAGTTGTCTAGTCTTAACAACATGATTCTTCAACATGTTAGGTGTTAAGCACAAAGAATAAAAGGATTATTATTTGTAGCTTATAAAAAAATGTTCGATATTATAAAAACAAGAAAAGACTTATTTGAATAAGATCAGACACAAAAACTAAAGATTTATTGATGAAGACAAGAGTTATTCTATTTATATTAAGTTTTGAATGCCAAAGTAACAATTTATCTTGTACAACGCTTATCACATCTGGTGAACCTCAGTATTTAGATAGCTGAGATGCACTTCACTTATCATAGCTTGTCCATGTTGTTGCACAACACAGACATATCTACCCATCAAGAATACCTTAATCTTTATAGACACTTGCAGCCCTTCTGGCACCTGAAGAAGCTACTAACCTTTAAGCTTACGTTCACTTAGTGAAATCCTGCACTACAGTCCTTTGAAAATTGTTCATTTCTACGATCTTTCCTTATTACTCATCCACATTGTTCTGAATAACCCTAAGTCAAACATCCGCTACTCAACCAAAGTACCCTCTATAACTTTTAGTAGACATATAACCCAGGTTTGTATACTAATTGAAAAGTTTTACTAACAGCAGCTGTCCAAAATTTGCAGATTTTTCAAATCTCAAATTTCTCATCCTCTCAACATCCAATCTAAAATCCAATTGCACCACCATTTTCTAAGCGTAAAACTGTTATAGGGACATGCTACTTTCAAAGCTCTAGCATCATTGAGGTTGTCTTGAAAGTAGCAGATTCATCAGAATATGATCAGTTCCAAAAAGTAGGCTTATATCTTCTGGGTTGTTGGATATTCATCAGATTGATCTGTTTAGAGATATCAAATTGGGATCACGTTTTATCATTTGGGCTTCATCAATCAGATCTTATCCTCTTGAACGAATCAATGGTGACATAAAAGCTATTGACCTTTCAGTATCATTCTCTTCACAATGTTCTTTCGGCTATCTTTTCTCCGCCCATTCAAAGGATCTGTGAATTGACCCAATGTAAGTAATGGTTGGAAAGCGTTACTGTCTGTTTTGTACTTTTTGTTACAATTGTTGCTCTTTATTATTTGCTTCCGTTACGAAGCTTGCGTTTTTTATAATGAGCAATGGCAGTGATATATATGTATGTATGCATGTATTTTGAACAAGAAAAATGCATGGCATTCACCTTAGCTTCTGCCATCAAATCATTTGCATGGCGGAAGTCGCCTTCCACATCCCGAGTATTGATATCTTTTATATAGTTTACCTTCAAAACCGAGGGCAGCTTTTGTTGATGCTCAGATCCATACCATCAAAGCGATTAGTGGGAGAGACGGGCATTCTTGAAATAGGAAGGTTGAATAATGTAAAGTTTTGCCTAGAATGAGGTATTTTTAACAGGAAGAAAATGGCGATTGAAAGACAAATGAATTGTTGACTGTATCCATTGTTGACTGTGGTGTGAGGGCAATGGTGCTACGATATCACAGATGAGGGTGACGATGCGCCATGTATGCCTTTTAACCACGCTTGAAAGGCTGTAGGTATATGTGATTGACAACCAGTTTGAAATTCTCAAAAATTACTTGTAAGCCGAAAATCAGAATATCAAAATCAATGAACGAGAAACACTTATACACTTCATATGTATTATGTTAGTGCCCATCTACTCGGAAATGCGCCAAACACTATCCGTTTCATGATTTCAGAGTATTGACACAGATTCTAGCCTCAATAACTTTAGCCTTAATACATCAGATGTTTGAAAATAGCACTCAAATTCCTTAATTGATGTAAGTATTTGTGCAAATGTAAATTGGCAGAACCGATCTCCACAAGCTTTAAAAACTAATCGTCTCTGTAATGCTTCCAATGATGTCAAGGATAAGTCATAGCTTTTGTATTGATATGTATGTGACATTAGTCTATATCTACTGTATAAATGTCTGTCTATTGTCTATGTCGAGGAGGAGGAGGATGATAATGCGGAAGCTGCTGTTGGCATGGTGGCGGATGAGGTGTGCTGAGAGTTATCGGGATTGATGAGCTTCAGAGATTGCAATGATTTTTGGTTCATGTGAGATAAATAAGAGTTCCATGCAATTCCAAAGCACGAGTTCACGATAGGTCTATAGTGGATGGGTATCATTGAGAATGTAAATATGTTCACAAATGGCCAGTAGCAGTAAGCGTTCATGAGTCCCTTAAAGTAGCTGTTTTCAAACTTCATCTTGATCTCGTTCACTGTACGACCTTCTAATATCGAGATACCTCCCATGAATATGGCGAGAATAGCCGGCGAAAATACAGCTTGATCTATGCCGACTCTTACAAATGTTGCTGTATGGTAACTGTAAGCAAACTCCATCTCGTCTTTTTGTGAGAGCCACATACCTGCCCACTTGTTCTTGATTTTTACAGCATTATTAATGAATCCAAACCAGCTGCCTACCAAGGGACCATTGATGGCACCTGCATAGATCATAATGCGAACAGAACGGCCTATATCATGGTTGTCAAACCCTTTCTTCTCGATCACTTGCTGAGAAATGATATCGCCCAAGGTCATCATGAACGCTGTGATTATTCATTATTAGTCATAGCGCTCTGCTGAAGGCATTTGGCATCATACATGATTGCATCGCAAATGTTCGGATGGGTTTATTGATAATGTTGTATTGATACTTTTGTATAAAAGTATTCATTGATGGTTATTTGATCAAGTAGTAGAAAAAGAAATGAAAAAAGGGGGAAGAAAAAGGGTTTACCCTATTGTTGTGTGTGTGGGGTAAAGAGGAAGAAGGGGCAATCTTTATCCTCACTGATTTCAAACAGAGATTGGCAAAGTGTGGTTGGACAATTTCTTGTATGTTGCGATAGTGATAAAGTATGCTGCTATTCAGTGTAGTGGTGGGCTCTCTCGACAGGCTCTGTTTCAAACTAAAACGCAGTGATGGCAAGATTGCAAGCGTTTTTTTTTTTTTTTGCCTGCTGTAGCTACCTGTAATGATGGTTGCATAGTTCTTTGCATGCAATTTCTTGCGTGTAAGTTGCAATGGTGGAATGCTCATGCATTGGCGCATTTATCCATGCCACCCATTTCATTATTGAATGCCAAATCATCATGCGCATTATAAACAAGCCTGGTGTTGTCATAATAAATAATGAAACGCTCATTTTAGTGCCACCATGCTCCAAACATCTCACATGTATTTATGCAAACGGGTCTATGTGAAGCAACCAGTTTGCACACATTTGATCGGAGAAAGCTTGAATCCACCAGGCTCCCTTACCCAAGCAAATGCTCGCAGTATTGACTATACATCTATATATTGGAGTTCTTATTCAGAGCCTAATAGTCTATCAAAAGGGCTACATCATAGGGATGCCAGAGCAAATAGCAAGAGCCGCACTGTTTAATCTCAACTGTGGCATGTTTGATGATTAATCAAAACTGAAAGTCTCCACACCTTGCTTAATTTCCTGGGACAAAAGAAGGCTCCAATTATACCGAAATGATGAGATTTAAGAACCGTGGCCAATTGATGTTTCCTATCCCAAAAGTTGAATTCGTCAACGGCTTGATATTAACCCACACGCTCTTTCTGGAATTCCCATTCTCTCTTTTCTTTTTCTCTTTACAACAACAAAAAAAAAGCATGAACCACTCATTTCTAATTCATGTGTCAAAGACCATTCCTCGCTCCAAAGTGAATCAAGCGATTTGGTCACAGCTACAATCACCAGCAGCACCTAAACCTCTGAATTTACGTTCGTTTTCAACTAGCCGCAGCCAAGGCAACGTGTCCATCTGGGGTGGGGAAAATGTCATTCGAGCTGCCAGAAAGAACCACCAATCATTATGCATTGGACTCGAGCCTATTCGCAATGCAGCAGTATTGCGTCGTGCTGCTTCGTCTTATTCAACTGTCGAGATGAAGGATCGTGATCCCAAAGACAATCCCTCTGATCAAGCACCTCCACCAGCCAACAATGGTGGCAATACAGCCGGCAATGGCGATGGCCATGAAGGCGGCAACGGTAGTAATAGCAATGGAAATGGAGATGGCAAATCAAACAAGAACCATTCATGGGATGTAGTGGACAATCAGCTTCAAAAGCCAACTGTGCCCGAGGTGTATCCCCAAGTGTTGGCACTCCCTATCGCTGGTCGACCTTTATTTCCCGGATTTTACAAGGCAGTTGTCATCAAAGAGCCAACTGTTACTGCAGCAATCAAAGAGCTTATGAAGCGCGGTCAACCTTACGTGGGTGCTTTTCTCTTAAAAGACGAAGGATTGGACGTAGACACAATTACCAACATTGACCAAGTGCACAAAGTGGGCGTGTTTGCTCAGATCACAAGCGTGTTTCCTGCGACATCTGGAAAAGAGGAAACGGGATTGACGGCAGTGCTGTATCCTCATCGACGTATCAAGATCAACGAACTGCTCCCCATCAAGGAGAAACACAGCGTGGCTGCTGTGGAAGAAGTGACATCCAACAAGCCTGCAGTTGCTGACGAGGGCGACAAGGCGGTTGAAAAGGTATCAAAGAAGGCCAAATCTGAATTTGAGCCCGAGAAAGCTGTCGTGCAAAAGTCAGGTAAGAACATGCTTAAATTGTGTGTGTGTGTGTGTGTGTGTGTTGACATGACACTCATCTTTTTCTGCTGCGTAGATGAATTCTTGTCAGATGAAGCTGCTGCTGCAGAGGCCAATAAGACCGACTCACAGTATGCCACCTCATTTTTGGCTGATGATTATGCTGTATCACTTGTCAATGTCGAGAACTTTGTAGAACCTGAATTTTCCAAAAAGAGCCCTTACATTCGCGCAGTAACATCTGAAATCGTCTCTGTATTCAAGGAAATTGCATCGTTGAATCCTCTCTTCAGAGACCAAATCGCCAGCTTTTCCATGTCACAGTCTGCTGGTAACGTCTTTGATGAGCCCTCCAAGTTGGCTGATTTCGCTGCTGCCGTGTCTGCTGGTGAAGCATTGGAGCTTCAAGAAGTATTGGAAACATTGCCTGTTGAGGAAAGACTTCAAAAGTCGCTTGTCGTCCTCAAGAAGGAGCTCATGAATGCTCAGCTACAAAACAAGATCTCCAAGGATGTCGAGAGCAAAATTGCCAAGCGTCAGCGTGAGTATTACTTGATGGAGCAATTGAAGGGTATCAAAAAGGAGCTTGGATTGGAAAGCGATGGCAAAGACAAGTTGGTGGAGGGATTCAAGGAGAAGGCCACCAAGCTCGCTATGCCAGCTACTGTCAAGAAGGTGTTTGACGAAGAGATTAACAAGCTTGCTCATCTTGAACCGGCTGCCTCCGAGTTCAATGTCACTCGCAACTATCTGGATTGGATCACACAAATCCCTTGGGGTCAACGCTCGCGTGAAAACTACAACATTAAGCATGCCACCACTGTCTTGGATGAAGATCACTATGGCTTGAAGGACGTCAAGGATAGAATTTTGGAGTTCATTGCTGTTGGTAAATTAAGAGGCACCGTCGAGGGTAAGATTCTCTGTCTCTCTGGGCCTCCTGGTGTTGGTAAAACCTCCATTGGTAAGAGTATTGCCAGAGCATTGGATCGTGAATTCTTCCGTTTCTCTGTGGGTGGTTTGACGGACGTTGCTGAAATCAAGGGTCATCGTCGTACCTATGTTGGTGCCATGCCTGGTAAAGTGATTCAGGCTTTGAAGAAGGTGCAAACTGAAAATCCCTTGATCTTGATTGATGAAATTGATAAGCTGGGTCGTGGCCACCAAGGCGACCCATCCTCTGCACTTTTGGAGCTGCTGGATCCTGAACAAAACAGCAGTTTCTTGGATCACTACATGGATGTCCCCGTCGATTTATCCAAAGTGCTCTTTGTCTGTACCGCCAATGTGTTGGATACCATTCCCGGCCCACTTTTGGATCGTATGGAAGTCATTCAACTTTCTGGCTACATTGCTGAAGAAAAGGCTGCCATTGCAGAAAAGTACCTTGCTCCTGCTGCCAAAACCGCTGCAGGCCTTGAAGATGTCAATGTTAATTTGACTCCTGAAGCCATTGATGCTTTGATCAAGAACTATTGTCGCGAAAGCGGTGTTCGTAACTTGAAGAAGCACATTGACAAGGTCTTCCGCAAGGCTGCTTTCAAGGTGGTTCAAGAGTTTGGTGAAGATGAAAAGAAGCCAGTCGAGGAAACCAAGGTTGAGGAAACGAAGCAAGATGACGCTAGCACTGAAACCAAGCCTAAAGAGGAGAAGCAAGACAGAAAGCCTCTTGTTGTTTCCAAAGATGTTTCCATTGACATTAATAATGAAAACTTGAAGGATTATGTTGGCCCTCAAGTCTATCAAGCTGAACGCCTTTATGAAAAAACTCCTCCTGGCGTTGTCATGGGCTTAGCTTGGACTAGCATGGGTAAACCGATGATATATATATTTTGTATACATGTTGATGCTAACTGGTTTTTTTTTATGATGACAGGTGGCACTTCTCTTTACATTGAGTCTGTTTTAGAGTCTTCACTCAGCCCCAAATCCACCCCTCATCTCTCAAAGACTGGCCAGCTCGGCGATGTCATGAAGGAATCTACAAGCATTGCTTATACATACGCAAAGTCTCTGATGGCTACACATTTCCCCAAGAACAAGTTCTTTGACAAGGCCAAGGTTCATTTGCACTGTCCCGCTGGCGCTGTTCCCAAGGATGGTAAATAGCATGTGTATTAAGATATGTTGCAGGTTGTATTAACATTGAGTTGTGATAACAGGTCCTTCTGCCGGTGTCACAATGACCACTGCATTAATGTCATTAGCTCTCAACAGACCTGTCAGTTCCAACATTGCCATGACAGGTGAATTGACTGTTACTGGTAAAGTATTGAAGATTGGCGGTTTGAAGGAAAAGACAATTGCTGCCAAGCGTTCCAAGGTGAACACCATCTTGTTCCCTAAGGATAACCAAGCTGATTGGGATGAGTTACCCGACTACATCAAGGAGGGCTTGACCGGTGTGCCTTGCGACACGTACAAGGATGTCTATGATGTTGTCTTTGGCGATATCCAAAAAGAAGAAGTCGAGAATGTTTGGAGTGATGTTTTGAAGGAAGAAGAGGAAAAGAAGGAGACCACTACTGCTTAACCATAGACCTTGTCAATAGAAATATAAGCCTTGAATCTGTACAAGTTTTTACTAATTGATGTATGGCCATATTTTGAGTTGGGGCAGGCAATACAATTATAATGTCTTCCTGTATATAGATTGCTTTCATTACTGTAGAGGTAGAGGACCGTAAATGAGCTAGGTTCCCGAGGACAGAGATTGGGGTTGCTTAATTGCAAATGACAAACAAAACGCTGAGAACGAGAACTGTATTCTCTGTGCTACATTTGATGTAACTGATTTACAAACGATGGTATTAATAGATACATATGACGAGAGTGATAGACTTGGACGCTAGTCAAGTTTGTAATGGACAACACCTACCTTGCTATACAATGATAGAGCATGCGACAGATAAAGCGACTCACCATACATGTGAACACAGATTATATGCGCTGCTTTACATAGTATTAGAATACAACATGTGTGTAAAGTCGATATATTTAGTGACCATAAAACTGGTGCTGCCTCCTTAATACATATTGGATTAATTTGCCTCTCCATTCTATTTTCTCTCTTTCTTTCTCTTTGATTGCATAAGCATACGTATAAATGGACAAGAAGAGAGCTCATCACATATCAGCCCCTATATCACCCAATTACCATGGATTCGGACACTCCACATCAGACTCACTGTTTGACGATTATCCACCGCCTGCCTATCAGCCCCCACATAATATGGCAACCTCTCTTGGTGCTGTGTCTGGAGCAGCCATGCACCCACCGCCACCAGTACAAAGCAAAAGCAACCAAAATTTGAACAATTTCAATCAGATGAATCAATTCTATCATCCAACACCGCCACCACAAACTGTCATCATCTACCGTCAGCCTACTCGATCAAAAGACGCATGCTGCTGGGGATGGTATGTTCTTAACCAGAAATACATTTTCATCTACTCACTCGTACATTTCTGTAGCTTAGCAGCATTGTGCCTTTGCTTCGGGGCGAAAGAATGTTGCTAGACCCAAATCAACCTAGAAAAAAAAAAACCTCATAGAATGTATACCCCCACTCTCACATCTCCAATTTAGCATCATGATCAGCAACTTTATTGTAATTGTAATAAATTCTTATTTCGGCTGTGTGTACAACCCTTTTCCTCGTGTATTGTTGTTGGTTTGCTGTTTCCATTGAAAGTAATCGCAGCTGTGTTCTTCTCTCGGTCCATCTTTCGGTCCAGTGGGTTTGCAACAAACGTAGAATGCTCGACCCGAATTGGGCCCTTTTTTGGATACGATCCTCTCAACGCAAGGCAGCTTATGGAATGTACAAGTGGGTATTTCAGGTGTCTTGAAGATTGACGTCCATGCTTTTGCCGTCACCTGCTTTTCTTGGGCTTCCTCAATAAGTGCATTCACATCAATATCCCCCTCTAGTTCTTGGGTTGCTTGCTTTTGGGGCAGTTGCTGCTTTGTTGTCGTTGTATTTGAAATAATGTCCGTGTCAGTATTGTTTTCTGTCTTTTTAAAGAAATAGTTCATCAAGGCTGTGTTTTTAGGCGCTGGCTTCTTTGTGGATTTGAGCTTTTTCGATGGCTGCAGCTTGCTGGATGTGTTGCTGCTACCATTGCCGCTCAGCACTCTCTTTAGCGAAAGAGCAGAAGGTGTAGGTGCTGGGTTAGCCAGTGGTGGTTGAGCAGAGGATGGTGGGTTGGACGATGCTGATGATGGCTTTGCGAAATAGTTTGATAATTTGTTTTGCTTGAACTCTGGGAAATTGGATGTCAACAACGGTGAAACGTAAATAGGTTCACTTTGATCCACAATCGTTTGATTTATGGGCGAAAAGTCGGCAAACACTGGGCAATGATCTGATCCAAATATATCTGGCTGGACATCTGAATACTTGAACCATGGTTTCAAGCCTTTGGAGGCCAGTATGTAGTCAATTCTCGTACCTAGAAAGAGCTCATGTTGAGTAAAAAAAACTGGAATAAGAAAAGACACTATACAACTCGCGTTTTTTACCGAAATTTCCAGGTCTAAATAGAAGTGTGTTACAGGGTCAATAGACAGAATGATGTGATTTCCTATAATAGATAAATACCTCGCATTCAATCTTGTATTCCAACCTTGGATAGTATAAATTAATTTATATGCAATTTTCTATTGTAAATTGAAGCTTACATGTGTACATTTTTAAGCGTCCAGGGTGATAAAGACGGGTCATGTCAATCAGAGGCCCCTTGGGGTCAATCATATTATCCAGCCATCGTCTATGCGGTAGATCCTTAAAATCAGCAATGCAGTGATCCTTCATACTCTGTTTTGCATCGCAGTGATCCATCTCCTCGTGCACTGCGTTGATATCACCCACCAGCAGCACTTGCTTGCCTTTTTCTAGAAACGATTCAATGCGCTTTTGCACACAGTGGTGATAATCCATCTTGAAATCGCTGCGGCTCTCATTCGAATCGTTTGGGAAGTAGATGTTGAACAGAACAAAGAACCCAAAATCCAAAATGATACATCGACCTTCATCATCCAGTAGTTTTGCTGGCGTGCTCAAGTCATATTCAAAATCATCGTCTGCGGCATCGAGCACGCCTGTGATGCCTTCATACGTTCGTCTTGGCTGTGTTGCTGTATCCTTGACATATACGGCGACTCCAGAGTACCCCAATTTGACTTTTGAGAATGAGAAATACGCATGATAGCCTGGCACAAGAGCCATCTCTTTGGACAACTTGGATCGTTGACATTTGACCTCTTGAAAACTGGTGGGCTGAGGTGTCAACAAACGGACAAGTATGATGTTTTGAGTGAGCGAGTGTACCTACCAAATAATATCCGAATCTAACGCGTCTAATAGAACCTTGCAAGCTATTTAGTACCAATCAACAGATTTGCAATGCAAAATTACTTTATAAGACTTGGTCTCAGACCATGGATGATATTGCAAGGTAGTGGCTAATCCATTCACGTTCCATGTCAGCACTCTCATGATGTTTTGGCTTGTGAAAAGAGCAAGTCTACTGCGCAAGCTGAAGGTCGCTGAGATGCAATTGCATTGGTCCATGGTGTGAGCATATGAAAACTCTCCTGGAATAGCAATTGCTCTCATACACCCTGTGATGAACGGCCTTTGAACTCGACATTCATGCGTCTCCATGGCAACAGCACTCATCACGCACAGCAGAGACCAGAATTACGCGCTAGATAATCTCACGTCATTGCACTGATGTGATTTATAGCTTGATTTATCCATTTCGGTAAACGCAAAGCTCTCTGAATAGGGTCAAATGCTCAAATCTTACCTAGAGATCCTAAAAAAGGCGTAGATCAAAAGGTTAATCCGGCTGATTAAAGAGATTTGTATGACCAATCAACATTTTCATGCAATTTAGCCCAGGTACAAGTGTCTAATTGTGTTGTGATACAGTGCGCAATTCCCTTACGGAGTATTTCACTATCATCTCTGTGACGTATAGCATGTTTGTTCATCACAATGCATTACAATCGCATAGATAACAAACAGATGACATAATGATTGGATGGATTTAGGTAGTATTGTTGTATATATCTTGCATTTTGAACATGTGATGCATTTCTCTGGTGCCTTTTCCTTACCGTGGTGGGAAGAATGAGTTTTTTTTTTGTAACTCTGCCAATGTGCTAAATGAATCGGAAAAAATCGGGCCTGCCAGTGTAGGCTTCATTTACACCACACACTGTAAATTCATGGCATTTAGCATTTTGCACATTGAACATGTCAATGATGTATTTCAAGGGGTGCCACTTTGAAGAGCGAGAGAGAGAGAGAAAGAGAGGAGGTTGAGTAGCAAATTAAGGAGATATATTTCAATGCGAGTATAGATCTTATCAACCACCAACCGTTTTTTCACAAAGGAGACGCATTATTACAGTGAAATGTAAGATTGCTTATCTTTATTGTTTGATGCGCTTCAAAAATTTTCATTGGTCAAGATAATAAAATATAGCTAAATCAATTTGATCCTGATAAGACACTTTGTATGATTGGCCAAGTCGGAATCTTTCCTATAAACTCATGATTTTTTATTTTTGTTTATATTAGGAGACTATATCCCAATTGACCTTTCTCTTTTCCTTTTTTTTTTCTAATTTTCATCACATTTATTAAGATTATATCAAACATAAAAGAAGATTCAAAGAAATAAATGTTTAATACCAACAATAAGAAATGCCAATTGAATACGCACATTAAGAACAAAAACTCTCTTCACATTGACACTGATCCATTGGGCATTTCCTTTTATGAGAGCGACCTCAAACAGGGCTCTGCTCATGCCATCGTATCGCCTGTCTTGACCCACCCCAAGAAGCAATTACAACAGCCTGAATCACTGTCACCGTTCCCGTCACCCTCATCCTCCTCTTCATCACTTAACGCAACATCACCAACAGCTACATCCTCCCATCACCACGAATCAAAATCATTTCCGCGACGAGCCGACGTTTCCCGCAACAAGTGTCAACTGAATCGTCCAAGCCAATCAATGCAATCCCCCTCCAGAATATCTGCAAAATCATGGGAGAGCATCAAAAGCCCCGCTGCCTCCTTTCTTGCAGGATTCGCATTGTCTCCAGTGCCATCGCAGGAAAGGCAGCCATTGGAAGATGAGCAAGAAGGCGATGAGATTGATGACTATGTCTTGGACAAGATCATTGGCTATGGCGGCTTTGCTACAGTGCGCAAAGGGTTCCGAGTATCTGATGGGCAAAAGGTGGCCATCAAGATCATCCGAAAGAACTATACACCCTTGGAGCAGAACGACATTGATTTGCGCTTGGAAAGAGAACTGTCTATCTGGAAAACACTGGATCACCCCAACATTGTCTGTCTGGAAAAAGTGTTGGAAACAGATGCTGCTACATTTCTGATCTGCGACTATTGTGCCAAGGGTAGTCTGCTGGATAAACTCAAATCACCCATGTCTGAAGAGGAAGCTCGTTCTATCTTCTTGCAACTGTGCTCTGGTGTCCGATACTTACATGAAGAAGCCAAAGTGTGCCATAAAGATCTCAAGCTGGAGAACATTCTCATTGATCAAGCCAACAATGCCAAGATTTGTGATTTCGGTTTGGCCATTTGTCAACAGCCCGTCAAGGTGAATCCAGCTACCAACTTGCCACTTTCACCTGATATCGTCAATGATCTTGACTGTGCTGCCGGCTCTCTTGCATATGCTGCACCTGAGCAGATCAAATCTGCAAAGGCCATCTCATGTCCGTCCACTGATATTTGGTCTCTCGGCGTCATCCTGTATGCTCTTGTCACTGCTCGATTACCATTCGCAGATGACTACGATCTTCGTTTACAGCAAAAAGTACTGGATGGACAATATGAAATGCCTTCAAACATATCCACTGAACTTCAAGATCTGATCAAATGTTGTCTTGATGTCAATCCAGAAACTCGTTTCAACATCAATCAAGTCATGCAATCTGCTTGGTGTACCCTATAAAATCAATTCAAAATCAATGTAAATATCACCACATCGCTATATCCTCCTCCTCCTTTCTTATATGTATATTTCTTCATCTTTTGCAACAACAACAAAAAAAAAAAAGAAAAAAACTACACCCCATCCAACTCAATGTATTCCCCCCTATCATTCTATCTCATCTTCATTCATGCTACAAAATCAATAAAATCAATAAAATTTATTATATTTTAACCATCATTGACCAAACGATCGTAGCCGTCTATGAACATGTTAGTATTTGTAACACTATCACTGACTAAACATCACTTACATGCACAGATGCCCTCCATATAACACGCCAATACAATGCCAGCACCTACCTGAGAGACAGGATGATCGAATCGTGTAAAGAATGCCAACACGTAAAAGATCTGCCAATGGTGCAAATGAATGGCTACCTGTCTGGTATATGGATTATGAACGTTCTGAGGTGCTGCAGCCACTGGTAACAGAGTGGTGCCTTCATCAGCCTGTTCCTGATGCTGTTGAGTTGCGTTTTTGTTTGTATTCCTAGTCTTCCATGAATATAACTTTGTCCTACACCAATTTTGGTTTACCTCTTTGGATAGTAAGAAGGAAGACGCCAAAATGGCAGCAGGAATGGAGAGACATGACACATAGTAGATGACAAATGGCATTGGCAGCAAGTAGCCAAGATAGATGTGATATCCTGCAAATACAAGAATGATGCTGAAGAAGTGTATCAGTTACAACAAGCACATCCTGTGTGTCATCAACTTACGCTACTGCAGTAAGAAAGACAGCCCACATCCCCTTTGGCCAGTTTCTGATATTGGGCAAAGACGTCTTGGTAAATGGCAGTTCAGCAATGAGAGCGTAGCCAAACAGTGAGGGATAAAATGCAGCCACTGTGATCCAGCTAAATGTGCATTAAGTGTGAGATGTGTGTTCAAGATGCATTGTGGATGTTTGTATACCTCAGCGTGTTGGAATAGTTGCCAAAGATGAACAGTATCAATCCATAGGAAATGCCATCAAATAAATCGCTCCAATGACGAGACATTGTCTTTTGATTTGTCTCCCATTTCAAGCGATGTGCTATAAATCGATAAACAGGGTATGGAATAATGTAGAATGCTAGTAAAAATAAACCAAACTTGAAGGGATCAAACGAATACAGAGCTGTAGCTTCTCTGTCAGTCTCCATGTTGTGGTTGGAAAAGAAGAAGAAGAAGAAGAAGAAAGAGCAATTTGTGATCTACGGCATCCAAGTATATAGTAACGAATTCGGACTTTTTTTTTAGGCCATTGAGGTGCTATTTCAAGATGAGAGGGCTTTGCTGTTTCTTTCCCACCATGGCTGAATTGCTCTATTCAAAAACAAGCGAGCAATGGCTCGAGCTGCTTGGTCATTACACAGCAGTTACACTCAAAAACCAGAAAACCATCACTGGCTATCTCTACACCATTGATCCCGCATCCCAGCATGTCGTCATGTACGATAACAAGGATCAACGCGTTGTGGTGGTCATGAACAGCTCCATTCGAGATGTAGATGGTAAGCATGCATTTTGTTTGTAGCAGCATTTGTTTATTGATATGTCTGTACTTTAGTTGATAGTCAAGATTGTATTGATTTGCACATCATCGATGCTGCATTAAAGTACCAGCAGGAAAATCAGTATACAGCTGAATGGCTTGAGAAGAGACGGCAAGGCCTGATCCAACATTTGGAAAAGGTATGTGTGAATTTGTTGATGGAAATAGACGTAAATTAATTTACGTCTTATAATAGCATCGTATACCAATCCAATGTCAAGTAAATGAACCTGTGATCCATGTCTTGGGGTGTGCACGTGTGGAATCTCCCTACGCGGCGACTAGTGTTGTATGTGATAATGCCCTGATTCGCAAGCGCGTGCGTGATATAGTATTGGACTTCTTTAATAGCAGTGGTAGTAGCAATGATGGTGAACGTGAGGAATAATAAATGGCTGTGTATATAAATGGATGAGAGATAAGGTATAGTAAAAATGGGTGGATAAAACATAGCATTCACTAAGGAACAAGGAGTGGTTGTATGTAAATGCAAGAGTGGATTAAATAAACGAGAAAAACTTAGATACACAATGGAGATGATGCTGGTTTACCCGAAGCCATGTTGTGAAGCATCACCAAGACATTCGCTGCATCTTCGTCAGTAGGAACAATTGTCTTGTGTGCCTGCTGTGGCGATGTACTGCGCTTCTCTGACACAGGGTATCTGGGTGCCAGTGCTTGTTGTGATGGTGATGAAGACGATGATGACATGACTCTGGTACCATGATGATGACCATTGTTGGTATTTGTAGGATAATATCGATGTTTCTCATGCTGATCATGCTTTCGTTTTCCATTGTACATGTTCTTTTTTATTTGATTTCTGAGTAGATTGGACTCTAATGTATGCAGATCGTATCTCTCGAATCCATATTGTCGCTTGAAATTGGCTAATGCTAATCGCGTTTTGAGTCGATGGATCATCTAAGTTTCGCGTTGCTCATAAGTTTTTCCGGTGGAGATTTAAATGCACACACTCCATCCCCTTGATTTACCTGCTTGATATCTGCGTTCTTTAAGCTGAGGCTTGCTTGCGGTGGTTGTTGTTGTTGTTGCTGTGACATGATACAATCAAGAGAGTAAAAAGGAGTGAAGAAATAAGAGGAAAAAGAAAGAGGAAAAAGAAATGAGAAAAGGGAAAAAAAAATGAAATCTTTTTATATAGAGATTTTACCTTGTTTTGGACAATGACGCGCGTGGTGGAAAAGGGGATATGCTGTTATTTCTGTCTGTTGCTATTATCAGCCGTTCGAACCTGCTGTTGTTTGCTGCTGATGCTGTGCTTGTATACGATCGAAGCAAAATATGGAAAGATGAGTCTCTCCTATTTCCACATCTCGTTGATCGCATGATCCATACCGTAATTTAACCGATGGCATTTAGTATTAAAAATTTATCAAATTCTCAATCATTTCCTCGTTCTGCTTGGTTGTTGTTGGTATGTAGATGGCTCTTCTCGCCTTCCTCTTTCCGTATATGCTAACAACAAGATCATAACTTGTACCTGTATTGATGCGTACATGCTTTATTTGCAACGCACAGACTTTTTATGTGTACCCACCAATGACTCCATCATCGGGTGTCTAATCGATGCTCTCAGTACATGAATGTTTGGTACATTGCCAAATCATCAAGATCGACCGTTTACTTTGCAAGCTGGATTATTTAAGCGAGTTCCTATACTGGACCCTGGGGGGTTTTTTTTTAAACAAATACCCATCTCTCCTATGCTCAAAGACATCTTCCTCGGCACTTGATCGATTACTGCCAATGCCATCTTCCAATTAAGGTTATGGCATCCCGGATCCTCATCATCGCGTCTTTATTTCAGTTGCATCGCCACAGAGTGTCCTTGGGGTATGCATTTTCAATTGCTTTATAGAATTGTATGCTTTCCTCTAGTAGAAAATTGATAGAACCAAAAAACAGGAGATCTTAATAAGACGTCACTTGTGATTGAAAGGGTCATTTGTGTTACAAATGGATGCTTCTTTCTCTGATATGGTGTCCTCGGCATGCTCATAATTGATAGGCTTGCTCTCTTACAAGATAGTTAGCCTAGCTGTGAGCTTTTTGATCTCAAACAGAATGTGCTCAACTTGCATGCTTTCCAACATTTAGTTCAAGCGTGAGGCTGAACTAACTTTGCGCATAAAACGCTGATGAAACCCCAAAATGATCATTTCTACGTTGGTCTACTTCAATTTCTCCCTCTGTGCATTGTTCAAGCAAGCAGACCAAGCTTCTTGCAGTAGTCAATCTTATTAGCAACTTTGGAAGCATCTAGAGAAAGTAGCTGAGGCTTACAGATCAAGATGACAGATACAGATTCATGCTGAATAAGACACTGGGTTTCAACTGTTGGGACCTGTTTTGCTTACATGATCATGATTCATCTAGGAATATGTATAAATTCTCCACGTTTTTCGAAAGAAAGCCATTTTCCACTCTTTCGAAACACAAACACTATATATATATATATATATATATCAAAATGACTAGCCGTATTCCAGTTACGATTATTACAGGCTTTTTGGGCGCTGGAAAGACAACACTCTTGAATCAGATCCTAGATGAAAACCATCAAGCATCTGACAACAACAGCTTACGCATTGCCGTCATTGAAAATGAATTTGCTGCAGCATTTGGTATTGAAAATGAAATACTGCACCAAGACAAGATCGAAGACGTGCAAAGCCTGTATGAATTCGGAATGTAAGCAGTGGTAATCCTTGAGGTGAAATGTCAGTAAATTGCTGACTAACATGTATTCGATTTAGGGGTTGTGTATGCTGTTCCTCAAGTGGCGAATTGATCAATGCTCTGGTGGAGATTGCTTTGCGAAATGAACACGAGCCTAAAGAGAAACGTATACAGCATGTAATCCTAGAGACCACTGGTTTGGCGGATCCAACGCCAATTGTTCAACAGATAGCTCGAGGCGCGAATAAAAGAGGAACCGATGAGATTGTCCAAAACTACTACATCAATGGCATCGTAACACTATTAGACAGCAAGCACTTTTATCAAAATCTAGCATCACTCTCTGCTTCATCATCCACTTACAAGAACGAATTACTGGCTCAAATCTTGACAACTGACTCTATCATACTGAACAAGACGGATCTACTAACAAACAAAGAAGAGGATGTCAATAGCATCACTCAATTCATTCGCCAATATAACCCAACAGCAAAAATATTCACCACTTCATTCGCCAAAGTCCCCATTGCAAACGCCATATTTGATCTAAGGCCCGAAAGAAGCACCCAGGAGACAGTAGACATGATACAATCCAAAGCAAACGATGAAGCACAAAAGAAACACGATCCTTCCATCGAGCAAACCATGTTATTAGCGCCTGGATTTGTGGATCTGGCGGGTGTACAGGATTTCATCAAGAAAACAACAGCAAAAGGAGGCATTTACCGAGTGAAGGGTGTATTGGCATTGAAACAGAATCCTAATATCAAATTTGTTGTACAAGGTGTCAACAATGATCAATTGAGCATCACAGAACATGGCCCATGGCTCCCCGAAGAAGTGCAAGAAAGCAGAATCACGTTGATCGGTAGAAATGTCATAAGGCAATGCAATCAATTAGAGCAAGAGTTCAATGCGTATTTATTGCAATAAATAAGGATCTATAGTTCGAATCGTTCTTTTCTAATAGCCCATGAGTGGCTCAGGCAGAGGTTGTTTAATTTTACAATGCTGCTTTCATGAGCGCATACACCTACAACTGTCGTGTTGTCTTGCTGATCTAATTCTTGCAGTAAAGCAGTGTAATTGGGTCGACAGGACGCCTTGAATTTGATATAGGTGAGGTTGCTGGGTATACTGTAATTTTCTTCAGGATCAGATAAGCCTGTAATGTAGATTCTGATGCTTAGATTCAGCTGCAGTGAATCTGAAAATTGCTCCAATTCCTGTTCAAATGCATAAAATGTGTCTATTTCGCCGTTAGTATGCATGCTTCCAAGCAGAAAACCAAAACTCGACTAACCTATTGAGTGGATACTCCATATTAAATTGACCGATTTTGTCTTGATGGCATGCTGCTTCTGTTCTACGTACTGCAAGACAGAAATCCAAGGTGTGATACCCATCCCTTCCGCAACCAAAATCACCGAGTCGAAATCACCAAACTCTGCTCCTGCGCTAGTTACATACGGCCTACCCAGAGGTTTGCTGATTCTCGCTTCGATCACCTTGGACCCTGATTGAGCTATATCGTATAGTGGTTTGGTGCGATTTCCAGTTGCTTTGATGTAGAATGTAAAGTACTGGCCATCCATGGGTCGAGCAAGTGCTTCATTTTCGCTCAGGGCTCCTTCTTCCTCTTCTTCCTTGAGCGCATCATTGCTATCTATTCTGCAGATTGAAAACGGATGCGCATAGACGGTTGCAGCAAATGCGGATGGTGTAAGTGAAATGAATACAAATTGCCCTGGAATCACTCCTGCGTTCATGGAATAGGGTATGTTGCATTTGATCTTGACGATGTCTCCTGGTAGAGCCTCTGCCATCAGCATGTCGGTTCTGTAAGACCGGTCCATCTGATCCATCACCCAGAAAAGTAGCACCATGATATAAAATACGTAAAAGGACCAATGGTGAAAGCACCCGCTACAGATCAATATGACCAAGGCTGCCAAGTGAGTGATTCGAAATAATCTGTATGAAATGAGCCGAACGAGTGAATGCGATCCAAACATCAATAAGAACATGGCACTCAACATGAAGGCTCCTGTGGTATGGCGTGCATTTGATGTGAGTGCTGCTATTATGCTACGGTTCTGGGTTGTGTAGTTGGTCTGAATCTGATAAGATGCATGGTACACTACTTGAAAAAAGCCTATGCGTCCAAACCAAGCATGCCAGCGGATTGTCTCGTTAATTTCAAAAAAGTAGCGCTGGATGATGGATAGTTTGGCTGATAATAATACCGAGAAGGCAATGTTGGTTACTGCAAGTTGAGCAGCTCGATGACTCAGCGATTGCCTGTATAGATTGGGCTCTTCAAAGCCTGCATGGTGAGGATCGTTTTCTGGTACGGTGCCATTCGCCGTGCTGAATAACAGCATTGCATTGATGCTGATCAAAGACCCCACTTTGAATACATCGATCAAGGAGAAAGTGACGCATGAAAAGAGCTGCCTTTCGTATCGAAGCCAACGTTGCCAGGCACTAGTCTTTGTAAAGCCTAAAAGCCCCAAGAGTTTCGCTTTTCTGTACCTTGCTTTCTGTATCCATGAACTAGCAAGCAGCAGCAAGCCACTGATAGTGATGATAGAGATGTAGGACAGCAGTGTCGTATTGTCTCGATAATAGTGTTGTGGCTGTGTTATGATGGTATCTTGTTCATTGATGGATGGAGTGTAGTGTATATTTACAAGGGCAAGGTAGGTATTTAACTGAACCAGAATGCCTGAAATGAATAGAGTAACAACGCCATAAGCTAATACTCTCTTGAACATTATTGTAAGTATATTGAAGACATATGAAAGATTGTAAAAGAAATGAATTAATAGCCAAGCCAAGCACTGGAGCTATTTTAATACCCTCTTAATTTGAATGAAAGCCAATGACACTGTCCTTTTCCTACCAGATTCATCTCTCCGTCATCTGATCTGGTACCTTTTGCTGCAAAATATTCACAATTTGTCAATTCCTTTGCTTCAGTATTTGAATATTCATCGATACTTGCCGATAGCTGGCAGGCTCAGCTGTCCAGAGGCTATGCGGTACCAAACATCTAATGTTGCGTGCTATTCGACTGAAGTTTGTGGCGCATTGACAGTGTCGTTTGAATATCAGTACACGCACTCGATGCATGAAACATCCTGTAAGTGCAGGACAGCAACAAGTCAGCATTCTGTAGTGTAGTATATATATATATATGTGTGTGTGTGATTAATTTAAGCATTTTTCATTAGTGATTTGATTTTACATGGCTGATTTGCCCTCTGATTTTGTGCCAAAGATGGTGCCGCAAGTATCTCATCATTCAAATCTGGGTAGTTCCTATTATCAAGCCATAGAAAGAGAGCGTGATCTTTGCAATCAAGTGTGGAGCTTATTTTCCTCGCCATATCACAGCAGCATAGTTACCTTGCGCACCAAATCAACACCAAAGTCTTTAAAGGTGAACAACTGAAGAGGAAGAGAGCTTCCAGCGAACAGGCAGCTTCACTTGCTCCAGGCATAGTTCCAGGCATGCTCATCTCATTTACACGTATGGAGCTTGGAAGCGCTGAAGTCTTCCGAGATTCTGATGATACGAAGGAGCTTCTGAAAAGAGGTGACAAGTGCCCAAGAATGATGAACAAGATGGTCGGTAGACTGGTGGATCGCCGCTATACTATCCTGGTATTTGCTGCTGAATTGTTCCCATTACCTCGCCATGTTATCGAAGATGTTGCTCAAAGCATCATTCAAGCCAAGAAGAGATCCCTGGATCGTCGTACTGTCTGTAGCGATTCGTTTTACATGCATTGATAAGATATTATGTTATCGTAACAACAAAGTAGCTATGGCTGAAACAGTCTATCCAAATAAAATCTACAGATATATGCTAAAGCTTCACATTTTGAATGTCTACCATCATACCAGAAGCCCCTAAACGGCCTGTACCTGTGGCTCTGCTTCTTCTACGATGCTCCACATCTATACCATCAGAAAAAAAGTTCATATACGGACAAATAGTCCACTTGCAATACCTCTAATTACTCAAAAGCTTGCAAATCACAGCGAAATCCGGATACATTTGAGCTGTGTTTTCTCGCGTTGAAGGCCGTTTTAGATTGTGAGAATAGCACCAAACAATTGCTCTCGTCTGGCACTTACTTCTTGACGACTTTGCTCAGCTTTTTCAAGATCGCCAAAATTCGACGAAAAAGCATGAGGGATACCTCATGGTTTTCATCGAAAACCAAACAATCGCGTTTTTGACCTCAAAAATGAAGACTTTTCCTATGGTATATATTGAATCAAAATGTTTCTCTAAACGCAAAGCAGCCCCTGAAGTTACTTTTATGAGGTTTTCATATGCAAAATCTCGACATTTTAGCCAAAAACCTCATTTACTATTTTCGGAAATTGCTCATTAAGTGCATTGAAAACATCTATTACAATTACCACCATGGGAAGCACCTTGAAAAGTACTTTAGGAATGTATTAGGAAGCATCGGACGATCATCACAATTTATATAGTCGAATCTTGCAAAATAGTTCGATCAAGTCGAAAAAAAGACAAAATTTATCCAATCTGGAGTAGGAAAAAAAATACTCTGGGCTTGAATTGATTTTGGCAGTGGCACTGCTGCTGGCTGACCCAAATGCCTTTCTGACGATGACAATGATGATTACGATGTTGATTTAACGAGGATTGTAAATTTGAAGGCACAGTCGTCTAGCTTAAATGCTTTTTTGCTTTTGTTAGAAGTTCCCTATAAAGGCGTCTTTTGCAATGACAATCTTTCAAGAAAGTCGTCGTAGATCTTATACAAGTCCTGTGTTTATGCATGGCCAGCTTGATGTCGCCAGCTTGATGTCGCCATCTCAAGAGCTACATCAGCGAGTGGTATGGCATTTCTACTGCCAGTAAACATGACACGAACAGAGAATGTGGTGTACAAATGCTGTATAAAGCTTGAGCTCTCTTTCGCATCGTCTCAGTAATAGCTTTCGTTTAATATTAGTATATAAGCAAAGAGATTGCATGGGGATCAACCAGTTCGTTTCATCATTTATCACTATATTTCGTTCAGTCTCTATTCCTGCGTCTCTTTTTTTCTTCGCCTAAGGGTGTTATCAACAGGTAAATCGCCAGAATAGGCAATAGACAACATGAAACGCTCAAACAACAACCAACTGGAAACTGGGTTAACACAGCTAAATAGTACTGGAACACTTCACGAATCAGTAACATAAAACACTACATCAACTGTATGAAACAAAGCCTATAGTGTTGCCTGGGATCATGCACACTCATGCACTCATGCCAAATTAAAGCTTACTCCAACCTTGTAGTTTAGTTTATAATAAGTTTAACAATATACTAAAAGCCTGTTTGTTATTAACTTTATGTTTCCATCGAAAAAGTGCTGTGATGTGTTGCTAACTTGAAGAATGTGATGCATTCCCTAATCTATCATAAGTGATGGTCAATATCGCAGCATTGTAAAAGGATATACATTTTGGGATGATCGATTTGCGACGACAGGCCAGGTAATAGAGCCTTTTGGTTTGCGGTTTCTTTTTCTTTTGCTATGACAGCATCAACAATCTTAATATTTAGTTTTTTGGCCTTCTAGGCTTAAAAACGAGAATAAAGGGAAATCTTATATGAAAACCTCGCCTGAAATAACCCCTAGTTTAATTGGATCATCTTCAATAGCTTAGTTGAAATCTGTCAGTACAGCAACCGCTCTAATTTATATTCTCTCTCACTCTCTCTTTTTTTTTTTTTTTTTACCCCTTTTTCTCTTTACACATGGTTGAACCATCCTTTAGATCTCAAACATACGCTGTTACAGGCATTAGTATTGTCTGCTTACTGACGCTGTGGATATTGTCCTCGAGTAATGCAAGAGTAGCACTTGTCTCGGAGACAGTAAAGGATGTTCCAGACCAACAGCAACACAGAGATGTATTATACCAACCACTCCCAAAAGACAAAAACCTGTGCTCATCAGACCAATACAACCAAGGAAAATGGGTGCACCAAAGCATCGGCTTGGAATCACAAAATGTAGATGGCATCAACAAGTTTGTTGGGTATCATTGCAACTGGAATTTCCCTCATCGCTGCTACAGACGACAAGAACCAGCCAGCGAGTTTAATAGAAGTAGATCCATGTGAGTTGTTGCCATGCTCTCCGCAACGAAGCGCTGATCCTTATCATCAAAACACAGTATAGACTACACTTGGCAACCAGACAATTGTATGGTACTTCCATATCAAGCGAGAGATTTTTCCAAACACCTCTCTGAAAATCCACTCTTACTCGTGGGTGATTCCATCACACAATTAATGTTCGAAAGCATGTGGTGCTTACTAGGACAAGACTTGACTGCACAAAACAAAGACACCCAACTCTCTGGTGGTGATACATCCATGTGGGCTAGTCAATTAGTACATCGAGATTTAGAGTATCAGGATCCAGCAAAGGTCACTGTCGCTTATATTCGCTCGGATTATTTAGTGAAATTGGACGATTTTAGCCTGATTAAACCCAATGAAGGTGAGGGATATCAAATTGGTGTGGGTAGCAACTTTCCTTGGGTGCATGCCATCCCTCGATTCAAGTATATCATGCTCAACACTGTAAGTGCTACCGAGATGAAGATCCTTGGCCGTGTCTAAACTAACCATCGATGGATCTCAGGGCCCACATTGGCATCCTGACCTCAAGTGGGGTCCCAACAAGGACAGAAAGGAACTGTTGCAAGCATTCAGACGAGGCATGCGCAAGGTGTTTGATTATCTCAAGGATCATGTCAAGGCCGATCAGCGAGTTTGGGTCAGAAGCACACCCTACGGTCATGCCAAGTGTTCTCAATATACATCCCCGAGCTCGTACATCATCACACCCACAGGACAAAAGGGCGAATATGAATGGGACATGTTTGAACAGTTTGATTTTGTGTGGAAGGTAGTGTAAAAGGATGTTGTCCGTTGGCAGATCCACATCACTCAACCTTGATTTTCTTGTAGGACATGATTGAAAAGGAAAATGACGAGCGCTTCCACTTTTTCAATGTATCTATCTCCAACTACAGAGGCGATGCTCACTCGCAGCCAGATTCAGACTGCTTACACACTTGTTTGCCTGGACCTGTGGATGACTGGAACAAATTTTTTTATCATCAAGTAGTAAAATTAGTCAACAATGCATAAATGAAATTTTATTTTAGAATGGAGGCGAGAAAACGACAGGGAAATCCGCTTGTAGCGTACCGTTGTTGGGCGATGCATCCATATTAAGCAACTCTGTCAACAAACCATATACTTCAATATTGAAAAAGGGCGCCAAAATAGTGCCTGATTTATACACGCGATTGATTTTGGGTCCCTTTGCCATGAAGATGGCGCGCATGTCATCTGCTAAATTATCGTACCCATGATTACCACCCTTTTTGAAACCGCCCTTTTTGTCAAACTCGTCGTGTGTGATGAAGGTATACCCCACTTCAGGGATGGCGACGATAGGCGTGATTCTGTCAGAGTGTTTGTAGTGGAATCTGTCGGGCACATCTTTTCTCATGTAGACTTCAAAGTGGGCATCAAGGTGGGTTTGGGTATAGTTGTAAAGTTGAGTATAAATCTTCTTGACGGTATCTTTGGGAGCATCGGGCGAGGGTCTAAGATCAAGCAGAGGCAATGCTTCTCGGTTGCGCACATGCTTCAGCACGTCTGGTGAGAGAATGTCATCGTAAAAGATCAGCTTGGATTCTTGCGTTTCTGCCATGCCATGATCGCTAACCTAAAATAAGCATTGCGTTCAGTGTAAGGTTTGTAAAAACATCACTCAATAAGACTTACAATGACAATGTGGACATGGCTATCCAGCTTTCTATCCTTTAATTCCTGCACAAGGTATCCAATAGCATCATCTGCATCTTGAATGAAATTATTCATCTAGGGTCAATTTAGTACAGGCCTGCAATGATTCAGCATTAGGTATTACCTTGGAGCCAAATGGACCTCCGCGATGACCCTCTTGATCAATCTGTGGCACATAGACAGAAATCATCTGTGGTCTGTCATCATACGGTAAATCAAGCCATTTGAGAGTAACATCCATCTTTTCTTTTGCCGTCATGGAGCTGTTGTACTTGACCACCATATCAGGCGGGTTGTAGTTTGTCTCTGAGCCTGGCCACATGATGGATCCAGTTCGCTTTCTGTTCATTCTTGATGTTGTCCAAATCTAGTGAAGAGTAGGTGTCAATGATATGTACAGTGTACAGGTCACATCGGTTAACGTACTGGCTCACCCTTCCACCATCTGCGATCAGCCGTTGAAGTTGCATTTGAATGACTAAAGACTGCATCGAGTGTTGGATCATAAAACAGATTTGCTACAATGCCATGCGTCTCTGGATATAAGCCTGTAACTAGTGTCCAATGGTTCGGAAACGTGCTTGGCTGAGGAAAACTCAGTGACATGTTGCAGCAAGATGACTTGAGTGCTTACCGGAAATGCTGGGTGCATGTATTTTGCCATGATGCCATTATCCGCTACACAATCGAGTCAATATAATAGCAGCCACACGCACTTATTCAAGAAACTAACCAAATTCTTTCATATGAGGTGTTTTGCCCCTATTCAAATAATCTGGCCTGAAGCCATCCAGTGATATCAAAATAACTGTAGAAGCGAAATAATCTGTGCCATTGTAATACAGTTTCTCTGCTCCTCTTTCACGGTGCTCTGGATCTGCTGAGAATCGCATCATGGCAATCTTGAACATGACAAAGAACAAGCCAATGGCTAATCCAATGCATACAAATCTCAGTGTTGGATTATCCTGCAGAGTTGGAAAAGTCAATTTTTTGTCGCATTGTAATGGAAAGCGGTATGGACTTACCTTTTCATACACCTGCTCTGCTTCTCCGCTATTCTCCTCTACTATCACAGCCCAGTCTTCTTCCTCATCTTCAATATCTTCCTCGTCTGTATCTGAAGAACGATCTTCCTTATCCAGTAACTGTGCTTCTTCCTCTCTGCTGTCATAGGCTTCGTTATGATTGTCGATTGAACTGGAAGCGCCCGATACGGAGCGAGTCATTTCATAGGCTTCTTCTGGCATTAAGTGTTAGTATCGTATCTTGAGTAAAAAAAAAAAAAAAAAAAAAAAAAAAAAAAAAAAAGAAAGGTTATTTTGCCACGAAAAAAGAAGGAAAGGTAGAAGAGTTATCGTTGTTTAACTCTCCTCAATTTGTGATTTTAGGTGGTAAGAAACCAAGATCTGTTATTGGTAAAAACCTAAAACAAAAGACTAAAAAAAACCAGTCTTTGAACTGACTGATTGCCCCTCTCCCTAAAAGCGCATCCATGCCAGCAACATTGTATAACATTGGATGTTTATCATTAGAATCCATGGAAACAGAGGTAGCTCCAAATTGCCACTTCAACATTATATCAACAGCTTTACCATTGTTGAAATGGGTCGAGAGAGGGCATGTATTTTAACATTTGGCTCTAAAAACTGGAGCAAATCCTCTTCCATCTCATTTGTTTTTTTTTTTTTTTTTTTGTCTCCTGAAAATCCATCACAAGCACTGTACTTGTATAACACAAACTATCTTGAGCTGGGTCTTCCGCATTGAAACTTGTCATTGTACATGCATTTAGCGATCAGTATCAAACAGGCTGAACATGGGATCTGCGCATCTTTCCGTGCATCGTCTAGATTCAGTTTGCATTCGACTCTTTTAAGCCTATTTCACCGTCCGGCTTAATTGATCTGCACACAAATGATGAGTGCTATTTGACTTCATAGGCTCCAGTCTATTTGTGCAAAATAATAAATCAGGGCATATGTTTCTCTCTCTCTTTTTCAATCAAATATTATAAAAGCTATAATAAATCAAAAGGTTTATACAGTCGTCTGTTTCAAATGTTCATGACGTTTAGCGAAAACTAGCAGGAATTTCTCGTGATAGAATCCGTTTTAGGCCACCAGAGTAGCACCAAACAATTTCTTTCATCTAGCACTTACTTCTTGACACCTTTGCTCCACTTTTTCGAGATCACCAAAATTCGACGAAAAAGCATGAGAGATACCTCATGATTTTCATCGAAAACCAAACGATCGCGTTTTTGACTTCAAAAATGAAGACTTTTCCTATGGTATATATTGAATCAAAATGTTTCTCTAAACGCAAAGCAACCCCTGAAGTTACTTTTATGAGGTTTTCATATGCAAAATCGGGATATATTCGCTGAAAACCTTAATTCACATTCTACCAAATTGCTCGATAATTTCATTCAGAACACCTATTACAACAATGACCACCATTGGAAGCGCCTTGAAAGGTACTTTAAAAAGTATATTAGGAGGCGCTGGATGTTCATTGCATTTTACATAGTCGAATTTGATAAAATAGGTCGAATCGTGTTCAAAAAGTTTAGGAATCAACAAATAAAGGACAGAGAATCCCAAGCGAAAAATGAATTAGTTTTTGGCTGGTAAAATGCATTTCTCATGAATGCAATCGATGATTTTGAAGCCAGCAAGAAGATGATAGCAAGTTACAGCATAGTATCCTCGCTACTATTCTTTAAAACTTTTGTAACATGCTCATCCCAGTATGAGCCACTAATGTAAAGTGCAGACTTGTCACTCAATTTTATCAACATGGGCGGCGCTACCTCCCGTGTCAAGCCAGCTATACAATATAATACACAAGTTTATTTCAAATGAACGATGAAACAAGGATCTCAGAAATGCTAATATAGGTATAAAAATGTAAATAGAGGTGTTACATAGAGCAAATCAGAGATGAATAAATAAATAATACATTGCCAATGCTAATTTTTTAACACATGGGCACATTGACTGCAAGACCACCTTGACTTGTCTCCTTGTATTTAGACATCATATCCAAGCCAGTTTGTCTCATGGTCTCAATGACCTGATCAAGAGACACACGATGATCACCTTCGCCGTTCAAAGCCAGTTGAGCAGCAGCAATAGCCTTGACAGCAGCTAATGCGTTTCTCTCGATACATGGCACTTGCACCAAACCAGCAATGGGATCACACGTCAAGCCCAAGTTGTGTTCCATGCCAATTTCAGCAGCATTCTCCACTTGCTCTATAGAACCACCCATCACTGCTGTAAAACCAGCAGCAGCCATGGAGCACGCTACGCCCACTTCACCTTGACAACCCACTTCAGCAGCTATTTAGGGTTTATGAGTATGATTGCCAATGCATAATTCGCTGATGTGCACTTACCAGAAATACTAGCACCACGCTTGAACAGCATACCCACAGCAGCAGTCGTCAACAGAAACTCCATCACATCATTTTCGGGATTCTCAGAGATAAATTCCAAGTAGTACTTTAATACAGATGGGATTGTACCAGCAGCGCCATTTGTAGGTGCAGTAACTACACGACCACCACATGCGTTTTCTTCGTTCACAGCAATAGCATACACAGATAGATAATCCAGAGCTGGCAAAAAGAACCGCTTGCGAGGACGTTTGGGTAGGACTGACAATGACAATGGCGATTTGTCATCTGCTGCATACAGCTGGTCTTTGTTGGCTTCGGTGCTGATAAGCTCATTGTTGGCATCGCTGAAAGATGGAGCTTGTTTAGGCAGTGGAATTCTCGAGTCAATGTATGTATTTTGAGTAACTGGGCCGTAAAGACCTTTCAAGAGCTTGTTGTATAGACCAGGAGCTCTTCGACGCACATTAAGGCCACCAGGGAGACGTTCTAATCAAGGGGATGTTAGTCAACATGATCTAGGGCCACTCTTTCTTACATGAAAGAACTACCTTCACCGTTTGCCATGACACCATTCTTGATGCTATCATCCATGGTATTCCAAATTCTCAATAACTTTTCACGAATCTCTTCAGCAGTAGACCACTTGAGTTCATTCTCAAAAACAACTTGAGCGATGGTCATGTTTTCACGCTTGCACACTTGAATCAACTCTTCAGCATTCTTGAAGGGCAATGAAACCACAGCAACGTCCTGTTGACTACGCTGTTCAGCCATCTCCCGTCTGGTACTGTTGCGAGCAGCCATGCGCTCACGTTTGTAATAAACGTTTTCACCATGATCCATTTGAGTAGCTTCATTCACCACAAACCCACCGCCAATGCTAAAGTACTCATTTGTTGCAATCATGTTGGCATCTGAGTCATATGCGCAGAATCGAAGGCCATTGGGATGCTGTGGCAATGTTTTGAAATAGTTGAAGATCAAGTGCTTATCGGGATTGAAGTGGATTCTGTGAGTGCCATCCAGGTGAATAGAGTGGTTCGTGTGTATATCATCCACGCGTGCTTTGATTGTTGATGTTTCCACTTGGTCAGGCGTTTCTCCCTCGATACCCATAAGGATAGCTTCCGGTGTACCATGACCTTTTCCAGTTAGTGCCAGAGAGCCAAACATATCTACACGGTTCAACAACAAATCGTAAATATTTCTATATCCGGCAAAACAGTTGATTTTCACCAGTGTGAAAATCTGATCACGGTTGTGTTACTTGTATATTTACCAACTCTCAGTGTATGCACTCTTTCCAGGATGTTGTGTTCTTTGAGATCGCTGACAAAGATCTTGGCTGCTCTCATAGGGCCTACAGTGTGTGAGGAAGAGGGGCCTACACCGATAGAGAACAGGTCAAATGTAGAGACGACGGCATGGTGGTCTGCATGAGGATCAATGCCAGGATACTCTTGAAATTCAGTAGCAGTGGCAGCTGTGGATAAACATGACTTTTGTTGACGGGTGGCACCAATAATAAGAGCACGATGAAGGATGGATTTGGAGGTATTTCTAGTTAAAATGCTTGGAATTAATCTAACGTGGTTCATTCAATGGAAAAAAAAAAAAAAGTAGAGAAGAAAGGTAAGGATTTCAGACATTGAATCTGTTCTGTATTTATACTAATTCATTGCTGTGCTCAATTAGCACAATCGTTTTTATACCTCTTGACAAACATTAAGTATCTTTGCAAACATTAATGATTTCACACGATAAACTTATGTGCCAATCAAGCCCAGGTTTGTTCAAGGCATTAGAATGGTGTTCATTGTGTTACTGAATTGACATTTTCGATTTCATAATGAGGTAAAACAAAAAAAAAATAATAATAATAATGAGTATCAGTAAATAGTATACAGAAAGCCTAATTATATTTCACATCTCTTTGACCCTGTAAAAGCTTGACTATACTGTACTATGAGCGTTTGTAACACTATCAACAAGCTTGACAGAATCGCAAAAGTTGAATCAGAGAACCATTTGGATGTTGAGTTTTATTGCATAACCACAAACATCAAGCAGCAAATCTCATATTGACTCTACTGCATCTAAAATACTACAAGCAAGTCTTGCTATTCATATATATATATATATATATAAGGATGGCGTTTGATCATCTTCATCAGCCTATTTTTTAGTCCTGTAAAATTAGAAGAAAGATGCAGGCTTAAAAAGCAAGTTGAAGGCAATCAATGATATAAAGTTATTGAATAACAAGCAGTGCGTGCTCCAAGTTCATGCAAATACAACTACAACTTCATTTAGATACAAAAAAAAAAACATATGCTTTAACTATCATTTCCATCCTCCCCTCAATTTAATAATAGTCATTGCAAACGATTGAATTCAAGCGCTTCTAAATATAAAAAACGTTTATTCAGCTTTCAAAGAAGGAAGCAAATGCGCTAAATTAATGATCAGGGTGGTGATCAGAACAAGCAGAACAGATCAAACTCTTTGAAATCCAAAGATTTCGAGTGCCACCGTGGCATCCACAGTGACACCTTTTTTGAGATCGGCTTCAACCAATACTTGGCCCACATAGCCTGGCTCCATCTCTCCAGGTTCGCCGTGCTCTCGTTCGCATTGCTCCGTTACAGCCACCAGCACACGATCTTCTGGGTCGATCCGATCACTTTCCATAATACCCTCGTGGCGATTCAAGCAATGGATCCAGTAATGAATTTTGGTCTTTTCCCGCACATCATTTGTCTTTGCTATATTGCTGATTTGTGATGGTTGGACTGTGCTAGATGTAGATGTAGAGCTGGAAGGACTGATATCTACACGCTGATTGCTGCTCGACTTCAATGGCTTGATTCCCTTTTCCTTTTTGATCTGAATTGCTGGGAGAGCAATCTGCTTCAAATCACGTTGCAACTCGAATCGACACACCAATACATTGTCATTAGGATCATTATCTGCATAAAACTCTTCTTCAGTCTCCTCTTGATTCATATCATCATCCTTGATTACCAGGCGATGGCGAGGCATCACTTGTGCTTCAATTTGCAGTCGATAAGACACGCCGAGAATGGTCTCTGCTTCACTGTAGACAATCTTCTTATACAATGTATATGGCACCTTTTTGGATGTTGCATGTCGCTTGAGGGGTCTAGGGCCAGCTTCTTTTCCAATCTCCAATTCTTCAATGCCTGCGTTGATAATCTGACTGCCAGTGGCTGATGGTTCGTCGTCTCCTAGCTGTTCGTTGTCTGACACTGACCACACAGATCCTCCATCACTTTCATCGTTGTCAAAGGCATGTAAATCTTGAGAGGAGAGTGTAATTTCCTTTTGCTCGCAGATCCAGCCGTTTTCTTCAGATGGTGGTGAGATGTAGACGGATGCTTTGAATCGAAAACGTGGTACACCCAGCAATAAACGCCTACGTTTCTCTTGTGCGTCGGATTGATCCACGTCAAAGTACTCGTTCAAAGCTGCACTGCGATCCTCCTCCAAGGTTTTGGGAATGGGATGGCGGCGGCTTTCCTGTGTTTGCTGTGTCTGTGTAAATGTCAGCGGAAACAAGACTCGCTCCAATGCCTCTCGTTGCCACAAAGCACGGAATACAATGCCTTCGTCTACAATGCCGTCTTGACGTACAGTGGTCAATTGGTCGAATGTCATGTTGCTGTAACTGACTGTAGTGCGAAGCAAGTAAGAGAGCACAGTTGCCTTGTCAATGACACCACCAGACGACGCATCTGCCGCCAGCTTTTCAAAAGGCACCAGTGCTGTAAAACTGAGTCGGTTAAGATGAGGTCGGTTCGATTGCTGGTAGTGCTGCAAGTCACTGGGGTCCTCTAAATCTTCAGATGGGATGCGCTTTCGTTTGCGAGAGCGCACTGTATCTGCTGACAAGAATGCCTTGTTGCTATTGCTGTTGAGGGGTCGCACAAAGCCAGAGAGTCGCTTTGAGTCTTGATCCACGGGTCCTTTGGGTGTCCAAGTGATGCGTCCTACAGATTGCATGAATGCCATCAACACAGATCTCAGCAGGCAGTAGCGTTCGTATTCAGAATTGACAAACAGTGGATCTGCACTGAGCACATCAGCCATGTAATCCACAGGCAGCATGGCTAAACGCTCTGCGTTACTGGGTCCAAATCGAAGCAAAAGCAACAAGGCAGCGTCTCTCAATTGCAAATAGGAGCTGTGTCCTCGTGGTAGCTGACAGATGGTCTCCAAGTCTCTCATGATGCTGTCAAGAGAGAGCTGCTCACTAGTGTATCTATTGACACAGGCCTGAGTCAAATCATGCACATCTAACAGAACTGCCACCGACAAGATGAGCAGTGTGTCCTTGTCTTGCATACCACGCAACAGTTCTTGCTTGTTGATACAATACAGCCATTTCAGAACAAATCGGATATGCGATGCTAGCAAAGGATTAAGGCTGCCGCTCTGTGAGCTTCTTTTCGTTTGAGTACTAGCACTAGTAGATGATGATGATGATGATGATGATGATGCGGATGAGGTGGAGGTGCTGCTAGTCTTTTGCCATTTGCGTCGTACAATGTGTTGGAATGGCGCAAGGACAAATCCACATTGTGTTAAAGCACTTGCGAGATCAATCGTCAGCAGTGTCACTCCTTGTTTATCTGTTGTGTGTCTGATGTTGGATTGCCAATCCATGCCGTGTTCTTGTTCGTTTGTGTGTGATAACTTGCTCTCTTCAATGCTTTCCAGAAGCTTGCACAGAAAGGGCGACTGGCTCATGATAGATTTGTGTACGTTGAATCGCATAGAAAAGGGACATGATGGATGCAGAAAAACGAGTGACAGATCAGAGAACATGGACTTTTCAAACATGCCATCTAGCAGATGTCTCTCCAATTTTGATGTCGTCTTTATTTGTGTAGTCATTTCGTGTGTTGTAGGTTGTATCCAACTGAAGAGAAAAAAAAAAAAAAAAAAAAAGCGAAACAAAGAATTTTTCAGGATTTGATCCTGACACCCTTTTATAAGGAGCGCAATTTCGTCTGGCTTGCTCGAGTCACGCCTAGGTTTTCAGGCACATCCGTAGAAAAGAGCTGCTTAAAACGAAACAGGCTGAATGTGAGAATGTCATAAATGTGGATACCGTATATGCCTAACTAGCCAATTGATCTCGCTACGCTGGTAACGGTGTCGCCCCGCGGGTTCTCCCCAAACACATTCCAAATCAGAGAGAACGAAAATTTGCTATATCTAATAATCAATCAATAGTAAAGGAGAGGTTCAACCACTTCTTACTCTTGTCTTTTTTTAATATTCTTTTCCTCGAATCTTATTATTATAAACAGCTATGCCCCCAACAGTTAGAACAGGCAATTGCAAGCAGCGGCCCCAATGCCACCCATATTCAGCTCTTACTACATCTATTTTGGTGGTGAGCTAGATGGACTGGCGTTACCAGATATGAAAATGCCCAGCAAAAGCAGAATTACATATTCAGGCTAAGTGTGAGTTCTTTCAAACTCATGCGCCCCGTTTAATTAGCATCCCAATCATCATTGTCATTGTCAGAAAGGCATTTGGGTCAGCCAGCAGCAGTGCCACTGCCAAAATCAATTCAAGCCCAGAGTATTTTTTTTCCTACTCCAGATTGGATAAATTTTGTCTTTTTTCGACTTGATCGAACTATTTTGCAAGATTCGACTATATAAATTGTGATGATCGTCCGATGCTTCCTAATACATTCCTAAAGTACTTTTCAAGGTGCTTCCCATGGTGGTAATTGTAATAGATGTTTTCAATGCACTTAATGAGCAATTTCCGAAAATAGTAAATGAGGTTTTTGGCTAAAATGTCGAGATTTTGCATATGAAAACCTCATAAAAGTAACTTCAGGGGCTGCTTTGCGTTTAGAGAAACATTTTGATTCAATATATACCATAGGAAAAGTCTTCATTTTTGAGGTCAAAAACGCGATTGTTTGGTTTTCGATGAAAACCATGAGGTATCCCTCATGCTTTTTCGTCGAATTTTGGCGATCTTGAAAAAGCTGAGCAAAGTCGTCAAGAAGTAAGTGCCAGACGAGAGCAATTGTTTGGTGCTATTCTCACAATCTAAAACGGCCTTCAACGCGAGAAAACACAGCTCAAATGCACCCCGATTTTGCTGTATCAGGCACACGATTTTGCTGTATCAGGCACACTTTTGATAAGAAAGGGACAATGCCAGTATGCCGCTCTCCCGTATGTAAAGTAACTTGGTGTATGTAGATATGACGCACCACACAAGAGCCAGGTCTACAAATAATATGAAGTGTTCTCGTGTGTAAGTGGAGGGTTAAAATAAAGTAGCAGTATTTTTATACGATGAGCAAGGGCAATCAGTAGCGCGAGATGCCACTGCGCAGGTTGGCTCCCACCGAAGCAAAGTGAATTCGAAGCATAAACATAGTCGTATATGTTAGAGATAAATCCATTCAAGAAAAGAAGCTTCAAATCATCAACACACCAACAGCATTGCTTTGCAAAATTAAAAAAAAAGGCTGATTTTATTGGTAATTTGAAGAGACAAAGAGGTATATGTATATAAAGTACATTCAAATTCGAACAACAGCCAGCTACTTCCACACATCACCGGTTAAAAGGTCTTCTTCATCGTGTATCGGTGATGTTATGAGAGTGTTTCTTTCATCTGGCCAATGCCACTCAGGAGCATCTTGTTCAGATGGCGAGAGAGGCGCCGTAGGTCTGGTATTGGAATGTGTTGTTTGCTTGGATGTTGTGGAGGATGCTGTGAAAGAGTAACTGTTGCTGTTGATCAAGCTATCTGTTGGACGAGGTACAAATGGCTGTTTTGAAGGCGGTGTAGAAGAAGGCACCAGTGTGGCATCAGAATGTTGTTGTGGGTATCGTGACGGTGGGGTAGAGAGTTGATTGTTATTGTTGGGAGTCGAAAATGACGGCTGGACAACGGCTTTGTGCTTGATTCGAGGGACAGATGCTGTCGAAGACGTGGGCGTGCTGCTGCTCATGCTGAGGCCCTTTTCATTGCGTTTGACATCAGTCAGTGTTGGCTTTCTGACAGGTGGCGAGGGCGGTTTGGTATTGCTGACAGGGAGCTGTGCTTCTTCGTCTGATAAATCATCCACAACCACATAATTGCCTTTTCCCTGCTGAATAATCACATCAATACAGCCTTCCCGAGGGCCCAAATTGCCAATATCATCCGTGTTCTTTGATTTCCCTTTTCTATCGTCGTATCTATTAACAAAATTGTTGGCGTTTGTCGTAGTAGAGACACCACCATAGCCTCTTTGTTGTTGCTGGCGGCGTTCACGGCGGGCCAGCCGCCAAAGAGGCACCCGGAAATCGATAACAGGATAGTTGTAGTCTCCAAACACCATTTTACGACTGGCCTTGTACAATGCTTCCATCTCATCCGCAGAATTGGGCTCGTCGAATTCCAAAGGTTCTGACTCATCCTCGTCGTCAGACTCGTCATTCATGCCTCTGCCCGAATTCAGAAACCGAGAAGTGGGGGCAGGTTCAAGCCAACGCTTTTTGGTGGTAATATTGGAGTAGCGAAGACCAGCCATAATGCGAGAGTTACGGCTGCTTCCCATATGAGGTACCCCTTCTGAAGGCTCAAATGACCGGTAGCTGAACCTGGACCCCTTTAGTGTATCCAATGTGTCCATCATGACATCTTTGAGGCCAAATGAATCTTGAATTGCCTTTCGAATGGGCATGCGAGCGGAATGCACAGTCTGATCAAAGTAATCCTCCCAAGAAAATGAGAACCTACGATGACTGGCATCAATACACTGCTAAAAAGGCGTCGTATGATGTATGACTTACGAATGAGCAATGGCAAATGGCACCATTTCAATACAGACAAGAAAATCTTGTATCGCAACCGAAATATGCTCAGCTGATGTGGCATGATGAGTATATTTGCTGCGTAAAAAGAGAGCATCTAACATACCTTCAGGAATGATGCCAGCAAATACAAGAAGAGCGACTACTACGCCTTGCCAAAAGGAAAAGAAGATGATGGCCTTGACGCAGAGAAACTTGGGCAAAGGTCTACATAGAGTACACACATTGGTAAGCAAGCACTAGTGTGTGTGTGTGTGTGTGTGTGTGTGTGTGTGTGTGTGTGTGTGTGTGTGCAGAACCTGATGCTTACCTAAATGTTGTTAGATCCTTCTTTGTTGCATAAAAAAACACCATCAAACACCATAAACTCAAACACACACTTAGATTGTAAAAGAAAGTGAGGTAAAAGTAGGAGCTTGTCAAGGTAAATTGGCCTTCATGGTAGTTGCCAGTTGCTTTTAGTATCATGGTGATGATAGCTAGCACAGGCTTGACGTACACAAACTGAAGAATGCCTCTCTTAACAAAGAGAAATGTGTATGGATCACCAACAAAGATTTCTCTTGACCACAACGTTCCCGGAAAGAAATTTTGAGATGGAGGTCGAGAATGTAGCATGATGATCAGTGCTCGCTCGCCTCCCATTTTGTTGAGTAGCAGGTTGAAGAAGGCATAGATGACAAAGGCTTCGTAAATATCTCTAAATGTGTCCACATAGAATGCAACGTTCAATGACACCAAGGAAATGTAGGTACTGATGCCGTAGATGGGAACCCTGATGCCAAATGTTTAGACATTGGATGCCATGCCGATACAGTGATGCTATACTCACATCCACAGAATTCGAATGACTTGTCTTTGTTGATTCTATGTAGGGTAAAAATGGCATTAGATCACAAAACTCCAAGCTAGAAAAAAAAAATAAAGACTTGGCAGCCATATAAAACTCACTGGTTTTCTATAATTTTTCCAGTGCAGCCAAACAGAAAACAAAGATATGCAACTTCCAACGACAGTACATAACAATGCCAATTGTATTAGTATAGGATTAAACTCGGAACCTGCACCCCCATCACCATAGTTATCCATGCTATGATACTCTGCCATTTGAACAGTGCCAATATGTGTGTGCCAAGAAGAAACTTGAGGAGAGAAAAAAAAGAGAAAAAGAGTTTAGCACAGAAGGGGGGAGGATGATTAGGTGTTTATTTGAAACTACGTCAACAATACAGCGGAATGACGACAAGCACAGATATGTAATGGATCAACGATTTCCTTGTTGAATCTCGTTTATTTCTTGAGAGAGAGAGAAACAAGGAGAAGAGAGATACAATCAATATGTATTAATAATATATAAATCAAAGCACGTGCATACATAAATAGGGCAGCAGCATTTTAGATTTGCAAATCATTGACATCTTTTTCTATAAAGAATTCGGTTCCTTTGCATGGAACGCCATCATAAGTGACAATCAGATACGCAGAGCCGGGAGGATAGATATTGGCATTGGGTGGTGCCATGATTTTGAGTGTCTCGAAGGCTGGGTCCACTTGGTAGCGAAGGTACACATAACGTTGAGACATGTGCATCGAGTGTGTGCTGAATCCAGGTCTCATGATGGCCACCTTGAGTTTCTTTGCATCCTTGACATTGTCTTGAAGGTGCAATAGAACCTCAAATTCCTGGTCATATGTCACTACTCTGGGCACATGCGATATTCTAGGTCGAGCATCTTCAGGTCGCTTGTACAAGTGAGGCGGTGTATAGTATTCCACTCGGTATTCGGTTGGGTATTTTGCATGAATGTCAGGTGGATCAACGCTATTGGAGCCTGCAATCCATAATCGACCGTCAGGCAGTGCCAATGCGACAGAATGATACATGCGCGCAATATCCGTGTTATCCAATCCTTGTGTCCATCGCTTCCCTAGTGGTTTCTTGTGGTTGTAAATAAGGGGATCAAAGGTGGGATCATGGTTGGCATCTTTGTATCCTGCATAGCCACGTTGACAGCCGTTTACCCAAATCAGGCTGCCGTCAGATAGTATCACACCATCTGGCATCACTCGCTTGTGTATGAATGTGTCCATCTCCCACTGAGGATCTTTGTCGCCTAGATTGATGCGCCCGCAAGTGTCGTCAGCTGCGCTGGTGGCTTTTGGGCTGGATGATCCTCCACAAATCAATATCTCTACATTGTAGTCGTTGTCTGGATCCAGTGGCAACATGACAGCTCCACCTGTCAAGGGATAGGATCGCGGCACACCAGGCATGCGAGGGAGTTCCTTGACGACTCTGTGGTTGTTGTAGTCGTAGATGATGGATTTTGTTGATGCAAATATAAACAAGTTGCCGTCTGGCAGTAGGAAAACAAAAGGGTACCTACAGCGTGTGCCAGATGAATAACCAATATTCCATTTCCCAACTGTATGGATACTCACAAATTATAAGGCAATGTGTGTAATAGCAAGTCGAGTTGAATAGGCTCCTCTGTTCTTGGTGGCCAAAATTCGTAAGAAGGCACATTCTTCTCTTTGGTGTTGTATTTGGTACCAGCAATGGAGCCACCGATGATGATCAAATCACCCTCTGGCAGTTGCTCTACAGTGGGATACCAACGGTTACTGTACATTTTCCCGGTTGGATACTCGACCCAAGAGCAGCTATCGTCTGAGCAAGGTTGGAAATGTCGAATCGACTGATGTCCTCTGCCTGCCTTCCAAGCACCTCTACTCTCTGCTCCACCGGTGCTGATAAAGGTGCCATTTGCCAGAAACCCGCCTGCTGAACAGAATGTGTTTGTTTCCAACAGCAATGTTCTATAGGTGTTGGTCTCAATATCGTACAAGGATGAAAATGCGCTGACTCCAGAGTCTAATTTAGCTTCATTTTCCTCGGCTACGCAGAACAATATAGCTTAGAGTCCATCCATGTTGCCACACTGATACGCCACTGTACCTTTATCTATGATCAGTATACTTCTTTCACTAAATAAAGAAGTATCAGAATATGAGCAAATGCTGATTTCCTTGTGATACATTACTTTAACAACACAGCATGCATGGCTGCCACACCAGTTCTTCCTTGCTGGACCATTTTGCCCTGTTTAGCATACTCTGAGTGATAGGATGTCTCATAATCTTGGTAGTAAAAGGGAGATGATTGGGCTGCCACTGACACTGCCAGCTGATGGTAAGCAGCTATGCACAAGAATATAGACAGCGATAGTTTCATAAAAAAAAAAAAAAAAAAAAAAAAAGAGGTGAAAAAAAAAAAGAGAGAGAAGGTTGGTAAAACAGGGGGAGGGAAGGGGTTAAACGGAAATCAAATCAAGGCACCACCATTTTATCCTGAACGTGATTTGTGTAACCAGCAGAGCAAGTTGAATATAATTGTGCTTGCTGGTTTCTTTCAATTCCATTCATTGCGTCCTTCCCTTTTCTTTCTTTTCTTGCTCTCTCTTTTTTTCATTTTTTGAAACGGCATTGAATCTTAAAAAAAAAAAAAAGAGGATAAAAGGCAAATATAGAGATATATAAATCATTTGCTTTTTTCTCTTTTTTCTTGATTTCTGTAAATAAGGATCCCAAGATGATGAAGTATCTATTACTGCTGATCTTTATCCGCATTATCCACGCTCAACAGTATGCTAATAAGACTATCTTGGAGTCATTACACTTTATCTCGCCTGTAAGTATGTCCTCAGGCTGAAGAGCATGGCATTTCCCATCTCAAATCAACCGCAATGATAGGTATTATACAATGCAATTCAGTCTTCAGTATCCGTGTCAGAAATCGCTGGTGTGCTGGATCAAAACATCACATTCTTTCTTCCAACAGAAGCAGCATTAAACGCCTCCATCACATCTGGCAAGCTCAACTTTTCGTCCAATGCATACAACGCACTCAGCTTTTTGACAGTGAATGGATCTCATCCTGCCAATTCCTTTTCAACAAGCAGAAAATTCTATACCACCAACACTCATAATCTCATGTCAATTGGGCCCACGCTTTTACCCAATTACACGATTCAATCTAATCTATTTCAGATTTACTCTGGGCTTACCAAAGCAACTATTGTCTCTCAGGACATCCAATGCTCAAATGGTACAAAAAAATCCCCTTCCGCAAAGTAAAAGATATTTACAGAATTTCCCATGTTTTAGGCTTGATACACATGGTAGACAATTTTCTGCAACCAGCCAACACACCATTGATTACAATATCCGATTTAGCTGAACTGGAATACATGGAGGGGCTCCTGAAATCACTCAACGTCTCGGATACGGTATCCGGCGTGAACAAAACCATATTAGCACCTACAAACGAAGCTTGGGCTGCTGCTAATGGCTCCACCCTGCCGTTTGGCACACTGATACACAACTTGAAATACCTTGTCATCGACGGCACGTACACCTCTGATCTGTTTCTGAGCAAAGAGCCCATCTCTTATACGTCTGACTATCGAAACATGCCCATTACAATCCAATTACAGCAAGGCAAATTACTCGTCAACGGCGCTGCTTCTATCGTAAAAACGGATATCATGACAACATCTGGAATGCTCCATCTGATAGACACAGTCTTGTCCGCTGATGCCATCTTGGAATCGACCAGAAGCAATGCGTCAGCGACTCCCACTACTATAAGTAGCAATGGAAGCACAGATGACGACAATTCAACTAGTAAAAAAATGCCACTCGATAGCTATTCCATGGCATCTGTTTCCTATAGCAATTCAGTGCACTGCATCTACTATTACTTGCTCATCTGCTTGATATCCTATCTTTGCTATTTGTAATTCTGATAACTATACCCTTAATTGTAATAAAGCTTTGTAAATCCTATCAGTTCATATCCTCCTCCTCCTCCTCCTCCTTGCTCAAACTAAGAATGAGGAGAACAGCCTATCAACTATCCGCTCCTTGAAAAATAAAAGTGAATTGGGCCGCCAAAATCTATATTTATATGTGAAATCATCTCATAAACCTTTGTCCTACCGCACTTGTTGGTGACACCAACTAGATATAAAAATGCTGATTTGACACGTGTGTGTCCACACAATCATGATGTATTAAAAAGTGGGAAGATAGCTCAACAAGGCGAATATAAAATACAAAGAGACAAGCCATGGCATTCATGACAGTTCCGAGATTCATCAGACACCTTGTATTTATTAAAAAAAAAAAAAAAAAAGACAGGGATGAGCTATTCAAGGGATGAGATAGTAGAGAAGGCATCATCAGCTTGATTTAATATACAGATTTTAATATAAAAAATATTTTAAATTTAGTATTGTCTTGCGTCGGAAGAAGGCATTTCAGTAGCACCTTGGCCGTGTCCAACTGCTACACCCAGCATATCAGTTGAGGCTTTGCTTCGCTGAGATGGAGATCTGGGTAACTTGGAGACGACAGAAGCCACGGCGCCCATGAAACTCTGGGGTCTCCAGCGTGTAGGCACCGTTTGAGAATCATCTTCGCTGAGCCTCTCTTGTCTTCTTTTGCGATTGAATACGACTAAGCCAGCTAAACCAAGTGCTGCAATACATCCAATGCCAGCACCCAGGCCAATGCCCAGTGCCTTATTGCTAATGTCGTTTGCAGCTGCGGCATCAGAATTTGCATAAATGTCGCTATTGTTTGTCGATGTACTCAAGACATCGTTGGAAGTTGTGGTAGCCGTAGCAGTGTTGGTCATTGTAGCACTCTCAGAATCGGTCGTTGCTGGATCATTTTCTAGTGTAGCTGCATTGGTGTCTGTATTGGGAGCATCAGTTGTATCCGTTTGAGTAGCAACGGCTGGTACAGGGGCAACGTCAGTTGTAGTAGGCGTTGGTGTTGCGGTTACTATACTGCTTGTAGTTTCTGTTGTTGTAATGATGATCTGAGTGCTCAATGCCATAGCTCGGCTTTTGCTTGCTGACTTTGATCTGCTTTTGCTTTTCGATATGGATCTGCTCTTGGACAATGATCTACTCTTTGAAGATGATTTGCTTTTCAATGAAGATTTGCTTTTCGAGATAGATTTACTTTTCGATTTCGATCTGCTTCTTGATTTGGATTTGCTGATGGATTTTGATCTGCTAATAGATTTCAGAGTGCGATAACTGACAGGTACAGCAACTACAGTCTGAGAACAAGTAGGTACAATTGTCGCTTTTTGTCTAATAACAGTGGATGTAGATTTCACTCGTCGAGTAACATCGTACGTCTTTGTTTGGTTCCAGCAAACTGAAGTGGTTTGATTGATGTAGTGAGTGTGATGGCGATGATGGCGATGATGATGGTGGTGGTGGTGGTGGTGGTGTTTCTTGTGGATGGATTGCCAACATGCTGCTTTATCTTTGGCATGTTGACATGGAACTGAAGATGAGACATGATGTCGAGGCAATAATTGTTTCTGCTCTAAACAAACAGAGTAATTAGATCGACGCTTTATTAATAGTCGGGGATCTTGTTATTTTCGTACCTGTCAATAGGTTATCAGTTTCGATCTCATTGTTCTCTGGTGTAGAAAATGTGTTAGCATCAAAGCTGATACAAGAAGCCTCTGCTTACCGAGAGCAAATGTGAAGCCTATGATGACCAGGAAAAAAAGGAGGGTTGCTTGGTTCATCAATAAGCATCAAAAGGAACGTACTGGGAAGAAGGATGAAAGGCGATGAATGAGGAAAAATGAAAATGAAAAAGAGAAGGCAGCCCTTTAGGATATATGTGAATATAAAGAAACCTCAAGAAATGATGTATAGTAAAAGAAAGAAGATGTGTAAGCAAAAAAAGAAAAACAGCAGAAAAAGAGAGAAGAAAGAAAAAGAAAGACTCGCTGGCCAGATAAAATGTAACCAAATGCCCCTCCTCTCTCACTCCCACTAGTGGAAACTTGTGAAGAAACCAGGCCAGGGAACAATCATACAAAGGGATAATAAAGCTTCAGATTATTAGCTACTCTTCACTGTGCAACCCAACGTTACCTTTCTATATTGTTTTTCATCTAAAAATAAAAAATGACACTATAGAAATGAGTCTGGTTCCTTCTTTGCTTTGCTCTCCTATAAGCTCTCTTTGGGCACCACCATGATTATCCCTCTCTCTAACTCTGCTGCCCCCCCCCCTCCTCATCATTGCCCCTCTTCTATACCTCCCGTCAATGTTTCCCCTGGATGTACATACGAGGCTTTCTTTCTTTCTTTCTTTCTTTCTTTCTTTCTTTCTTTCCGTATTAATATCCCCTTCATCGTCCCATTCAGTAAAGAGTATTGATCTTTACGACATCCTCCCCAGTAATTGCTGTACTGAACAATCGATTGGTAAAACTCCATCAAATTAACTATGAGCGAATAAGAAATGTCTGTGCAACCCTTTTGGTTGAAAACACTATGGTCCTCTAAAGTACCCAAGTTGATGTGACAAAGAGACATCTTTATTTGGGAACCTTCTAGTTATATTCTCAGGTCAACTTTGTTCCGTGATTGAATATAGCTCGCTACGCTAACTTTTTTAAATTGATAATACTTGGCAAGCATGCTTTTAATAAAATCGAAGTAAGATGGCTCTTGTTACACTCTCGTGTTAATTCGTTTTTGGTTGAAAAAAAAAAAAAGATATTCCCTGTCTACTGAATTAATGTCAAATAAAATGGATAAACATGTATGACGAATAATGAGCTTTGATCATGCGATGAATTGGTGATCATTCATTATTATAACTTCCGCAAACAAGCTTTTGGTGTACCAAATGTAGATTCATTGTAAATACGTAGGTGTAGAAAGACATGGGACAATTTCTTTATTCAATCGAGAATCTGGTAGTTGGCCTTTTTAATGTGGTGTTATGTATTGCACTAATGTATATAAGACACACGGGGTTTTTTTTTCCATGATTTGGCTTCATTTGACTCTTGACGACATAAAAGTGTACGTTAAAGGAGCTCCTATTGGTATGATTTGACTACGAAACTGTTACTGATTAGCACAGTGGTATGATCTCTTTTGTTTTTAAAGGCGATTATGAAGTTATGGCTATCGATCCTGGTTGAGAAGATGAAAGCGCGATTCAATTGACTTCAACTTTGATTAATTAAATGGCCATCATTGAGCCATGCTGCAGACAATGTCTATACAAGCTAGGGCATTGTCGACCATCAGGAATAGACATAATAGCTGAAAGCTAACTGTTGCTACCATACTGCTTTTGTAATGGCGAGCAGACTGATCAAAGGCAGAATAAGAGTGGTGATTTCATCCGAAATAAATCCCTGAGCACCTTCTATGTGCACGAGAGAGAAGTAACGTTTCAATCCAATCAGCAAAATAAAATTAAATGCAAAATGCTTAGCAATGGATATAATGTCAATACATATAGCCATACTATATTAGACGTTGTACAAAGAGGCGTCTTCATAGTCGAAATTATCAAATATGCTGTGTCAAAATACAATGAAAATTATATCTCTCAAAGAGTGCCACTTTTGTTCAGAAGGAACCAAGAAGATGTATTTATGTAACGATTAGCCTGCTAGCGTCTGAAGCATAACAATGAACTGCAACACAACAAAGCTATCGTAACTAGCAAGATTTACCTTCAGAATAACTTACCAACTATTATGTGAGATACTTTGACATTTGATGCCGCATTAAAATATCTTTAGCAGCGAGCCGATAAGAAGGTTGGCCAGATTTCCGTTCTTGGACGCATACGGCTCTCAGAGTGTGTAGCCCACTCCAAACGTAAAAATGGCTACCTTCTCGAATTATGACCTCTTAATTACTATAATGAGAGGACAATAGGTAAGGTGCTGGAAAATGTTGTATTGAAAACAGCTTGGTAATATCTTGCTTCGGTGTAGTATGGCAAAACGTTTAAGGCATTTCACAAAAAAGAGGCACAGCTATTCCCGGTTCCATATCGATGCTAAAGCCTCTATATCAACCCTTCAACGTAAACACAAAATGACCCTGATATAAAAGCTTTGGCGTCAGTATAGAGATTGGAATAGCTCTTTCTCCTTTTTCGTAAAATGAGCAGTTTAGATTCGAATCTCTGCCACGACAACACAACAAAGCAAGCTTTCACCAAGCAGTTTTGCACAGCATTCTCCAGTATCAATTCCATTGATCTCTTACTTCTAGTCGCTCGTAATCAAGAAGTATTTATAAGAAGTTCATTACTCAAAAGCTGTTAAGATACGTAACACACTTTTGACTTTTTAGGAAATCTTCACCAAGATATAACCAATTTTTCACTACAACGCAACACCTAATTCATCGATCTTATACTTTTAATCGTTTGCAATTACAACAGCTTTCAACAGTAGCTTTTATGCGTATATCTTTGCTCATAACCGTTTACGTTTGGAATCATTTGTATTTGATCAGCAACGCACCATCCGATCTAAGGTCCAACTATACTATTGTTTTCCTTGCAAGATTTTGCTATAGGAACATGCTGTTGTCAGAGCTCTAGCATTAACAGAATTGCAAAACCAAATTTCGGATGGCCCTGCAGTGAAATCAGGTTTGAATAGATTTCATAAAAAAAAAGCAATAGTAAAATACAATAGAAATCAACTGTATTTTATTTGTGTATAAAATGAACTGAAGATCCTGGAATTGAGTAAAAAAAAGAAGAGTATTTATACATTTGCATCTAGCTTGTAGGATTAGTGATGATAGAGAGCAATAGGTTCTGCTATTGCGATATCTGGCAAATGTTGTTGATGTTTGATTTAAAGTGGTAATCAATGCAAGAGCACTGGCCATAAGGGTCGATTTGAGTAACCTTGATGGGCTTGGGTGAGCTATCGTCATAGCATGATTTAATGTAGTAACCTTGATGGTTTAAAGTGTGATGTTTGTTATTGAAGTATGGAATCCTTTATCTGGGACATTGTGCAACTATGGCAGCAGGGCATAGTTGTCATATTTGAATATGCTTGTTATTGATTTGATTCTATTTGGATAAAGATACCATCACTTACTACGACCATCATGGGTGTGATTGAATACACTGTGATCAGGAGTGATTCATTCACACGATGTGCGATATAAGCGTGGATCTTTACTTTAGTATGTTTAAATGGTTGTTGATGTACATTTGAGCGCTTTTACTAATAGATCGAAATAGCATGAATTTGAATGAGTGCTATTTGGTGAATTTCGGTTTTCAATCAAGTTGCGTTTGGGTGCTTATTTCATTACAGGCCCAAACCTCAAAACCGAAAATACCTTTGCATCTCCAGAGTCTTGGATGTTAGGTAGAAGATATCAAACCATGATGAAAAAATTGAAACATATATGTTGGAAATCAATGATTTGCATTGCATGTTTGGCGGGACATTTGATACTGGGAGAATCCTGTGCCTAGTATACTGCTGTGTAGTACTAGATTCAAATCTGTATAATGTCATTGATGCTCGACCTTTTACATCACTGTAATCTCACATTTCAAGATACAAATCTGGTTTTTTGCAACGCAGAAAATTCTAGTCACTGTAAAGCACTGTAGTTTATCTACTTGTTCAGCAACACAGCCCGCTATACCATATTTTTAGGTCGAATTCTGTCCAAATGTAGTCATTTTTCAACTCGAATAAGTTATGCTAAAAAGCATTTTGGACGCTTGGATTAGGGCTAAACAACTCCCCTTGGTTGCGCTTTACTTACTGATGCTTTATCTCAATTTTTTTTGAGTCATTGCAAATTCATGAAAATCATTGTTTTTTCATGAGTATTAGCAAGGGAAAATTCTTGAAAATCAAACGATCGCGTTTTTCATCCCAAAAGTGAAGACTTTTCCTAAGATACGTATGAAATCAAATTGATTGTAAAAATGAGATGCAACACTGGAAACACTTTCTGTGAGATTTTCCTATATAAGACTTCGACATTTTGGCAAAAAACATGTTTTCATACTTTTGCAAACTGCTCATTATTTTCGGTCTGAAGGCTAAATATAATGAGCACCATTCGGTGCAGCTTCTTCAGTTCTGTAAGCTTATATTAGAAAGCTGGGTAGGATAACGACAGTTTTCACAGTCAAATTTAGTAAAAACGTTTAAAAGATGTCAGATCAAGACAAGTTTGAACACGAAAATATCCACTACACAAATTCATATTAAATTACCGCAACTATGGCTGCCGCTGCAGAAGATTGAGATCAGACTTACTGGTCGTGACGTCGGGTAGGGCGCCCTCTCATACTCCCATACCCCCGTTCTTTTTTCCTTTTTTGCAAAACGCGTTTAGTATCAAACCATGGTGGTTTTGAAAACCGTTTGATTGATAATAACACTCTAGCTTCTGATAACACTGTCATGTACCGTTGGAAGAACTTAATACTGCTTCTTTGAAGTGGAACATATTAGGTACCATTCGATAACGAGCACTGGAAGACGTAAAATTAACACTAATTGAATTTATTTATTAGGCTTTGATGATTCTTTTTGTCTGGTTGACGTGGGTGGTGCTGCCATTACGTCTCTGCTATCTCTACTGTTTGCTTCTTTGACTTATCATATCTGGTGGTTGCTTCTTTGGTCTTCGTCTGGTCTCTGGTGTCGTTCATTCTTCGGTGTTTCTATGGCGCTGGTATTGCTGCTGCTGCTAATAATCCGGTCTTTCCTGGTCTACTGTATTTGGTACATGCTCGTTCTCTGGTCCATACTACCCGGTAATTGCGTAATATCTCTATCTGTGGTGCTGATAAGTGGTAACTTCTTTGGTGTTTGTGTGCTCTCTTCTGATGGTATTCGTTCTTTAGTTTTTCTATGGTGCTGGTGTTGCTGCTACCCATTTGGTCTTTTCTGGTCTACTATACTTGGTGCATGCTCGTTCTCTGGTCTGTCTCCGGTAATTGCCTATACCCTTCTGGTCTATCTATGGCTATGGTAAGCGGTAGGTATCTTCTTTCTTCTGGTCGCAATGATATCAAACTTTTTTGAACGCTTATATCATTGCTTCCTTTCTCGTGATAATGCATTCATGATGTTTGCCTTGTTGCGCTTTTTCTTCTTTTTTATTTTGTTGGTAGTGTTTCCTCTGTAGCTTTACATGAAACAACATTAGTCATTATGTTGTATCGCAAACCTATAATACCACTGTTGCTTTTGCAGTTGTGCGTATTTGTGTCATGTTGCTTTACATTCGATTATTACTACCATGTGCGTTGCTCATGTATGCATTTTTCTTGCAACAGCAACGAGCTTTTTTGAACATCTTTGATGTTGTGTTTGTTATGCTTTTCTTTGACTCGCTTCGTATTGTGAGCGTCTCTTTTTGCCTACATACTACTATACTCGTATAGTATTATATTCTTTTTTTTTTATTATTATTATGTTTCTTTGAAGCATATCTTTTTTTACGTTGTGTGGATGTGCCTATCCCTGAAGCTCAACAAGACTTTATCCGAGGCTAGGAGGTAGATAGGCCGCCTCCACTTGGTTATCGCTACTTACTTTAGTGATGATTGAGAGTCTCGATGCCAGAATTTAAAAGCTAGGTGGTGTAAGTAAGGCATGCTCTAGCATCTGTGGGAAATTTGATGATAGCATCTGCTATACTGCTGTATAGCGGAGCTTAAAATTTTGCCTCACATCAAAACAGGGGGAAACCCTCGCAAATTTTTTTTAGGTCAGCGGAGTTTTCAAGCAATTTGATTGGCTGAGAGGTTGAAGCAACTAAGGTCTACAACTAGTTGATATCCGCTTGATGTCATGTATTATAATTTTGTGTTTACAATAAAAATATATTCAAATATTTATAAAGTTTAAATCCTTCTTTATTCAAAAGTAAGATAAGTTGCAACTTGTTGTGCCAGTAGGGCTACAACTGTCTATAAAGATTAAGGTATTCTTGATGGGTAGATATGTTTGTGCAACAACATGGACAAGCTATGATAATTGAAGTGCATCTCAACTATCTAAATGCTGAGGTTCACCAGATAAGATAAGCGTTGTACAAGATAAATTGCTAATTTGGCATTCAGAACTTAGTATAAAAAATAGAACAACTCTTGTTTTCATCAATAAATCTTTAGTTTTTGTGTCTGATCTTATTCAAATAAGTCTTTTCTTGTTTTTATAATATCGAACATTTTTTACAAGCTGTGGAATTTGAGGCTTTACAGACTAAAATTCACGGAAAAAAAAGAATAAAAAAAACAGTAATGTCAACTTGATAAAGGTATATTTTATTATCAAACTGACAGGTGTAAAGTAAACTGAAGTCTCTCTACTGGCCAGGTAGATGATCCTTCTTATATACTATAACAATGGATAAAAGTTCTATTAATTAGATTGACAACTAAGTCAACTCAGATCAACTAATGTCTAATCATGCTAAAAGACAACTCCAGCAAGCTAATCATGATTTAGCTCTGTCTGGATGAATAATTAGACTCTCATCCGAAGTACCCTGATCTATCCTTTCCATAAGGATAATTAATATCGATCTAGTAGCATGTATCCGATAGGTACAGTCTTCTTAGTCTATATTAATAGTACATATTATCTGAGTGTATATCGCTAAGCATACATCTTTAGCATGTATCTGGATATATGGCATGTCTATAGCATATCGTATGCATGTCTATAGCATGTCTCATATATAGTACAAGTCTGTAGTACATAAAGTATCTGTAGCTAGTATCACGGATATAAGCATGTGTCTTATAGCGTGGATCATGAAGTGCACATCTGAAGCAACAAGCTCATATTGCATTAATCTTGGTGCCTATCCAGATATGGTAAACATCCGTAGTCAATGTCGGAATACAAGTATAAGTCTATAGTGCCATCCATGTCCGTGGTGCCATCTATAGCCTATATCTTATATAGTATGAATCTTATAGTACTAGCGTATCTGAAGTCCATATCTTCTTATAGTATAAATCGATATCGTACATCTAATCCAGTGTACATACAGTTTATATCTAAATCTGGTAACTGGATGAACTGTCGGAATGCAGATCATAGTGGATGTATTCCACACAAGCTACAAATAAAAATCCTTTTATTCTTTGTGCTTAACAGTTGATTTTTATTATATACATGAATTCAATGGGCACTCGATGGGAGCATTAGCCTAGAATTCTAGAAACAAAAGAGTAGCAGGTACAAAAAACCCTTAAGGGGACACTAACTAAGAAAAAGGGAAAAAGGAAAGTGTGGTAGTGGCAAAGGAGCGGCATGAATACTAGTATTGTTGATTTGATCTGGAGGAATGACCAACGGATGGGAACTTTGATAATTACTTACCATCATGGCATCGCACCGAGAAAGCAAAAGCAACAAACGTTCATCAATGAGCAGAAAACGGGGAAGTAGCTGAGGCGAAAATGTATGTGTTTATTAAAAGCAAGAAGAAATTAATAAAGTAAAGGCTAAATGCATTCGATATTTTGATCATTATTGCTAGCACTTTGGAGGCGAATGTGAGGAAGTGTCAGAACCGAGGTTCTGAGATTCAGGGAGCGACAAATATTTCAGGAAAGCTATGCAATATTTGAATTGTCTGGGTGGTGGGTGGGAGGCACATGGCTAATAAGAAAGATCAAAGACAACATGAATTCCCTCGCATCGTGTGTAAAAGAGTGTAGCAGTGGAGGGGCAAACAGAGGAAGCAGATCACAATCGGTTCACCACAGAGCAGGATGTCAGTAGACGCATGTTAGGCCGGGGAAGCCCACACTTGTCCTGGAACTGGATCCGTTGTGTAATCGCCATCGGGATTACAGAGCTGGTCAAAATGCCACAGCAAGGTACAGAGATCAGGCCACCAGGCACTACGGCCCAACTGATGTTCTCATTTGAGAAGATATAGTTTTCCACATGAATAAAATGGTTTAATAGCTAAACTATAATATTGCAGGCAACAGAGAGACTTTTATTATCTGTAAGATTCATAAAATTACTAAACGTATTATAAATTGCACGAGAAAATGGCAATTTAAAATTACCTAATAACTACTTACTAAAGTAAAGAATATATTTCAATAAGATATTCGAGTAGTTTAGTGGAAAGAACGTCAGATCCACAACCGATAGGTTGTGGGTTCGACCCCGTTAGGATCATTCTTTTTTCAAATTTTTGAAAATCGATGTGCTCATATAAGAATATGGATGTGCTCACATGGGAACATTTCGGATGTTCCCATGAGAACATCGGCCGACTTATAATAGATCTTTAGGAACGCCGATGTTCCCATATGAGAGCATTTTTCACATTTCGAGAACATCAAATAGATTCTCATATGAGCACATCGATGTTCCCATGAGAACATCAGCTGGGCCGTAGTGTAGGGTGGACAGTTAGAAGGAGATGAGGAGGATGGAATCAAGTTCAAAGCATGGTCAATGATGGTGCCGGTGAAGTCAGCAGGCGGAACAGGAAGAGACAGAAGCAAAGTAGGTGGCAAAGTGGGGCATTCATGTAGATGGCGACGGGATGTATGATCTTCATTGCATGCACAAGGTCGTGGCTTACCCGGAAGCCATCCCATTCTATAACGAATAAGACGACTACGACAAGGACGACTGGCAGGTACATACATAACAGGATCAATGCCAATAGTGGGTCGGCAAGCACGGATCAGCACCATGTCTGTTTTTGTCAGGAACTCAGCGTGCCAATGTTGGCGTTCAGCAAGGAACCATTGTTTCATGTGACGTTGATTTGCAAAAGGTACTTCATCAAGCGCGCGGGCAGCCATGTGTTGCTTTTTTAATCTTTTCAAAGATGAACCAGGTAGAGAATCAGAGAGCAGTATCAGCAGGCCATCTTCTGGGAGGAATTGTGAACGCAAGCAGAATTGAGTCACCAGTATAGCAGCACGTTGTCGCATCAGAGGCAGATTTGTCATGTGTCGAAACACCATGGTGGAAGCAGCACGATGGCCACCAAATATCATGCGGAGGCACGTATCTTGGACCTTTTCAAGAGCCTTGAAATCAGCAACACGCATATTGGCAATGCCAATACCATATTCCAGTTTGGGTCTGATGAATGAAGCATACAATTTGGTGGAGAAGAGCAGAGGGAAGCCAGAACGATTGCATCCAATGGAGTTAAGCTGAGCCATTGAAGCCATGGTACCACGCTGACATTTCTTGACAATAGATGTTGTGCAGATGCCCTTGCGGTCAAATGGAATACCGAGATACACAAATTCATCGACAACAGGAAGACATTCTCCATACAAGGTCAGGTCAAGAAAGGTAGATGAGGTGGAGGACGGTGGATTGATGATAGCACATTTGGCAGGAGCCCAGCGATACCCAAGTGCAAGGGAATGTGATTCAGCTAGTGTCAGCATCTGTTTTACTTCACGAGCAGAACCTAGAATAGCAACATCATCAGCATACAATAAAGCATTAATAGCAATATTAGTAGCATGAGTGGGTGTTATGACGGACCAAAGAGGAGAGGGAGCACATGATGGTGATGTTGACATGACACGAGTGGTGGAGGACGATGCAGCTTGACGCAACAAAGCTGGCAGTGAGTTGATAAAGATACTGAATAAGTGGGAACTAAGGGTGGAGCCTTGAAGCAATCCAGTATGCAGTGAGAGTTCTTGGGACACGCATTGCTGATTCAGCACTGAAATAGAAACATCGTCAAACAAATTGGAGAGCAATGAGACAAGTGGCATTGGAGCATTGGCAGAGAGCAGCGAATTCCAGATCACACGGCGATCAACAACATCATAGGCACTCTTGATATCAAGGAAGCACACAGTTGGCCAGTGGTAGTGTTGGTTCTGGTAGTCTTTCATTAAGTCTTGGAGACTAAGAGCACTATCAAGTGCACTTCTTGCGGATCGGAAACCATTCTGGGCTACGTCTAATGGTGGTGAAATGGTGAGGACAAGGGGAGCAAGGCACATTTCAAAGAGTTTTCTCAGTGTACTAGTCAATGAGATGGGCCGAAAGCTTGATGCCTCCGTGACAGGTCCCTTCTTGTAGATGCTACAAACATTACCATGACGCCAATCCGCTGGTGTGTAAGACCATTGATAGGTCAGAGCAAAGAGGTATGACAGAACAGTGGCAAGTGGTTTCTGAATGGGTTTCAGCATTTCACCACGAATTGAATCACGGCCAGGTGCTTTACGGTATGGCAACGACTTGATCTGCTGAATGATATGGTCAATACTAATAATCTCGTCAAAAGCTTCGTTGTGGACCGATGCTGAGACAACACGACGTGTTGGGTCAGAGTCATCATGTGGTAGAGTTCTATGTGAGAGGTATGATGGGATGAAAGGAGAAGCATGCGGATTCAATGTACTGATGTCACCATTTGCCAGACGAGTACCACCAAGATGGGAGGCTGACTGAGGAGGAGGAACACCATATGGCAGATGTCTACCATGTGTAGCAAAAGGGCATGGAGGTCGATTTGTTGGGAGATTGGATCCAGCATAAATGGTAGCAAGGTGATCACGCATAGCATTAGCACCAGCTTGAGCACCGTCCACATGTAGATACCCTGATTGTCTTTGTCGTCTGGATTTGATCAACTTGATTTTTGACATGGCCTTTGAAAAGTCTTGCTTGAATAAAGATTCACAGAATGCGTGCCACGAAACCTGTTTAGCTCTACGAAGGGCCTGTTTGAACTTTTGATGTGCTTCCACATGTTGATTCCACCAATATGCCTTGTCCAATGAAGCGGGACAACGACGATATTTACGATAGAGAGCTTCACGATGATCACAGAGCCGTTGAAGATCGAGGGTCCAGAATTTCTTCCAAAAGTTGGGTCGCTGGGATTGCCGAGTAACGGATTCATCCAGTGCCTGATATATACAATTGGTGAGATCACTGTTGAGGGTATCGATTGGAGGTTGTGTATCAGGTGGTGAGCGCACAAGCGAGATCAGCTGTTGTAGCAACGGTTGAGAGAGGGCTGTAAAGCGTTGTGCATACAAATTGCGTACATCCGTTTCTTGTAGACGTGAGAGCTTCCATAGGAGACGAGGTGATGGTGATGGCGTAGCAGGCATAGCAAGAGCAGGTTCGTTTGAGTGGTAATCAAACGTCAGAGACATCAGTTTATGATCAGATCCCAAAGACAAGTCAGAGTAAATACTAATTGAGGAGGAAGAAGGTGGAGATGAGGTATCCAGAGAGGCAAAGGAAAGTGATTCTACATTTGAGATGTAGTAATCGACAATGCTACTTACATTCCGCCCACTACGACGGTCCTCAAAGGTAGGTGTAGAGTGGGCTAATTGACAGTTCAAAACGTTTAATTGATTATCGGCACAGTACTCTTGAAGTAGACGACCACGGTTATTTGTAGAGGAGTCACCAACAAAGCTACCCATGCGGGCATTCAGATCGCCACAGATGATTGTGTCATGATCCAACGGGATCGCATTCAGGATGGAAGAGACATTTTCAGTATAGAGATCCGCTTGCTCAGGTGGTATATACAGACAAATGAGCCGAAGTTCACGACCAAGTTGAATACCCAAAGCAAACTCTTGAAGAGCAGAGGGCAAAGGCGTCTGGAATGCTGTAAGGGGACAGGAAGGGTTGATTAAGCATGTAATGCCACGAGAGCCACGACCACCGCCTGCGACAGTGACGCCAGGTAAGTGGAATTGCTGCCAATTGGTGGGTAGTCGGATGGGATGGCGGTTCAGCCATGTTTCGGTAATGAACAGCACAGAGAAGGATTGGCAATAACGGAGAACATCATCAATGGTGGTATCTCTGAGACCGCGAGCGTTCCAGAGGCCAATGGTGAGTGGAGTGAGTTGAGAAGCGCTATTAATGACTGGAGCCAAAGCTGTAGGAGGAGGAGGAGTAGTAGGTATAGTGTTATTGAGTATAGTTGGTATTGATGAGGACGGATTAGAAGCAGAGAGAGGATGGTCAGGGAGCGAGGAGGATGTATAATGACTGAGAGGACTCTCAATCATTAATACTCTTCTTCGTCGGAATCAGACATGTCAACATCAGATGAGCCAGAGCTTTTCTTGAAACCAGAAGAGCCAAAGATGTTATTGACAGGGGCGACAGAATCAATGTATTCAGTGGTGGTCCAACCATTTTCCAAAAAGTGATTAGCAACAGAAGCAAAAAGACGAGAACGACGATTGGCAAGGTAGACAAGAGACTTGGCACAACGATTGATTTGCAGGTCAAAGGCAGCATCCTCACGCTTAGAGAGGGACATCTCTTTAAACTTGGGGTCAGCGAGGTGTTTGGGATCAGTAGGATCAAAGCCTTCCACAACATTGATGTTGTTCTTGGTGAGAATGGAGACGAGGTTGTCCTTGTATTGCAAATGGACTAGGACGCCAATGATGTTTCTAGCAGGGAACGTTACATCAATGATACGAGAAGCATCAGCTTTGATCAGATGCAAGTTGTTGCGGACTTCAGTGCGAGTGAAGCGGCGAGAGCGGTTAAAGTACACCGTTGTGTAGCCTTTGGGCCCTTCAGGAGCCAAGTTAAAACCACGAGTAATAGCTTGGCGATGTTTGTCAGTTACATCGGCAGGGTTGCGAACCTTTTTGGAACGTTTGATTACTTCGGTCCAAGAGTTGTTGGGAGTCTTTTTGGTGGCATTGGGTGCTTGTTGCGTGGATTGAGTAGCTGAAGAATGAGGTTTGGGTTGCTGTTGAATACCTGATTTGGGTTGCGCTTGAGTGGTTGTGGAACCTTGTTGAGAGTTGAGTTGCTGACGCAGACGCTCATTCTCTTGGGTCAGGGATTCATTTTGTTTTTGGAGATTCAAAATAGTGGTTTTCAAGGCATTTAGCTCTTGCAAAGCACTGTTGTGGGCAGAGATGTCCTGTTGCATGGTCAATACTAGTCTCTGCAGATCCATCTGCGACATGAGAGTAGCTGGTGTATCGGTGTCCATTGTCATTGTTGATCGATACAAAGGTGTTGAGATGTCGAAAGAAAAATATGATGTTTTTTGTGGGTTTTTCAAAAAAGATGAATATCTGTTCGATCGAGCTGAGGTTTTCACAGGTTATACTTCAAGTACTAGGCACTTAATGTATGCTCGTTTGGTGATTACTGCTTTGTTTACTACTGCTTGGATACACTTATTGGAATTTTCTAATCACGTGGTACCTGAATTTTTGGCAGAACGTAATATAAAATTTCAAAAGCGAAAGAAAGGTGGGGATGTAGCTCAGGCGAAAATTTATGGTTGTTTATTGATTACAATGAATTAGCAATGTAAAAAATATAGACTTATATGCATGCGATCTTTGGATCATTAGTTGCAAGTCCTGAGAAGCGACGTACAGCAAAAAAGCTTAAATTAATAGTTTGATCTCCATGCAGGAACAACATGCAAGTGTCCAGAAAAGGGAAAAAAGGTCCTAAACTAAAAATTAAACTGGTAAAAAAGAAGTACAGGCAGGAAAAAGGAGTAAAACAAGTGAGATAAAAGGGTAGAGAATAAGAAGCTATGGTGTATGAGACATGCAATTGAGGATACCTCGATGTTCAGACAGCAGCACAGACAAAATAAACCCACAGACCTCAGTGGCACAAAAAAAGCAAGAAAAAAAGGAGAAAACGAGGCATTTGCATATAGCAAAATGAGCAGAGAGACAAAGACCAAACGAGAAAGAAGCAGAGAAGGAGGACAAAGTGAATACGGACACTACCACAAAGGCAGCAGAAACAGAAACAATGAGAGTGGGAATGAGAGAGCAAAACGATTTTAACAACAAGGTGTCAATCAGTTATCAGAAGGCTCTGACATTTCAAGATCCTTGGTAGCAGAGAGAGTGGGGGAGACAGCATAAGCCAAGAGAGAGGCAGTTTCAGCATCATGATGCAAGAGGTAGCCAAGATAACTCAAACGTTGTTTCTTGGCTAAACGCTCTTGATCAGAGGATCGGGATGGTGGTTTAGCAGCAGCAGAGGAGGAGGAACGAGCAAGCATTTCTTCTTTCAAAATGGCATCAAATTGGGCTTGGTTGATGCGATCATACAAAAGAAAAGAACGAGCAACAGAAATACGGACAGAGCGACGGACAAAAGACAGCGAACGGAGGCAGCGAAGGTTTTCGATCTCAATGGCCTTTTGGACACGCAGATCACGAGAGAGAGAAGCAAATTTGGGATCCTTGAGATTGACTGGATCACATGGATCAAAGTCAATCAACGGAGAAGAGCCACGACCATGGAGATGCATGGCTTTGGTGAGGGTGAGAACATAGTCATTATGAACAAGGAAAGAAATCACATTCTGTACAGGATATTGAATATCCAGCACACGAGAGTTATTCAATCCTACGCCTTGAACAAGGCGACGCAGCTCAGAAAGACGACGGCGGACAGGAGTAGCATAGTACACAAATTGATAACCAGATGGTGTATCACTTTGAGGAGCAAAAAGACGAGCAAGAGTAGCGGATGCCTTGGTGGCAGATGGAGGAGGAGGACGAGCAGCAGGCTTCTTCTTACGCTTTGCACCTGTATTAGATGCAACGACGGCAGCAAAAGATGGTTGATTTCCTGGAGACGAAGAGGTGGCAGAGGTAGCATTGGTGCATGTAGTTGATGCTGGTGCTGTTGTGGTGGTAGTAGTGGCAGGAGGTGGGTGGGATGATGATGGTTTGGGAGCCAGGCTAGTTGTAGTACCAGTAGCAGCTGCAAGTTTGGCTTCGAGAGTGTGACGAGCAGCTTCAGACTCTGCCAGGGCTGTTTTTAACCGCTCAATTTCTACATGGGCGGTTTCCAGACGAGCTAAGCGATTTCGAACCTCAATCATAAAGGTTGAAAGTTGCTGTTCACTCGCTGGAGAGGCAGATGGAGGAGTTGTTGGTCCAAAATCAGTAGAAATGTTGATGATATCAACTGATGTTTGTGGATGGTGGTGCTGATGAGAGGTTGGAGTGGGTGTCATTTTCTTTGTTTTCAACTGTTGAGTGAAATCTACAGCGAAAAAAGGTGGAGATCTTGAGGAACTTGGCCGTTTTTGACCTGGAGAAAGAGAGGACGCAGAGCTTAATGCCTGGTTTACTTTGGTGTCGTCTGGAATGATGTTCTTGCTATGTATTGTATGGAATTGTAGAGTTGGGTCAATTTTTTCAATATTACTGGGCTTCAATGTATTAAAAAAATTGGTTGGGGATGTAGCTCAGTTTAACGTTGATTTTTATTATATACATGAATTCAATGGGCACTCGATGGGAGCATTAGCCTAGAATTCTAGAAACAAAAGAGTAGCAGGTACAAAAAACCCTTATGAGGACACTAACGAAGAAAAAGGGAAAAAGGAAAGTGTGGTAGTTGCAGAGGATCGGCATGAGTACTGGTATTGTTGATTTGATCTGGAGGAATGACCAACGGATGGGAACTTTGATAATTACTTACCACCGTGGCATCGCACCGAGAAAGCAAAAACAACAAACGTTCATCAATGAGCAGAAAACCAGAGCGATCCAGGATCTGGATCTGGTGGGATCACAGCCAGAGGATGCACAAGGCAATCAATGGCATGCAACAAAAGGAGCAAAGCAGACCAAAAGTACGGTGGACCAGCTGAAGCTTTGTCTGGAAGACAGTTCAGAGCATGGTCAATGCGATGTACACCAGGTGGAGCAGGTGGCAAAGCATCAAAAAAGGTACGATCCAGAGCACGACATGTCAGAAAGTGATCTCGGGAGATAAACTCACCGGTAGTGCACGGACATTCTTCACGCATATTGGTGAAACGTCCAAGACGCCACCGCACAAGACGACTACGAGCAGATCGACCAATAGGCAGATACAGGATGGGATCTGGACGAGAGACAGACGGACGACAAGCACGAAGGAGAGTCTGAGCACCAGAAACAGCAGCAGCAGCAAGTTGACGATCTACTTGATCTTGCCAATACGAATCAAAGACTTCAGTAAGACCAGCAGTGGTGAATGGCGGCGGATCAGGCAGTGTTAGATACAACGGGTTTTGACAGATAAATCTGTCTAGACGAGTGTACAGTAAACCACGACGAAGCAGAACCAACAAGCAATCATCAGGGAGAGTATCAGCACGAAGGGCATAACGTGTTGTCAGAACGTTATATCGATGCTTCATGCTGGGAAGACAGGTCAAATGTTTGGCAACATTGTACCATGTACTACCAACAAACATACCAACCAATCGATTTTGCAGAGCATCAAGAGCCTTGAAGTCACGGAAAGAGAGATGAGATATAGCTAAGCCGTATTCCAGTTTGGGACGAATAAAGCTTTTATACAAACGAGCACAAAGCAACAGAGAAAAACCATTTCGATTGACACCAACCGAATTTAACAATGCCATTGTCTTGATAGCACCAGAAGCACGCAGATTGAGAATCCCAGGGGCATACAGACCTTTATATCTAAACGGCATACCAAGATACGTGAATTCCTCTACCACAGGAAGAGGTTCACCGTATAGAGACAATGGATGACGAGTAGAGGCAATAGGAGCACAAAGTAAAGCACATTTTGATGGTTTCCACCTGTAGCCAAGAGAGAACGAGTGATCTGAAGCGATATCCAACATGGTTTGCACATCAGTACGAGAGCCAAATATGGCCACATCATCAGCAAAGAGCAGGCTATTCACGCAAACACTAGGCATCCCAGGTGGTGATACCATAGTACCGCGACTGACAGCAGAACGAAGAACAGCAGGCAGAGAGTTGATGTACAGAGAGTACAAGTGAGGGCTGAGCACTGAACCCTGCAATACGCCAGTAGCAGGCGAAAAGGGAACAGAGGTGTGATTTGCAATCAACACAGACACGAGTACATCATCGAACATGTGGATGAGCAAACTGAGAACTGAACGAGGCAGAGAGGAACGAGAGAGAGCATCCCAAATCACTCGACGATCCACGGTATCATACGCTGATTTGATGTCTAGGAAAGCAACCACAGGGTAGTGGTGGTGGGTGAGGAAGTAGTCGTGCATCAAGTCATGTAAACAGAGGGCTTGATCCAGAGGACTACGCTGTGGGCGAAAGCCACCTTGAGCAACATCAAGTGCAGGCGAATGTTCATCAAGAGCAGGCATCAGAGAGAATTCGAACAATTTACGCATCACCGAAGTAAGCGAAATTGGACGAAAGTTTGCAGGATCAGATACATCACCTTTCTTGTAAATGGGAAAGACTTGAGCATGTCGCCATAGGGCTGGTGTATACGACCACTGAGAGCAGAGTGTAAAGAGCAGAGACAATACGGGTGCAATGTCAGATGCTAGAGCCTTCAGCATTTCAGCTTTCAAATGATCAGGACCAGGAGCTTTCCCATTTGGCAAACGCTTAATGAGGGAGACAAGTGTATCAGCATCAAATAGACCCAAATCAGCGGTGGACACATCATAAGGCAAATCAGAGAAATTGGACGGAGCAGCAAGGCGAGACGCATTATTCAACAGGGAGCCATCATAGACAGAGGCAAGATGGGACGCCATTGTGTTGACAGAGGCAGTTGGACCGTCTGGATGACTGTACGTTGCAGAGCATTCCTTGTTTCTTTTAATGCGCTTGATTGCAGCAGTAGCTTTCGAAAAATCCTTTTCCAAATCAGAGCAAAACTGATTCCACGATCGACGCTTAGCAGCTTGTACAAGAGAACGAAAACGCCTGTGAGCAGCTTGATAGAGATTCCATGTTTCGACTTTGGCAAAACGACTTGCCCACCTCCATCTACTATACATAGTATCTCTTTCACGAGCAGCATCCTCAATTTCCTGTGTCCAGTACTTTTTCCAGTGGCCAGGACGACCAGATTTCACACCAATTGAGCTATCCAGAGATTCATACAAACATTGATTCAAAGAATCGTTGATTGCATCAATATCTGGACAAACACCAGGGGGAGCAGACACCAAACCAGAGAGAGAACCAACCAAAGGAGCAA